ATTTCCCTGACTTAGCAGCAGCTGTTGAGAATCTCTGATTTAAAGTTAAACTCTAAACCATGAATCCATCATTTTAAAGCTGGTCTTAAACAGTTTTTCTTCTTCTCTTTTTTTTTCCACCGCCAGTCTTCGAGGGCTTCTCGCTGGGCCGATCCGGACCACTTTGCCCAGCGGCAAACCTGCATGAACAAGTTCGCCAGCTGGTTTGGCGGCATGCCGCTGGTCCACTCCCAGATGAGACTGGACCCGGTCCTGTTCAAAGACCAGGTCTCCATCCTCCGCAAGAAATACAGGGACATCGAGAGGCTCTGACAGGACCGGCGCCCCCTCGGGGGAGAGCCCACGCAGGGGGAGGCGCGAGAGAGAGACTCGGTGGAGAGTAGGCGGAGTAGTAGGACTGCAGCAGAATGGACAGGGAGCGACGTGGCTCTGTCTTCCACTCAGCACATCGCCAACGACCACAGCGCGGGAATCGGATGAATAGAAACAAGCAGATGGCGTTTGGATACGAAAAAACACAAACAAAAACCGCAAACACAGACAGACAAAGAGGAGTACACAAACTGCTGGACATGCCAAACAGTGCTGTGTGGTTTGCAAACGTGCAAACATGCAGCACGCACTACTGACGACCAGAACTCTTGGATAGAATATTTTTTTTACACAGTGAACACGGACGACATTGACTCTTCCTGCTCTCTCGGCACATGTGCAGGATGGTAGAAGAGGGAAGGCGACTGCAAACCGGGCGACCCCACCCACCACGAAACCTACAACCCGACCCTAGAGACCGCCCCAGAGACCGCCCCAGTCTGCATCAGGACGTAATACTGGACTCCCTACCAAAGCCCAGCTTTAAAAGCCTGTTCTGTAGTTGATTTGATTTCTGTACAAATCAGCTGTCTGGTATCACTGTCGACTCTCCTGCCTCTCTGAGAGGTCTGAAATCAGAGTGTCATCAGTTTAATATTTCCAGTCTTAAAGTGTAAACAGCAGAGTCCAGCCTGTTATTACAGCAGCCTGACAAGGTTTTTAGAGCAAAGCAGACATTATTCCCAGAGATTTTAGTTATCGACACACATCCTTGAGCCCGAAAACATCCCGTCTGTTCTATCCCCGGCTCATTCCATGATATTGCTTTTCTAACGGTCTATCTGCTTTCCTGTTATCACGGAGATAAGTTAGAAAAACATCTCGTTCCATATCCCATCTTCGCTCTCGTACTCGCCTTGACAGTTATACTTTCCTCATCTGTTTTTTTTTTTTTCTTGCTTTCATCAGCTTTTATTTCCCCTCCTAACTCTGTACTTTCACTCTTCTGCGTGTGTGTGTGTGTGTGAGTGTGTGTTTGTGTAGAGCGCCTTGGAAAGTTGGCTCATCCAACCATAAGCTCAGGCAGAGTACATTTTCCCTCCGTTGGAATGAGCAAAACGAACATTTCTGGATGAAATGGAGCAGAACGTTGCATTCTAACCCAAACGTCGTTTCTCCCATTTATGTTTTTTTTCCCTCATGTCCTCGGAGTCGTTTCCTCAAAGGAGGAAATGGAATAAAATCTCAGACCATAGCAGGTCTTAAGTGACCGGTGTTATTTCACAGGAGCGCGTGAAGAGAGATGTTTAATGCTGAGCGCATCAGTGCCAATCTGACATCAGGGTCTGCCTTTAACGTTGTTTATTGCACATCATGTTGCCTACATCACTTAGAGATGCTCTCATGTTGAAATATTCAATGTGGCTCTCCCTGCCGCCGTTCCTTTTTTCCCCCCATATCAGAGGTCATTAAATTGACAAAAGGTTTTCTCCTCCATTTGTCAGGCAGAGATTCGTTTTTTGCTTCAATTAAGCGAACCTATTTCATTCTGAGTGCTGTTTTATTCCCAGGGGACAAGCTGTTGATGAAACACTCTCACATTATGGACCGTCGTGTTGTGAAAGCAGTGACCCACAAACATGACCTGCTAGCTAATGCTAGCCTTGGGAGGACACGTTCCCCCCCCCCCCTTTACCGTGTTCGCTTACACCGCTGTTGAATCCACATTAAACCGCCTGACAATTTGCACCTTAATTTACCTTTATTGATATTGAACGACCAGATCAAAACACCACGCAAAGACGCTATCACCGCCTTTAATTGAGGAAACGGCGAGTTCCCGGCTGAGCTGTCATTAGGAGTGCATGCGGCAGTCCACTCTCACACTTAGTTTGCAGACACTTGAATGAACGCAGCGTGCTTTTAGTGGCCTTTCTGTCAGGCAGACATTCAGCTTAATGTCTCCACCAAAGCTGTTGAGTGTGAGTGTGTTAATCATCATCATCATCATCATCATCATCATAAACACACATTCAACGACTCTTTTACTTTCAGGTTTATCATTTGTTTTGACTCTTTCTACAGATGCTTCGTGTTTAATTGTTTTGTAAAGCCTTTACAGTATCAACAAAGGTTTCATATTCAAACACACACTACTGTTTCATATCAAACCCGGCAGGAGTATCGTCACTTTTCCTACATTTGTTTCCAATATCATGTTTGTAGTTTTTTTCCTTTCTGGGACTAAAAGTTTGGATTTCTATTTGTTTGCCGGGAGAGATTTATTTTCTGTTTATGTTCATTCATCTACAAAGTCATGTACTCCTCTTTTCGTCTGCTTCTGATCTCTATTTCGACGACAGAGAACCATATCGTTGAGGGTTTCTACATTTGATCGTTTGAATCGATGTTGTTGATCATCTCAAGAGAACCACGTCCCTCAGCTTTGCAGATGTTTTACCCCAAAAAAGACACCATCCATTTCAAAACCCACGCCACTCTCAGCACTGTACATAGGCATATATTTATTTTTGAGGAAAAAAAAGAGGAAAAGACTGTGTACGATTTGAGGTGACGTGGCGAGATTACGAGACTGATCCTGCATCGCTGAGGGGAGCTAATGGTATTTATTCCGTTTATTTTCTACACGCTGTGCACATTAATCCACAAAGATGCCAATCCACAGCTCATTTTGTCTACATTGGTTTTCCTGGGGAGCGAAATCACGCTTCGTCTCGACAAACTCACCGAGAGAGCCGTAACATCTCCGAGTCGTCGACGTAGAGTTTTAACTTTGAAAGACTGCATACGTCAGTGACCTGGAATTAGATTTGGGCGCAGCATCTTGGCGCTCAGTGGGAGTCAAATTGCAAAGTCCCAATAAAAATGACGCCGAGTGAAACATGGAGAATAATAAGCAGCTGGGTCCTTGTAGCAGATGGAAACGCTCTCAGATCCGGCTGTGACATCTTCCCCTTAAGCACTATCAACAATGGCGACATGGCTGTGGTACTTTTTCTGATTTCAGCTCGAAATGCTTGCTTCTATCTTTTAGTTGGTGTAGCTCAAAGTTTATCAAGTCCAGAGTATAGTTGAGAGTCAGATGGGCGTGATTTCGTCCTCCAGGAAAACCTCTGCGTCCGCTAAAATGCCTCTGTCACGTCTGTTATTCGATCAGGGGAAACTTTATGCAAGTTATCATCGTATGCTTCTAAACAGATGAACGAAGGTTTACCCGATATGTGCCAGGGCAGTCGGTGTTTATAGTGGCTCTGGAAATGAGTCTGTTCTTGATTTGTGCCTTTTTATCAACATGTGAGTTCTTGACGTGCCGAGCACTGTTGTGTTATTTCCAGTCAGACGGGCAGAGACAGCACCAAGGGCAGGGCGAGAAAACAGTCCTGCCTTCATACACTGGATAAGTCACAGCTTCCGTTCTCTCAACATAAAAGCCCCGTTTTCATGTTTCTGTTTTGGACACTGTTGCCAAGGCAACGACGAATGACCACTTCCTGTCCTGGGATTATTTATCAGTGATTGGCTGTAAACATTAGCAATCAGCAGTCATATCTGTTGATCTGTAGGGACTCAGTCAAGCCCAGTGGTCCTGATGCCTTCTCCTCCCTCCTACCTTGTAATTAACAAGACTTTTATAGAGGTCACAAATGAAATAGATAAATGCCAATTTTGTAAGAATGATTTATAAAAAAATAAACTCATATTTGATGATAAACACTTCTCTGTGTGCTCTGTTTTAGCCGGCTGTTGAAATGTTTGTGTCTAACTTTTATTTCTTTTCAATTACAGGATAAAATGTTGGAATGTGTTCCAATGTGACCAGGCAGCTATCAGTCTATGTGTCTTAAAAATACTTAAAACTTCAACTTAAGGCCTTAAAATGTCTAAAATTGTCTTAAAATATCACAAAATGTCTTGAGTTCAACTTTAAATGTCTTCAAAATGTATTAACTCTACTTACAAATAAATGATATACTATAGCATTTTTATCAAGCTATACTATAATATGTTTTATCATACTTATATATGACATTTTATTATACTAAAATTGAAGTATGGTATACTTTACTATAATTTTTTTTTAACATACTACACTATGACATTTTTTTTACATACTATACGATGACATTATTTTATCATACTACACTGTCATTTTTATCATTCTATACAATGATATTTTAATCATACTATACTATGACATTTATTGATATACGATACTATAACATTTTTTTATCATACTATACTATGACATTTTTATTCAGTCTGAAATATATTTTTTAATCCTATTTCATGAAATTTTTATCATACTATACTTTGACGTTTTTTTTCCAAACATATATATAAAATATTTTTTCATAGCAAAATATGACATTTTTGACATACTATACTATGACATTTTTTTTATCAAGGATGCGATGACATTTTTTTCACACTAAAATTATTCATATTCCTTTTCGTACCAAAATTTGAAATTTTTACCATACTATACTATGACCTTTTTATCATATTATACTATGAGATCTTTTTGATGCTAAAGTATTGTTTTTTTCATACTTATATTTGAAATTTTAACATACTATACTATGACATTTTAACATAATATACTATGATTTTTTTTCATACTAGAATAAGAAAAAGTGTTTAATAATAAAATATGACATTTTTAACATAGTATACTATGAATTTTTTTCATATCATACTATTAAATTTTCTTCAAGACCAAAATATATATATTTTTTAACACTTATATTTGGAATTTTTGACATACTATACTTTGTCATTTTTATCATATTATACTGTGAGATAAAATATATTCATATTTCATACTGAAATATTATTTTTTTTCGTACTAATATTTGAAAATTTTAACATTCTATACTATGACATTTTTATCATAATATACTATGAATAATTTTTCAGTGCTAAAATATGAAAAAAAAGTACATGAAAATTTGAAGTATACTATGACATTTTTATCATACTATACTATGACATTTTCTTTTAAACATAAAATATTTTTTCATAGCAAAATATGAAATTTTTAACATACTTTACTCTGACATTTTTTTCAAGGATGCAATGACATTTTTTTCATACTAAAATATAAATGTGTCTTTCTGTACCAAAATATGAAATTTTTTAACATACTATACGATGACATTTTTGTCATATCATACTGTGAGATCTTTTTTATGCTAAAATATGAAAAAAAAATTGTACTTATATCTGAAAATTTTAACATACTGTACTATGACATTTTTATCCTAATAAACGGATTTTTTTCATACTCAAATATAAAAAAAGTATTTAAAAATAAAATATGACATTTTTATCATACTATACAATAAAAAAAAATTCATATCATTCTGTAACATATTTTTTTAAGAACAAAATATATAAATTTTTTACACTTATATTTGAAATTTTCGACATACTACACTATGACACATTTTTCATACTGAAATATGATTTATTTTTTAAACAAAATTTTGAAAGTTTTAACATACTATACTATGACATTTTTATCATACCATACTATAAAAAATTCTTCATACTAAAATATGAAAAAAAATTCCATACCTAAATATGACATTTTTAACATACTATACTATGACATTTTTTTTCATATCATACAAATTTTTTTTTCAAAACCAAAATATAAATATTTTTTACACTTATATTTGAAATTTTTGATCATACTATACTATGACATTTTTTTCATATACTATAATTTTTTTTTTCAAAACCAAAATATAAATATTTTTTACACTTACATTTGAAATTTTTACTTTATTACTATAGTATTACTATACTATGACAATTTTTAACATACTATCCTAAGACTTTTTTGTTATCATACTTTACTGACATTTTTTTCACATACTATACTATGATTTTTTAACATTCCCACTTTTTATACTTTACTATGACATTTGTATCATACTATACTATGTTTGTAACATACTATACCATGACATTTTTTTTCACATACTTTACTATGATTTTTTTGATCATTCTATACTATGACATTTTTCATCACACTATACTAAGACACTTTATCATACCATTCTATGACAATTTTTTTTTTATATTATTGTACTGTATTTTGATCATGCTATACTATTACATTTTTATCATACTATATACTATGATATCTATTATACTTAACTAAAAAAATCCTCCATAAACAATAGGAAGGAATTACAGCATAATTTAAACCTGTGATTGTTTATCTCCTCTGTAGCAGCACGATAATATCAGAGCTTACACTCAGATTGATGCTCTGTGTGCCTTTACTATCACATACCCACAATGCAAACATCAATATAACCCTGCACCTTTTTGTTCAAATCAACATACTGGTCAGGGTGTGCCATGACAAGTGCTCAGCCCCTGACCTCCGCCTCGGCTCAATGAGAACACACTCCATTTGTTCAGTAATAATAGTCCCTGAATGCTGCACTGCCCTCAGAGATATAATAACCAGGCCTGTATTAGACCACAGAGGAGGGGTTTATTAGTCACTCCTCAAAGCATTGATTTTTTTTCTGCTCTGCTGAAAGCCTGCTCACTGCTCCGATGCTGCATCTGTCCTTCTGCATCTCCCCGAGGACTACAGCCTCATAACACATCGCAGATATGACCCCGGCTCTGCTCTGAATTATTAAACGCACCCATATCAGGCACCCAACTCTGCTGTGTGTGACAGTGTGTGTGTGTGTGTGTGTGTGTGTGTGTGTGCGCACATGTACTCAGATTTTAGCTCATGTTTCATTTTTGTATTGAATGAGGTCCTTTGTGAATTCTGCCTTTTCTCTCCTTTTTACTCGCCTTTCTTTCCTCATTTATAAAAGATGTCCTTTTTTAAGAGTCGGGGAAAAACGCAAACAGACTAAAAGCTCCCTCTTGTTGAATTAGCCGACCTCCTATCACAAAAGCACCCATAGATATTAGAGATTTCAGAATAAGAAATCAGTCTTGCTTGACACAGTTTGGGTCCTACTTTTGGGTTTTAAAGCCTTTCATTAACTTCCTTTGTTGAATTGACAACTAATTTTCAGCTGATAATTAGAAAACTACAGGAGTCTTCTGGGTTTATTTATTCCACTTTGTGCTCATTTGTATAAAGTTAGGAGTCAGTGCATCAAGAACCACAATGTAAAGAGCACAAATGGCCTTGCTGTCTATGCGTACGCCACACATATGAAGTGGCTGGTGCGAGTTCACTTCCTACACATCACTGTTTTATGAATCAAACCATCCCCTTCTTAAAACTGTAAACACATTAATTTTTAAACTTTTATCAACGAGTGTTAAGACACTTTTTCACACTAAAATATACATATTTTTTTTTCATACCAAAATTGAATTTTTTAACATATTATACTGTGAGATCTTTTTTATGCTAAAATTTGAAAAAATAAATGTCATACTAAAATTTGAAATTTTTAAAGTACTATATAATGAAATGTTATCATACTAAACTGTGACATTTTTTACTGAAATATGACATATTTTTTCACACTTAAATTTGAAAATTTTTAGCATATTTTACTATATTATTTTTAACCTAATATATATTATTTACACTTATATCTGAAATTTTACTTACTTTATGACATTTCTCTTACACAAAACTGTGACTTTTTTCACACTAAAATATTTTTTTTTTCATACATTAAAATTTGAAAATTTTCACATCCAATAATATGACATTTATATCCTACTATTCTAGACTATGACCTTTTTTTAATGATATATGACATACTTTCATACTAAAATTTAATATTTTAATATTAAACTATATTATACAATGGCAATTTTATCATTCTATACAATGACATTTGTATCTTACTATACTATGATGTTTGTAGCGTACTATACTATGACATTTTTTATCACACTACACTATGACATTTTTATCAAACTATACTAAGACACTTTATTGTACCATACTATGACATTTTTTTAATCTATATTGTTATTTTTAAACTTTATATGATCAGTGTCCCAGATGGATTCTCAGGTATGTACCAATACTCATGAAAGGTGTTGTCTTTTTTCCGAGCATCTTCAAATATTTCAAAATGAAACCAAACTGCGAGAGAATCGCAGCACAGCATGTCATTAAATTTCTCCTTTGCAGCTGAGTGGGTTGTACAAATATTTAGATGTTGGAAGCCTCAAACTCTGAGATAAACTTCTTTCGGCGATGGATACACAGATGGACAAAAATTGCAGCGTAAGAAAGTTTTCTTTATAAAATCACAGCAAGGTTTATATTTCAGCAGAATCCAGAGTACAGTTCATGAGGGACTGATTAACTTACATCAATAATAAACAGCTGATTAATACAGGAGGAATACAACTCTTTCCACAGTGTTCATCTTCTTATATTGAAGTTTTGTAGAGAAATATATAAAACATTTTTTTAGGAACTTCACACACTTCTAAAACTATGAAATAAGTAACCGATGTTCAAATCTGAGGATTAAATAGAGTATATATCAGTGTGTCTCTACGGAGCTAGTACCTACAAATACATGGGGATCAATTCTGCAGGTTAATTCAGTCATATTGAAATGTAGGATTCAGAGATGGGCTTTGCATACAGCACCAGCACCCTCTCCTCCAACTCTCACTGGGTGGGTGCCTCCTTGCCTCTTCATTCGTCTCCTCTTGTTTTTCCTTCGGTTGTTTTATGTCCTCTTTAAAATCTGGTTGATATTGCCAAGGTCCCAAATTTCTCCTGTAAAGTGCAGCCTCGGCCAGTCTGTGCTACCCTGTCACAAGTCCAGTCAATGACTGTAGATTTTCTCCATTAAATGCAAGAAAGAGCGTCTGTGTGTGGCGATACGTGGATTTATGTGTGTGTGGGGGTGGGGGTGGGGGGGTTCAGCTCCTGACAGCCAGCATGGAGTTGATCTCCCAGATGAGGTTGCGGAGTTGGTCCATGATCTGCTTCAGCTGCTGGTTCTTCTGTTTGAGCTTCTGCGGGGGAAAATGACAGAAACAGAAAAAAATAAAAAACATGTTTTTAGATGCTAGAAAAAAACAACAACAAATATAAATGTCAAAGTGCCAAAAAAAGAAAAAAACCTTTTTGTCAGCTGAAAAATTAAAACCACAGTTCCGTGAAAGATAAAAAGGTCGAACAACTGACAAAACAACAAAGCAATTACAGTTTCAGCAGAGAACAAATAATTCATGGCTAACAGGATATTAAAGTTGCACGTAGCAGCGCTATCAGAAAGTCCCACTGAGACAAATCTGACTCACTGTACGACTAAACACCTTTTCTACATCTGCCCTACTTCAGCATCCTGCTATCAACACAGCATAGACTAAACACTTCCTCTACTTCTGGAAGTCCTTGTATTAAAAATTTAAGTGAGTGAAAAACTAAGACGAAGTGATTCCAGATGTAATCTCGTCTCCAATGTTTGCTGCGGAGATGAAAAAATAAACAGGGAGGTTTTTTCCCAGCGAAAGTCCTGTGAGAAAACACGACGAGATTCTGCCTCTTCTTTTCAAAGGAGTTTACTCCGAGATTTAATGAAATCATGGAGACAAACACAGAGTACTTGAATGTTACTCATGGGCTGTGACATCCTTTCAAGGCCCTTCATTCTTTAGTGGTGCTTAAAAGAGGAGACTGTCCTGGGAACACTGACTCTTTCCCATGGAGTTAACCACATGGGGAATAAAAAAATGAGCAACACAACAGCTCCTTAAAAGTAAAGCCAAAGTTTGAACCGCAGGACAGGTGATAAAGCTTTGTGAACAGATGTGGCATGGGTCAAACTAAAACTCAGTTTCACCTCAAAAAGAGTTTCTAGGATTAAAGCTCCTGTGAGGAGTTTTCTGTCTGTGTTGACTTGGCGCCCCCCTGTGGACAAAGCAGCAACTCATGAAACAAAATGTCCTCTTTTGGCTGTTTGCTTTTGAACACCTTAAAGGTAGATTAGAGAAGCACGATATATCGTTTAAGCATCATCATCGCAATGTACGTGTGTGCGATCGTCACATTGCAGAGCCTGTGATGTCGGAGGCAAATCAACTTATCTGATTTCAAGTTTAGCTGACTAAGAGACACTGCATGTGACTCTGCATGTGGTGTGCCGCGATCCACCAATCACATTCGTTCTTTATTCAGTGGCCAATCAGACTACCCTGCCAGCCCTCAATCTAATAAAGAGAGGAGGAAACCACTCCCCTGCACATGGAGTTAGTTGCTGGCTCAGCCGGTGTTGTGCCGAGAAATGCATACCCTTCGAGAATTACTTTCGGAACATTCCTCATCACTGTTTAGCAATGTTTGTTTTTTCCAATACAATGCAGCCTTAGTGTTGATCACTCTCCATTTAAGTCTGTTTAATAACCAATCAAAAATTCCTCACAGGATCTTTAATCGAATTGAATGTGTGTTTTTGATTGAGGGGGTAGAAGAAGTGAACATACGAGTACAGTATGAACCTGCTCTATTAAAAAGCACTCTAATGAACCTATCGTCATGATTCGGTGCTATATTAAAAGAATTGAGAGGTTTAGATGATCTAGTTTGGCTTGTTTTTTTAAGATCTATAGTTTAATAAAGTGAGGAAAAGGATTAGAGAAAATTAGGAGCCACTAAAGCGAGACAGAATTATGAATTTGTGGTTGTGTTTCTCCTGGGATCTTTTGGACAATAAGAAAACATCTCCTTAATCCTTGACAGCCACGTTTAACCTTAAATATTCTCCTATCAAGCATAAAAAAACTAAGTTCCCACCTGCCCGTTGACCTCTCCTTAAATACTTAGTACTTCGGTTGACTTCATCCATCATAGCCTCTGCTAATCACTAAACTAACACATCTGTCCTGCTTCAAGGCTGCACAGGGACATCAGAGAGAAGAAATCAACCCAATCTCCCCATCTGTCACTGAGGGCTTTGTCTGACAATGAGCTTCCCAGATCTCTAAGTCAACAGCTGCCGTGGACTCAAGTACTTCAATGCTCAAGCTTTATGCACACACGAACAATAGCTCCTGAGCCGCTGGATACAAGCAGGTACAGCTGCCAAAAATGTGCTGCCTTTGAAGAAGTAACTCAAGCAAAACATCTACATTTGAAGGTGTGGGCGAATCCAGCGACGGCACTATATCACAGCTACTTACTCAGCTGCTTTTCCTCTGATAGATAGTCAAAGAGAGAGAGGAGGGCAGCTACTGTATCTGCAGTGCAGTGAAATCTATTAAGATTAAATCCATCTCACTCTCTCGCTTACACTCCTTTAGCCATGACTAATTACCAGCCATTTCTGCGGCGCAGATAACACCTTGAGCAATCGATTTCACACAGCTCTCTTAATATCAACTGTTTAGCTGATTGTCCTTGAAGATATTCCAGAGTGGAACATTTTGGACGCCTTCCAGCCGCTCTCTCTCCGCTCTCTCTCCTCTCCAGTTGTCTTTCACTTTGATTCACTCCCGAGTGTGTGCGCCGCGTGGACGTTAATGTGTGTTTATTGCATGGGACACGCCTCATTACTCTGACGATCAAGTGTTGAAATAACTCGGTCATTCTCTCTGTGTTAATGAGCTGATACCATGAGGCTTTGTGATTTTAAATACTTTTTAAACAAAGAAACACCGTCTGGTTCTTTAGTAGCAGACAATTTTTTTTTCTTTACAAGCTGCTATCACAGAGGTATTTTTCATCTCGGTTTTTGGTCGTAAACGGGCAGTTTCGGCTTCAAAGACCGAGTTTTCTACTTCTGAATTGAAATTCCTCTGCAGAGAAATACTCTCTGCCGTCTTTGAAATATGAATTTCTACTTTTTTTGGCGGGGAAATAACACTTTGGAGGAAGAAAAGCCTTCGCAGCCTCATTCATTATAAAAGACTCACTGGCATATCTTGATATATGAATAACAAGACCGCTATTATCACAGAAATGATTCTGCAACCTTTGGGAGACATAATTCTATTCATAACCTCATAATTAACAAAGCTCTAATCCTTCACACCTATAATACAATGTTTGAGGAAGAGAATACGACAGAGAATACAGCAGAGAAAAGGAGCTGTGAACTATTGTTTTCTTCTTCTTCTTCTGTCTTTACACACATACACACACTCAAACACCTCCGCAGGAATCCAGCAAATACACTTCCTGATTTTTTTTTTTTTAGCTCTGCGGCTGAGCTTCACAATAATGTTTTGATGCCTTTTCAATCTGCAGTAGCCCTCCTCTGACACGCTCTGACACTGCATCAGCCGCGGCAGGGTGGCCAGTCAACAACTCATGAAAGTAAACAAGGAGGCGCTGTCTGAGCTGCTGTCTCTGAGGGCCTCCTGCAGACTGGCAAACTGCCTGCCAGCTTCTTATAACCTGGAAAGGCTGCCAGACGTCTGCAGATTGGCAGAGGAGAGAGAGTGAAAAAAAAGCACGGTGACCTGAAAGACAGGTTGAAATGGAGACCGGCACAAAGAGAGGAGATGTAGAGAGATGAGGTGGACTTAAATGGGAGTGTGTGACTGAGGGCATGCGGGAGTGGAGAGAGACGGGTTTTCACAGATGCCAGCGTGAAACTAATAAGGAGTTTTTCAAGACCGACAAAATGAAAATGAGTCTAACAGGTGACCGCTGATGAGAGGAATTCCAATTAGGGAACTAGGATTAATGTTTTGCCAGGATGAGCAAGAACATTAGAGCAGGTCAAGGCTTTAGCTTGAGATAAAAAAAGACTTTGTAAGCTGTTGTAATTGACAAAATTATTTGACACACTCATGGACGAATCAGAATCAGAATCGTTCAAAATCAAACGATATCCAACCCTAGCCTCAACATCCACAGCCCTCATCACTCAAGGTGAGTTGTTATATACCCGCTTGACACCACACAGCAAATACACCTCTTTATTTCCATGTTTTAGACAGTAATACCGCCAGACCTCAAGATGCAATCTGTCATCTGTGTTTCTTTACATCTAGATAGTACAGCATTACTCTGCTATGAGAAAAGCCTGAGCTGCTAACGCCTACAGCTTAAGGCTCATTTATGCTCAACGTTACATACGTTGACCTTGGCGTTCTTTTTGTTTGTACTTCTGCATGTATCCTTGAAGTTTACGGATATGGGCCAAAAGGAGCAGTACCACTGGAAAACATGGGGGCAGTGTTGCTGCTGTCACTACCCGATACGCATCTCTAGAGAGAAACTTTTGGCTCTGGCCTGCCCCCTGGTGGATGTAATGATTAACATCCATGCCAACGCTAAGGATGCATGTGACGGTACCATCTTTTAAAACGGACGTGTGCATTTCTATACGTATGGCAAGCATAAATGAGCCTTTAGACACAACATGTGAGCTGCATTTCATGCCTAGAATTGTAAAGTTGTAAACAAGTTGTGTGAAAGACCAGTAATTCTACCACATATTTGAGTCAATTTGTCAGCCAAATGCTCAGATCTCCAGCTTCATCGAGCACAATTGTTTGGATAGATCTATCTAATAGGTTGTACAATAAAAAGTTATAAATAAATGCATTTTAAAGCGAAAGGATTTGGAGTCATTTACTGTGAAATTGGGCGATCTAAAAACTTACAGGTATAGTTTAATGATATTGACTAGCAATCACGCCACAAATACCTTTTTAATGGATTTCCACTTTTTCTTGACTTGCTGTTGGGAGTACAATTGTAACGCTGCTGATAAAGTTATGATTTTTTTCTCGAAATCAAGAAATTTAAGCTTTTTTGAGCCCTGATTGAGGCTTTTCACACCATATAATCACAGAGCTCAATAAAGTCAGAGCATTTTTCTGTGATAGTCAACAATTGATCCACTTCCTGTAAAAACAGGCGCTGGTATGAGCAGTGAGGTGCAGAGTTAAAGCCTTTGAATCAGTATCAGAAGAAAAGTCGAACAAATGCACGAGTTAGTATTCAGGAAATTTATTGTTGGAGTTGGTATGTATAATATATAATATGCTGAATATGTATTTGTGTACCTGCACACGAAGAGCTTCAGGTGCACTTGCAGCGCTCTCAAGCAAAGCAAAGGTCACGTCAGGGTGAGAGCTTCTCTCAAAGACACAAAAGTAAACCAGGAGTGATTGATAAACAGAAGTCACAAATCATGAGCGGTTTGTCTATGAGGCAGAGTTTTGGGAACCTTTCATCTCGAGAGATTAAACATTTGGGCAGAGGGGAAAGTCTAAAGAGAAAAATCCAATTCCCATCCCTGTGAGTTTAGCTAAGCTTGATGGATGTGTCAGAGGAGCTGTCTGTGAAGGAACATCTGACTCATTTCCAGTCAGAGCAGTTTTTCCTTTTTTTAATCCAAGTTTTTTAGGAAAAGTGAGGTAAGGAGTCACACTCCATTTTGACCTAAATTTGTTCAGATTACCAAGTTTATGAATCCAGTCAGGAAATAAATAAAGTTTTAATTAAGCTTTTATTGAATCTATAGAGATGGTTGAAAGGTTATTGCTAAAACATTGAACTATTTCTGATTCTCTTTTCAACTATAGATAAAATGTTAAACATCACCTTGTTTTCACTGAGTAAAAACCTCAAGGTTAGAGATGCAATCATCAATTGATTAAAGCTCCTATAAGGGATTTTTGACAGTTAAGAAATAGACTGAAATTCATACCGATGCCTTTTCATGGTATCATAAAGCAAAAAAGACCAACAGCAACAATACAAATGATTTTATATCTTAATTTTAAAACTATATATGAAAATATTTACCATATTGATAATTATTATTTTTCAAATAATATAAAAATAAAAAATAATATTTAAAATAAAATAATATACTAAATAATATACTAAATAATATAAAATTAGAAAAAATATTTACAACAAATACTAAAAATGACCGTCAAAAGTCGCCCAGTTCAGATTTCAATCAAAATTCATTACCTAAGCATGTAGAGGACAAATAAGACAAACCTGTTTGGCCCTTAATTTAAACAAATAAGAAGTTCCTTATAGAAGCTTAAATCCAAATAATCTGAAACTGTATATTTCTGACGTTAAAAAGTCTCTGGGTGTTCACTGTTGGTTGGATAAACTAAATAGTTTGAAAGTGTTGATTTTTACTTTTTTTTGGCATGTTTTGCTATCAGTAGTATTTCAGAAAACATTTAGAAAAATTAAAATCATAATTCAGTGTTTTTTAAATGCGACAGATACTTGTATGTTAAAGTAAATAGTTAATTTCCCTAATAGGTCACTTTAAATAAACTGATATTGGTCAAACAGAAGAAGTCACTAAGTGTAATTTTTGCTGTATCATTCAACTGTTTTTGACAACTTTTTTTTCAGGAAATGTTGCACTTGGGGGTTTTAATGTAAATGTAAAACTTTCTTCCTCCTTGGTCCACAATGTCCTTGAAAGAAAGAAAAGGGTCCAGTAAATCCCCAGAGTCCCATGTTCAGGTGCAGAACTCATGAAAATCTGCAGCTTTTCATCTTCATAGTATCTGAAGCGATATTCACCATCCATTTCAAAAAGAAGCCCCATCGGTTTGAATCTCAGCGATACAGATATAAAGATTTTATGGAGATGGGTTGAGTAGCGGAGGACAGCTGCTCCATCATTAGACCGAGCTTTAAAATACAGAACCACATGAAAAAAAAAAAAAAAAAAAGAAAAGGGCCGAAGAGCTCCTCGCTAACAGGACAGTTGACATCTTGTTTAAATGACATGGATGAAGGGCTGTTTCGCCATCCCTCTCCGCTTCTCCCTCTCTGCCTTCAACATGCTCCCTCCCTCGCTCCTCCACTCGTCCAAATCAGATCAAAGAAACTGTCCTCAGTAACAGGGTGAAAGACAGAAGCGGAAAGCTGAATATTTCATCGAAATCGCTTCATTAAAATTCTGCTCGGCTGAAACTTTGACACAGGAAGAGCTCTCACTACAGCATCTCTGAGTGTCATGTTGAGATGCACCATCTCGGACCACCCAAAGACATTTACAATCCTGGAACATATAACCCCCCAAAGTAACTATTCAATATTCATATCACAGGCTAGTTGTTGTAGATTGTTGCTGCACAACATCCTAATGTGTAAATCACACATCACAAATGTGGGCCGTCAAAAGTGAATTGTATCTCTTTATCTATTAACTCTGTTGAATTCTCTCCCCATTACAGCCAACTCAGGATGTTCTGATCCATGAGAAATTATAGAAAATCATCTTGTGATTGTGTTATATGAATAAGACGATGTATTCATCTGCTTTTGGGTTGTTTAATCCATGTCATCTACAATTAAAACATAAGCAGCACATTCTCCACTGGCATCTGGAGCGTTGTCGTTTCTTCTTCTCGTAGTGCCTTAAGATAGTGGCGAGGAGGATGCAAGTTGGATTATAAAAAAACACACACGGGGAGGGAGGAGAAATAGAGAGGAAGTAGAGCAAAAACATGCCTTCACTCAGAATTCCTCCGCTAATCCGCCCTGTCGCTGGCGACTCAAAACTCAGCTTTGACTCCGACGGATCTGGTGGGGAATTACAAGTGTAAGTGTCTGAGAGTGAGGAGAAGGGATTAGGGAGAGGAAGAAGAAGAAGGAGGGAAGAGGAGAAGAGAGGAGAGGGAAAAGGAGATGAGGAGAAAAAGAGAGAGGAGAAAAGATAGAGGAGGTAGACAGGGTAGATATGGGATAAAGGAGGGAAGGTATGGAGCAGGGGGAAAAGAAGAGGAAAGAAAGAGTAAAAGGATGAGGGGAGGAAAAATATAGGAGGAAGACAAGCGGTAGAAAGACAAAGAAGAGGAGGAAGAGGAAAGTGAGAAGAAGGGGAAGAAAATACAGAGGGTAAAAGGTGAAGAAGAAGGGATGGAAGACAAAGAGGAGAGGAAACAAGACGGGAGGAAGAGAAAAGAAGAGGAACAAAAAAATATAAAACAGGGAAAGGAAGAGGAAGAGATGGAGCAGGAGTTACAATGGTTCCACTGCAATTCTATGACACTGGGCTGAGAATCTAGTCTACAATTTATTACGATACGATACAATACGATATGTTATGTTATGTTCCGATACGATACGATACGATACAATACGTTACGATACAAGACGATACAATACAAGACGATACGATACTGCCAAGAGTAGTAATTATACCACAGGAAGGTACAGGGATTTTGTAATACAGTAATTGATCAGTTGGAAATAATCATCTAACGATACAAAATACATTGATATATCTCATTAACTAAGAAATACCAAATATCCCAAAGACGCAGGATTAATTTTTGTCAAAATATGAATAATTGGTGCTGATACAGACTGACAATATATGCCCACTGCTTCACAGTCATTCTAACTTATCATCTCATGTGGAAGTATCTCAGTCCCACAGAAGAAGCAGCTACAGTTGTTCCTCCTCGGAACAGGGTTAGTTCAGAGAATGCATTTCATACATTTACATATCTGTAAATGTATTTTCCTAAGTCATATTTTTTAATCATAGTATGAAAAGTGCACATCACGGGTCTTTTTGTATTGTATGTCTCTTGGGAAGTAACTGCACATACAGCATGAAATCGTATTAAATTACACCTCTGGGGTAGCAAAAATAGAGATGTGGTTTCATTTCTTTAACACACTTTCATAATCATCAGTGGGAAACATAGGGCAGGTAAAAACCATCCACTCCTCTCTGTTATAAAATGCTGAAATCAACATGAACACATGGTTTACGGAGGCTGAGTCCTACTCCCTTGCAGTCCTCAGACAGTGAGATGGATTGTCTTGGCAGAAATGCAAGTCAAATTTAATTAAATTCTATGCTTTGTAAGTGTGACAAAAATTTGGAGAGCAGCCTCAGCTATGTGGAAAGGTGCTTTTCAAAGAAAGCAGCGATCCTTTAAATTATGCAGAAATGAAACAAGTCCTCAAGGAAATGCAGCTCCCTATTAGGCGGAAGAATTAGGACAAACCAAACTCAAGGGGCTGACATTTTTATTAATGAGCATGTCTGCAGAAAGAACTGAGAGAAGCCATACTAAATAACCTCTGAAATTAATGTATCGCTGTTCATTCAATTCACTGATCTGCACCAGGACTGAAATATTGATTGCGAGTCATTTCAAATGCAATGCATATATCGGAGCAAATGCACAGACTGAAACAACGCTGACGCTCAGGGGAACACAAGACCCTGACTACGATGTGGCACAGTTTGGCAAAGTGGGATGACAGACAGACAGACAGACTAGCTGACTACTTAAAAATAATGAGCTGAGCGTGTTGCCCGCTCAGATCTCGAACGAGGTTTTTAAAATTTGAGTTCAACACTGGGATCCGTCAGCCTCAACACAAAACACACGAAGCCCCTTCAGGCCCCGAACAAGCATCCGAAGAAAAGCCGTGTTTCTACCTCAAGAGACCTGGGGCTTTTCGAAGAACTCGTAGAAACCTTCGCAGAGCAGGGACCAGACTCGACATTAAGTAGCAGGCTATTATAATATTCCTCATTAAAGTTTCTATTTCAGGGGTTTCACCATGCAGAAAAAAAAGAGGAAATGGGGGCTTGCAGAGGTGAAGTTTTCTGATTGGTTGAGTATCTGCAGAAAGTTACTTGACATGCATCAATATCTTGGTGGTATTCTTGATAAATCCTCACAACCATTAGATGCCACATGTTTCAATGAACAGATTAAACAAAGGAGAATAAAGGAAATATAAGTTCATTACATATTTCTGACTGATTTTGATCAAGCATGTTCGAGTGCTGTAAAGTCCTAGTCGACTGGTTGACTTTTGGGTCGGTGCGTGCTGAGTAGACCAAAATTCTGATTGGTCGACTTGGTTTTATCCCACATCAATTTACAGTCTATGGTTTATCTCATCAGGAAGAACGTACCAAGTGCTAATGGGGGTGTTTTCCGAGCACCCCTGTTTCACAGGTAACAGCCTGTCTCAGAACAGCACCCCCTTGTTTTCACCATTTTGGATTCGCCCAACCCACTGGAGACCGGTTGGAGACAGGATTGAAGAGCGTTCACATTCACACGTTTGGTAAATATTTATTTTTATTTTTAGAGTTTCAACTTGGCTTTTTTGTTTAACTGCCTTCTTGTGCTGATATCAGTATATTTTCACCACGCCGGGCCGTGTCATCTCCCGCCATGGAAGGGTCAAAACTTCAGGGTTTTAGTCGACCAAGAATTTCTTTGAATGATTACAGCTCTAGCATGTTCAAATCCTGGAGGCTAACATTTCAGCAAATCTTAATATTATGACTGTCCAAGGTGTTGCAACAGCGTAATCATCTAAATCAGTATACTTCTAGTTAATTCTTATTGATTGGCATAACTTTGATGGGGCTCAAGTTAACGGTGAGTGTCCCATGAGTGAACTCCAGCAGGACGTGAGTGCCTGTGGGCTAAAACTGTTCCGCCAAAGTGAAATGTCAGTCGAAGGAAAACAGACTTCGCTCTCCGAGGAGTGTGGTAAAAAGCACAAATGAGTTGGGGGTAAGTAAGCTGCTTACCGCTCTGTGCCCTGCCTGGGGAACCCTGTGACGTTAAGTGGGCCCTGGTTTACCATCTGACAGTATACCCACAGGGAGTCAGGCCAAGAGGCTTTAATTTGCTCGACATCAGTTAAAAAAGCCTTAATTGACTTTATAAACTTTATGGCTTTTTCTCAACGGGAAGGTTTAAGTGCTGGCGTGCTCTGTGTTTGGCACAGGCTTTCCCGGGGGAATGAAGCCCTTAAAGGGATTTTGAAGGCAGATAAAAGCCTTCTCTTCCAGGGGTGGCAGAAATACAATAGCCGTGTTGTCATCCTCGCATACACCTACCACCAGGGTTCTTTCAATACGTCCTCAGCACTGAGGTGGAAAGCCTGCTGTGTCAGCCGACTCTTGCAGAACGGTTGCAATCGATTTAGCCTTTTAGAGGTATCTGAGGCTAGGCGCCCCCTCGCTCCCTGCTAAGCACTTGAGTCTCTGCCAGGTAGCCCCATCGATTGCCCTTCCCTTTGTGATTTGGTTCCCAGTGATAATAAATGAGGAGCAGGAAGGTGGGAGAGATGTAGCTTTGGATCTGATGATGGGCAGCCATGCAAGTGACTCAAGCAACATCCAAGTGCACATCAGAGGAAAATCCAGGGAAGACAGCGGAGTTGGCTTTGAACATATGTGAACTAAAGATGTCTAATTTACTGCAGTAGCAGCAAACACGGTGTTTTTCCTAGAAGCTGTTGTACACAAATATAAGTTCAAACCAAGTTCAGGAGAGCAGGAGAGTTCATCTGCATAAAACTGCAGATTAGCTGCAGTTTCTGCAACCATTACGGTTTTTAAATCTGCACTCCATACAAACACGCTGATGCAAACCTGCGGGCAAAGTCGTCTTTTACAGGTAAAAAAAAACAAACTGGAACTTTTGAGGCCAAAAAACACCAATAAATGAGACACCAAACAAAAAACCTGATGACTAAATATCTTCAAATTATCTTTTTACTCACAATTAGGTCTTTCCAAATACGATATTGATATCAGATATCGTTTGATATCAGCCAAAAAACAAATATCGGATTATGTTGGCCTGCATCTAAAATCTCTGATACAAGCAGTCCATTCCAGACTCCACTCTGGCACCTAGCAGCACCCAGATCCAGATCACAACAACAGTGTGTACTAAAGGACAAACTAAATAGCAAGGAGTAGGAGTGATGTCAGCTGTGTGGCAGTATTTTTCGTTTAAGTCCAAAAAAGACATTGTAGCTGGATCAATATTGGTATCGACCGATACTGAAGGCTGCAATATCGGTATCATATCGGAAGTAAAAAAATTGTATTGGGACACCCCTACTCACAATAACAGTTGCACTTCATATCTGTTGATAGATAAATAACTTGTCATCAGGTTACTGCAGACTGCTCAGACATTATGGCATCCCACCTGCTGTTGCTCCCCACATAGACCACTTTTCCTGCACGCAACAAAGCCTGCTAATAGGCCATTTGTCAATAACCATTAAGGCGACAAACCCACAGGTTCCACCTTTTACTGTAAGATCTCCTAAGACAGATATTGATATTACAAAAGTTACTTTTACTAAAAGGTACCCTTGAAACTTAAATCAAGAAAAAAAGACCAGAGGAAAAGTTAGAATCAGAGCTAAAGGAGGGACACAGATAATGAGAGAAATGGATCATCCCTAACTGCAATTGACAAGTGCACCGTTTGAGATAATGGAGGGGAACAAATTAGAAAAAGGAAAAGAAAGGAGACTTGTGTTACAGTTGGGTCACCTTGGTAGCTCACCTGGTGGAGCGTGCACCCATGTACAGAGGTTGAGTCATCACCTCTAAGGCCTGGGCTGGCTTCCAACCTTTGACCTTTGCTGTATATCATCCCCTTCTTCATTTTTCTAACAATCTTAATCATGACAAAAAGGAAAAAAACCTGAAGCCTTTTGATAAAATTTATCCGGATTGAAACGAAAACAAATTGAAAACACTACCGTAAAAAAAGTACTTCAAATGATGTGGGAGTGCTTGTGTCTTTGATTGGAGCTTTGACTTGAATCCGGCTTTTTCAGAATCATATCCCGCCGCCTCAATCTCGGCGCAGACGGGACATCCCTCTTTCATCTCCCTCAGATGTCTGTCAGGAGCTTAAATCATCTGAGGCCAGCCCGAACACCTCCTCGCACACTCCGCGCAAACATGAGACTTCAAGGGTTTTTTATTGGGCGGCCGAGAGTTCCTACCGGGTTGAAAAAGACGCTTTGATTCAAATATTCTTCAGGTGTCAACAACAGCTCTCCGCACGTCAAAAACATCTTGTGACGCAGCGAAGTGTTAAATTGGTACAATCACTCACACATACTTAATATCAGCTCCCCTATGGCAGCACTCCAACAAAGTAATACTGGATCTAATTACCTCTATCGTTTTAAGAGTGAAGGCAATGGAAAAAAAGAGACAGGCCGGCAGATTTGTAGACAGATAAAAGAGAGGTAATTCCAATTTGAAGCCTCCACATCACTCACAGGGGGTGTTGTTTATTGAGTGCAGGGAAGAGTTTAGGTCGAGAGGAGCGCGAGCGTTACTTGTGCTGCAAATAGACCCTTCATGTTTACACAAAAGAGTTTCTCATGTTTAAGTGTAAACATCACTGCTGACATCTGAGTGAGCAGCTTTGTTATACTGAATGAAAAGGGAAGAAGGAGAAGTGATGGCACAGTAAGAAGCAGGCTTTCAGGTGATGTAACCTGCCCTCCAGCAGTCCAAGCACAGATCCTCAATCCGCTCCTGACAACAAACTCCTGACCACATCTAAATCTGTGAACAAATAAATCTCATCGGGTCGTTTAAAACCACGACACAGCACACAGAGTTTGTTTGTTTTCAACTGCCTGTTCTCAAAGTCTTGAGATCAGTCTGCAAAGTGCTGTTTCCCACTCCAAAGTATCTGGATTATTGAAACTCTCCTTGAGATGCTGCCAAACATAGACTGCAGTATCTTCTGGTTACCTGTTCTCTCAGATCTTTCAGCAACTTTTAGTTAAGTCACAAAGTTGCTTCTCTTGCTAAGTGTTGTACAAATTTAACATTTGAACTTGTTTTTACTTTTGTACACCATTTTTAATTTGTCTTATGGGGCGCTCACACCAAGTGCGAGTAGAATCATCTACTCACTTAATTCGCGTGAATCTAGACACTTGAATGGAAAGTATTTACTCGCTTTATTCAGTGGAATCAAGTGATAGACCTCCAACCTCCTCACTCACTTGCCTCGAGGTGAGCTCCTTTTTATTCCGGTTTCGTTAATTGAAAAAGAAGGTATCATACCCACACACCGATAGATCAGGTTGTCCTCCATTTTAGATACCAGTAAACAACCGTCTGTTTTCATACATCCTGGCAACCTTCTTGCTGATTGGTTATTGTGACACGAATATCTGCTCGAGTTGAGACTTTTTCAGCTCCCACCCAATTCGCATCATTCGCGCTGCCAGAGTAATACGAGCGTCTAATCACGTCTTTGCATTGACTTAACATGTAATTTAGTCGTGCGAATGATTTTACTCGTACTTGGTGTGTGGAGACAGTTAGAATTGAATTTGTCATTTTTTTTTGTATCTAAACCAGCCGATGTCATTTTTTTGGCAGCCTTGTGGGCCTGCAACGATTTGTTGACATTGTTGACAAAAATTGATAATGATTGTCGACTATTGTCACCACATATGTTTTTTTTTCAGTGTAGTGAGGCATCTTTTCTTCCTTACGATCTCTGTCTAGAGTCACACATGTGCAAAAGTGTCTCCGCAATGCAGTAGGGTATTCAAACATGGCGGCTCCCACGTCCCATACAGCAGCTACGAGTACTTAAAAAACGTATCACTTAAAAACCTCCAAAGTTTGGGAACACTTTAGCCAAAATAAGGCAAAAAATAGTTAAAAATAACTTGCAAGGTGTGCAAAACAGTGTATCATAGCTGCATGTCAGTGATGCATGAACATTTGAGGAAAAGGCCGGCGGAGCAGTTAGACTCGCCTCGGTAAGATATTATCCGATTAGTCGACTAATCCTTTCAATAGTCAGTGACTTGTCGACTATTAAAATTGTCGTTAGTTGCAGCCCTACACCCTTGATACCCCCAGAGTTCGATGTTGGCCTAAAATGTCAGTTATGTGTTGTATCTAAGCTAGGGCTAGCTTGAGTGATTGAATAACTTTATGAACGAGTAATCCAGTATTTACAAATTAACCAGTTCAAACCGAGATCAAACCAGCTTCTAATCAAAAACAAAACAGAAATATTTTGCATTAAATCTCTTTCTCAGTGAACACTTTCTTTCTACTTCATACGAGTTTCCTTTCAGCTGTTCAAAACTCACACAATGCGCATTCTTGCTCACATCAGCGGCAGCCCTCTTGGTTACATGCCAACAATGATTAAACAGTGAGACAGTCATTCATCATATCAAACCCTCCCAAATAAGATAAACAGTTATGATTGGCCCGACCGCAATCAGGTCAAATGCAAATTTGTCTGGACAAGAGGGGACCAGATGCATCTGCCAGAGCAAATAAAACATGAGGGCAGATTTGTCCAGTTCTCAGGCTAATATCACAAATGTATGAGATTAAAAGGTCACATATTATCACACAAATAGTATTTACAAATAGTCAAATATCTGTATTGTCATGTCAGTTCAGCAACAATGTGCTCCTAAAGGTTGATACTCAGACAGCACTGGTTGGATGTATGTATGCGGATCACACGGTTTCTGACCTGTTTCTTAAATTCAAGGTTAAGTTTCCTGGGAATCCATGGGTGGGATTCATTAAATGTTCTCATAACAATATTTCCTTCCAGTATAAACTCAACAGGAGACATTTAGATGAAAACAATCCTTTGGCTTGGAGCCACGCAGAGTTTAATGGTGAGCATGTAACTCTGCCTGACACCGCAGCAGTGGAGGACAGGAGAGGACTTGGAGGAAAGCCAGAGACTCTGACGTCCACTTAAGAAACTTGGACACTGTATTGAGGAAAGAAGCGAGGAGACTTATATTTTTCTGGCTTAACAAGACCCCCACTTCTTCAGCTATGAATGTGCTATCACTTTCACCTCAATGTAAACCCTATGTTATTGTAGCTTTATGGCTGAACTCTAATTCCCTCTGATATACAGATCCTTCTAAGGTCGTATATTATAATCGTAATTGTTTTCTTTTGTCATGAGTGTTACAGTGTTCTCGTGCAAAAGCGTATATTCCAGGATGAGGATCGACAGATATGGTTTTTTCAGGGCCGATACAGACACCGACTATTAAAAGGAGACCGACAATCAATATTTAGAAGCGATATATTCATTTGCAGTAAAAATGTATATTTCGGCCTTATTTTGAAACACTTGCTTTTATTTTGAAATGAGAAAAGAACCAGAAGTAGTGCGTGCTAGCTCCGTATGCTTCACAGAGACTGCTGCTCTCTCTCCCTCACTGTGGAGCTGTACCTAGAAGCTTGAGTATTGATTGGCTGTCTATGTAGCCAATCAGTGGGGACTGTAGATGCGACATTGTTACACAGTCAAGAGAAGTGACTTCACTGGCAGTTTTCACCACATCCGGAAAGGTAACGAAAAGGCCGTATTCGCCGATCGTAGCTGATCGTAACCGTTCAAGTTAATGTGTCAGTTTCTACCAGCTTCTTTCTGTTCCACTGCGGATCGGCGGACTCCACAGCTGATCGCAGGAGTTCTTTTTTTTCCGGACACCAGAGCATGCCAGATAAAAAGAAGTCTAGAAGTAGATTTCCTCCTCTGGGAGGACACAATCTACTGCTTGTATGGTTAGCCTATGTGGCTGAAGACAACTTGATATTGCGCGATAGCATGTGAATCCGCGGGTTCTTGTGAGTTCTCGCGATTCCTGCTGTCCGGCACAAAATTCGCCTCACAAATGGATCCAGTAGGAATGGGCATAAAATCTCCACCGTTATGGATCTAAGCTATTCTGGATGCGTTGTAAATTCGGAAATGCGTTTTAAAATAAACATATTTTATCAGCTATCGATTGAAAAAAAAGCCGATTATTGTAAAAATGCTGAATATTGGACGATATTATCAGCCTTGCCAATCATCCTTATTCCAGGGACTTCAACTGGTGGTCTTTCTCCTTATCGCTAAAGGAGTCCCTGATTTTCTGGATTGACTCTTTCATCTGTAAAATGTTGAAAAATGGAAAACTTAAAATCAAAAAGCTTCCACCTTTCACCTGAGGGCACACATTTAAAGTCTAAGTACTGTGCAACCAACAGCTCCAAACCCAAGGTTATTCAGTTTACCATCAGAGGTGACTAAGAAAAGCAGAAACTCCACATATCTCAGAAGAGAGCGTTTGACATTTTTGCCTTCACACCAAATGTGATTACGATCATCCAAAATATAACACGCATTAGTGAATAAAAGACCTTGAAGCCTTTTGAAAATGTACAATTTGGAAAGGAGTTTAGCCTTGGAAAAGGGAAGAACTCCTTAGAAAAGTGCAGGGCGGCTTATTCTTCGTTATCCCTGTGAAACTGGCTTTTTTGTTTCTGCCCTTGATGGATGCCTGGTGACCTTAAAGTGCTCCAGACCTTGATTAAAAAGAAAACCTCTTCTGATTGTAATAAACTTGGACTTTGCTTGGTGTTTTTATCCGTTCTTGCTTCAAAAGGAAAAAAAAAAAGGAAAAGCATCACAACAAAACAAAGGGTTACGCAAGCGACCTATCAGCACCAAATCTGGTAAACAATTTGCATAATGCAGCCCGGTAAAGGTCTCCAGGCAACATCACACCTTTTATATCAAGACAATAGTCCTGAGTAAAGCACCACAGCCAGACAATTGTGTAAAAAACATCTGCACCTCTAATTGCTTACACAGCTCTTAAACAGTGGAACACAAAGCAGAAATAATTGGGGTTGCACTTGACACTGAATACAACAAAATACCAGCAAAACACGTATCCACTACGCACCCGGCCCTCCCCCGGAAAAGGCTCTGATTCCTTCTCTGTGAGAGCTCTGCGACTACACTGCCCTGCTGACCCCTGCAAAACAATTAAAAAGCCCTCGGCATACAGAGAGCCTCTAATGGGCCACATATGAGGCTGCTAATAAGACAGAGGTACGGCCACCTGCTGTGGTCTGCCTACTAATGCTGGAGCCTGAACATAGCAGCGGAGGATGGGAAAGGAGGACTGAAGGGAGAAAGTTGTGATGTGGATGGGAGCGGCACAGCAGGTGGGTCTGTGGGAGTGGAAACTGTGAGAGGGAAGACAGAGGGAGGTGAGGGAATCGGGGAGTAAAGACGGAAAAAAAGATGGAGGGAGAGCATCTGCCAACCAAGCTGCATCCCTCTGTCCCACTCCTATTGCAGGGAGGAGGCTCGGTTTGTTTATCACCAGGCCTCCTCGGACTCCCTGCCTGCTCTTCAGATAAAACTAACCGCTGGTGCAGCTGGAATTCATTAAACACGCACAGCCAGGCAGGGCGAGTCAAGCCCAGGTCTGGAGAGGAGAGAAAAGCCAGACAGTGAATGTGGCTTCTCTGTTTGAAATTACAAACAGCCCTACCTTTAATTTCTCCCGTTCTCATTTGAATAAAGAGGACAGACGTGGTAATTAACGGGGTATTAAAAAAGCAAGTCAGAGAGCGGTGAGGGGAGGAGGAGGAGGAGGAAGACGAGGTGGGTGAGGGGGGTACGGCAGTGAGCAGCAGCAGTGGCAGAGTGAGAGAGATAGTAACTAAAAGAGGGGAGAGAAAGAGAGAGGAGCTGTGGAGAATTAATAACAGGGCCAGATCTCTCCAAGGCCTCCTTAATGGGCTGTGACAGGAATTTATTCACACTTAGGCTGGTATTAAATCAAACGCAAGGCGAGTGGCGATGGCAGGCTGCAGCAGAGGAAGAGAGGGGTGGGGCAGAGGGGGGGAGAAAAGAGGGCAGATGTGGCGGAGGAAGCGGCGGAGGTCTGCCATGTTGGTCGGGCCCAGCTTTGGAGGGCTGGAGGGTCATCTTTATAAAGCTCCTTTGGGAAAGATAGGAGGATGGGGAGAGAGAGAGCGGGGGCCAAAAGGGACGCATAAGGGGGACAAACAATGAATGATGTGCCTGTGACAAGATGGCCTGTCCTGCGCCACAGATGGAATGATTCTCAAGTAGCGCAGAGAGCCGCTATGAATCATCCGTCCTCCATTCTGCAAAACGCACCGTCAGTCAGCAGTCAGTCAGTCAGTCAGTCAGGCTGATTCCCACCGCTCTGGCAGCTGGCAAAAATGGAAACACCAAGCGCCGTCCAAATTGCCACTCGCTGACAAATTCAGCTAGCGAATTTATTTGTCATATTCTTTGTTTTCCGCCATTAATTGGCGTGTGACCAGTAATGCTGAGCATTCATTAGCGTAGTAATTTGTGGTCACTTGGGTGCTACAGAATTTTGGTCTCTTTTATTGGAGCAGAAACAGTACGGGTGACTGGGGACCCTGAATTGATATGCACAATCACATTCTCCGGCACCAGAGGTCTGCAGCGCAGAGATTGAGCAATCACAACCCATTAGGCACCAATGAATTATGGCTAATGCTTCTTAAACATTTATGCAAACACCGCCGACTTTCACGCATGCTCAAATAAAGTTGGCGTCTGCATACACACACTCACCTTTGCATAAATTGGAACTCAACTCATATAACACACGTGTGGATGAGCGCCTGGGCTCATTACATACACTACAAGACTATAGCCAGCACAATCACATTTACATTCAGGCACATCCAAACATGATTTGAATAGGTTTTTACACTCCCAGCATGCCTCCCAGTAAAGACACTTGTGGAGAGTAATGAGAGTGATGCCTCCCCCCTCCTTTCACCTCCAACACCCGGTAGATTGCATCACCATCAGTCAGCCAGCCTCCGACAAACAGCAATTACCCCAATCGACAGATAACGAGAGCAAGGCTATCACTCACAGACAGGACACCCCATAAAGCAGCCAGACATTACCATGGAGGAGTCATTTATCTGCCTCTTCTCTAGCTATCCCCCCCCCCAACAACTACAACAACGCTAGCTGGACTGAAGTTAATGAAGTTAATTTGACAAAGTTAATTTGTTTACTTTAGTTATTTTTATCAACAAAAATAAAATGGACTGGGTCAGGACTCAGAATTGACAAGACATTATATATAGTTGAAAAAAACCATTTTTAATTAGTGACCTAAAAGTTTATCAAGACACCTTTTCCAAGTTGAACCAGTTACCAGGAGTGCTAGTTGATCCAAACCAGCACCCAAAAACTCTTCTTAGTGTCCCATTCTGTAAATGTTGTGTCTGTTTACATGTGAATGTGCCTGAGTCCCAAACTTTTGAATGAAGCACATTTATCAGCATGAATATTTGCAGAATATGTCAGAGTAAAGTTGATCTCCATCCATCAAATAGATAAAGATCTACTAAATACAGACAAACTGCGAGTTTCATTAAATCAATCAACTAACACGCCCCCCGGAAAGCCCTTTGTATGATATTATTATGATAAAACACTGAGCTTGTTGAATTTAAGAATACTTGTCAAACATAATTGACCAAAAAATTCTTATTGGCACATATTTAAAGGATATTTTTGGGCCTTTTGCCATAGTTTCATACAACAGCTTGAGAGACGGGAAGTGTGTGGAGATGGAGGGGAAATGAGATGCACTAAACTCTGTCGGGACTGGGAATCAATCATGTGACATGGGAAGAGCATGAGGCCTCTGCAAACAGGGTGTCCAGACTACCAACTGAGCCAAGACCGGCGCCCTACTGAGTAAAGTTTTAAATGACATTCAAACCCAATCCTTAAATAAATCTGTATTGAATATAATCCCTAAATATGGAAGCCGAGGACAAGGACTGGGTGATAATGCCTCAAATCAATATCACAATATATTGCGCAGTTCACCTCGATAACGATAAATGGACGATAACTACTCCACAAGCTTAACTGCGTCTACTTCCACCGCCACTCCTGCCGCTACAACTTCTGAACCGTCCTCCATCTCCTCACCTGTCTTTCCCTCTTTGTTACGGACTGGATGGGCTGGAGTCACGTCTCAGACGTAGGACAGCGTCTTAAAGGGACATGGTACCATTGTCTACCTTCACACATCCAAAACCAACTTTTATATATCTATTTTTTTGACACTGTATATATTGACAGGGGCAAAATGACATGGGTTATTGTCATAAATTTCGTTATCGCTAAGTTTTCGGTTTATCGCCCAGCCCTACTAAAGACCCCAAAATGACTTTATGGTAATTAACAGTGTAAAACACAACAAGTAAGAGAGTTTGACTTGTTCCACTTGCTCTAATAGGTGCATTTGTGGCATTTAGGACATTAGGGAGAACCATGTCACACAGAATGACGTGTCTCCGCTTTCTTATGCAGCTCTGGGGATGTTTGTCACACTCTGCACCTACTTCAGCTTTCCTAAATCCCAAGTGCCTTATTTAGATTTGAAAAGCTCTGTTAGCGCGGAGCACACAAAATATCAGGCTTCAAAATGTCCCCCTCTTGACGTCACAGATGATAAGTCAACATTTCTCTGCAGTTGACAGCAGACACAGGGCTCGGGACGGAGCTGTGGAGAGGATTAAGTAGGGATTGGCCAGCGTATACATTTAGGCTTGAGCCAACACTTCTACTTTACATTATTCCCTCTTGTGGGCACAGAACACACACTTGAATGGCTCTCTTCAGATCCTTCTCTTCTGTTGAATTATAACAAGGGGTGGTGTCTTCTCCAAGGTTATTCCAAATGAGAACAGAGTGTACGAAAATCCCCATCCGCCGATTCAGAATCCTGTTACCCTGCTTTGCTATCAGTCTGCCAATCATCCCTTTCCGTTTTATCGCTCTTTATTATTTACAGCAGAGAGGGAATTTAAATTCTGATGGAAGTCATCTTTTCAGAAAATATTCACTTTCTTCTTTTCTGAGGGGAAATATGAGGCTGGAAAAGCTAAACCACTGTGACATATCAGCTGGGGAGTTTGAAGCATGCTTGGACTTATCTTTTCACTTATGCATCAATCTTCGCGCTCTCTTTTTCCCGCATCCTGATACAGAAGAAGGCATCCTATTTTCCCCTGCTGCAGCTGAATTTCATCAGTCTTCTCTTATTCCTTTTGAAGACCCTATCTGAATGGGGATGGCTTAACTCTGTCAATGCACAACTGTCTAAAAATCTATCAATCTATTCCTTCATCAATCTTTTACACGATGCTTCTTTTCCGTGCATCAACACGCCGCCCCCGGCTCTCTCTGAATCTTTCATTTAAAATAAAAAAGTGCAACAAAATGTTTTTCTTTCACTTGCATTTTGCAACCTGTTAGCAGTATCTCTTAGTGTCCTTGCGTCCTTCACCCTTCACTTCCCACATCTACTCTCTGACAGCACCGCTATCTGTCTGGTCATCCATCCATCTTTAAAACATGCCTCAGCGCCGAACAGTCCATTTCTCTTCCCTGTTTTACTCAACAGATGATTTCCTTCCACCTCTATTTTTCCTTTCCCCTCCATCGCAAATCTTTCATCTACAACTCCATCAGCCTTTTCGTAGTATCTCCCTGTCATTTCATTCCCTGTTGTTTCTTTCTTTCTTTTTTGTTACTTCTCTCCCTCGTTCCTACAGCCTCGCCCTCCACACGGCTTTTTTCCCCCCTTTCTAGTCGAGCACAGCTCAGCCTGTCTGTCTGACTGAAGCAACTGCAGCAGATGTAGCCGGGCCGCAAACATCTGCTTCACTCTGTCCTGCTGCATCTAAACTGACTAACTGCTTTAACTCCCCAAAGCTTGCTGTCCTTACTGCCGCCTTAATGTGCAGCTGTGCAGCCCGGGCGAAAATCACAGCTAAATATGCTGCGAACACATGAGGCACAAACTGGATATCCAAGGGCCAGATTGTAAATCTGGGGCTCTGATAAGTTTAGTGTTCGCCTCTGGGCAGGGTTTGGTCATGTGGACAAATCGTGCCAATCGTGAAAGAAAGTTGCAGGAATAAGAAAAGTAGGAATGTCGAAGTACTTTTCAGAAGTTGTTGAAACCTTGACAATGTCTTCAAAATATCATGAAAATACCTGGGATGATGCAAAATACAGGAATTCATACAAGATAAATGCAAGGTGGTTTTTAAGTGCCTGCGAGGTTGAGATGTGAACCAGTTCGACCTTTTTTCTATTTTCCTGTATGACGTCACCTGTCATTGTTCTCTGACTCTCATGTCTGATAACTTCAAGCACCTGACACCTGCTCTACCAGCAATCAGAGAGAAACAAAGAGACAGATCCTTCAGTAAATTCCTCCAGTGAATGCACTGACTGAGATGTGACACTTAAAGTATGAACGTCCTCGAGAATATGAACTTTATTATAACACTGCTCTTACAGATATGTGCCGCTGGTTTCTGCTGTTTTCATTCAGTAGGTTTACAGCTCAGCTACAGTTAGAGCTCAATCAGGTGATTTAATCTGATTTCCGTCTGTTTCCCTCCCAGTTTACACGCCCTCATCGGCATCATTTTTCGGATGCCCATCAATTTAATCAGTTGATTAAAAAACATCCCTTTACAGCTCTCCTTTTTTATTTGTATGATAAAGTTTTATTTTTATTACGTCTTTTCTTCGTTTGTCGCTTCCTGGCATCGCATCCACGCTACTCAACTTCCAACTCAAAATCCGCCGAGCGAATATTGAAGCATGTGCAGAACACTCAGGTCAGTTTCAGTTCGATAAAACCGTTTACATGACCGAGAAAATCACTCTAACCGCATTATCAGGGTATGTTCATCTGACTGTGAGAAGTTTGATTTAAAGTGATTTCAGTTGTTCTAATGTGTTTACTTCTTTTTTTTTTTAACTCCAGTCTCAGAACTAAAGCAACAAATCGATTTTTTGAACAACACTTACTCCCCTGTGGCATCTCGCCTTCTCTATACACACGTGGACAAAATTGTTGGTACCCCTCAGTTAAAGAAGGAAAAACCCACAATTCTCACTGAAATCACTTGAAACCTACAAAAGTAACAATAAATAAAAATTTATTGAAAATTAAATAATCAAAATCAGCCATTACATTTGAAATGTTGATTAACATAATTATTTAAAAAAAACAAACTAATGAAATAGGGCTGGACAAAAATGATGGTACCTCTATAAAAGATTGAAAACTATTTGACCAGAGTGACATGATTAACTCAGGTGTGTCCTTTAATTGACATCACAGGTGTTTCCAAACTCATAATCAGTCAGTCTGCCTATTTAAAGGGAGACAAGTAGTCACTCTGCTGTTTGGTGAAAAGGTGTGTACCACACTGAACATGGACAACAGAAAGCGAAGGAGAGAATTGTCCCAGGACATCCGAAAAAAAATTATAGACAAACATCTTAAAGGTGCAGGCTATAAGACCATCTCTAAACAGCTTGAAGTTCCTGTGACAACAGTGGCTCATATTATTCAGAAGTTCAAGACCCACGGGACAGTAGCCAACCTCCCTGGACGTGGCCGCAAGAGGAAAATTGATGACAGATTGAAGAGACAGATCGTTCGAATTGTATCCAAAGAGCCCAGGACAACCTCCAAAGAAATTAAAGGTGAACTCCAAGGCCAAGGTACATCAGTGTCAGATCGCACCATTCGTCGTTGTTTGAGCCAAAGTGGACTTCATGGGAGACGACCAAGGAGGACACCACTGCTGAAAAAAATCATAAAAAAGCGAGACTGGAATTTGCAAAAATGCATGTTGACAAGCCACAAAGCTTCTGGGAGAATGTCCTTTGGACAGATGAGACCAAACTGGAGCTTTTTGGTAAGGTACATCAACTCTATGTTCATAGACTCAAAAACCAAGCATACGAAGAAAAGAACACTGTCCCTACGGTGAAACATGGAGGAGGCTCAGCAATGTTTTGGGGCTGCTTTGCTGCATCTGGCACAGGGTGTCTTGAATGTGTGCAAGGTAAAATGAAATCTGACGACTATCAAGGCATTCTGGAGAGAAATGTGCTGCCTAGTGTCAGAAAGCTTGGTCTCAGTCGCAGGTCATGGGTCTTACAACAGGACAACGATCCAAAACACACAGCCAAAAACACCCAAGAATGGCTGAGAGAAAAGCGTTGGACTATTCTAAAGTGGCCTTCCATGAGCCCAGATCTGAATCCCATTGCACATCTGTGGAAGGAGCTGAAACATGCCATTTGGAGAAGACACCCATCAAACCTGAGACAACTGGAGCAGTTTGCTCATGAGGAGTGGGCCAAAATACCTGTTGACAGCTGCAGAACGCTCATTGACAAATACAGAAATCGTTTAATTGCAGTGATTGCCTCAAAAGGTTGTGAGACAAAATATTAAGTTATGGGTACCATCATTTTTGTCCAGCCCTATTTCATTAGTTTGTTTTTTTTAAATAATTATGTTAATCAACAATTCAAAAGTAATGGCTGATTTTGATTATTTAATTTTCTATAAATTTTTATTTATTGTTACTTTTGTAGGTTTCAAGTGATTTCAGTGAGAATTGTGGGTTTTTCCTTCTTTAACTGAGGGGTACCAACAATTTTGTCCACGTGTGTAGATGTCTAGGAGGCATGATGGAGGAACCAAGTGATACCATCACTATGCTGACCTCAGAGTTTGTAACAAGCGCGGGACAAGGTCACTGTGAATGGGCAGAGCAGGCAGGGCAGAACAGTTTTGTGTGTGTGTGTGTGTGTGTGTGTGTGTGTGTGTGTGTGCGCACGGCTCCTATAGTGTGTTCATATGTCATGTTTTCTTCATTTTAGAATACAGTGTAAAACAATACACTGGGGCACTAATGTTATGTTATCATAAGAGCAATAAACAAGTACACAGACATGATAACAACACTGTCGCAGATGTATGACACAAAAAAGTCGTGGCGTGATGTGTTTGAAATCATATACTGGTAGGGTGACCATACATCCTCTTTTACCCAGATATGTCCTCTTTTCGGGGGCTGTCTGGGGTGTCCTGCTTTGTCCGGGGGAGTTTAGAAAATCCTTCAAATGTCCGCGGTTGTATCGAAGTTTTGAGTTTGTGTCACATGGAATTACTATGTTGTAAGCGCATAAAAACACTTGACCTGAACTGAATAACTCTCAAAATTAACTACGTGCAACTCCATGACTCCACCTCCACGTAGTCACAGCCTTGTTTTTGGGGATTCAGAATATGGTCACCCTATACACTGGATATTACATGTGTAGAAAGTAACTGCAAGTAAAATAATATACTTCGTAGCTCTTATATTAACTACTTTCATGACACAGGGATATATCACCAGCACATGTTGGTTTCCGTAAAAGAAGGCCATCTTATTATTCATCAAACAGAGATGACAGAAAATCTGAGGAAAAATAAGGATCTGACAAGCCTGCTATGAACAATGTGGATGCTTTTCTTTCAATCGTAGAGGAAAACAAGAAAATCACAATATACTGTGTTTATTCTGCCGGGCTTCAGTCGAGCCACGGAATATTAATTTTTCTGTTTATTGTTCACTGCCTTCACAGCCTTGACCGGTTTGTTATTTCTTTAAAAAACATAAACTGCTTAAGTTGTCTACAATCAAAACATAAATGGTACTTTCAAACTAAGGTCAAACAGAGTGGAAAGAGTCACTGTCAAAACCTCCTCGCGTGTAAAGAGCTTGTTTGAATAAAAAAGGAAAAATGTTTCAAACATTTGCCGACTCCCTCGTCTGAATGTGAGAATTTGTTTCTTCCCTGTGAAATTGATGTAAATTGACAAACATGTCCTCCTGTTTTCTTTAAACAGGAAAATAAGCGACTTCTCTTGGATATTCAGCTGTGGGTGAAATAACTGAGGCTGTTTCTTCCCTCACTGTAGAAAAAGGCGTTAGAATTCACATTATAGAGATTGTCAATATTGTCATGAATGGTCTCATTTGCTTTCATACATAGACACATCAGGGTTCATTTCAGACTGTTATATAACCTATTAAAACTCCTCAGAGGGGCTTTTAAGTTGTCTTTAATGTCTGTAATACAGTTATACTGCCATAGGGTAGCTCTCATACAAAGTGATTTACAGCACAGAGCCGTCAGGGCAGAAATAAGTGATAGATTTGCCTGCTCAAAGACAGGTAAGATTTTTGAAGTTCTTTATTGTGGCTTTAAGTTTGTTTTCTGTCTGTACAGTTTGTTCCGTTCTTCATTTTTTCGAGGATGTTTTAAGCTTCAAGGTGCAGTTTGTGAAGCAATTTCTAATGCAAGGGTCTTATGTTTCTTAGCTTCAGTGCACTCACACTCACACACACACACGCAAAAAAAAAAAAATACAGACTCAATTTAGGATTATTCAATTTTTCCACTGGTTGAGGCAATGCAGTACGGCTCCAAAGAGGCAGGGCAAAGGAAGGATACAGCCTTGTAAACAACTAGCAGCGAGAAAAAAATAAATAAAAAATACGTCTGTTTTCAAGAATATAAGAGAAAAGGAGCTGAGCAGAAGTGTAAGGACAAAAGAAATGTATGCGATACTTTGATTAGACCCGGAGGGAAAGGCAGAATGCATTCTGGTGTTTACTGAATGTAAACATAAGCTTTGTTTGTTTACAGGAAAACTCTGGAGGGCATCTTTCAGTGAGAGGCTGAAAGGAATCCAAGTTATGCCTTAATATATGCCCTGATTAAATCAAGAATTATGATAACATTTCTGATCAGGAAAACAACATACCCTTCGTATTTTGTGCACAACAAGGACGGTCCATTTCACTTCAAAACAAGTAAAATCTGGTTATTCCCTCCATACACTGGCGGTATAATGAGCTGTTTTTATAACTGTTGCATAATAAGGTGCTTGGACCGGTTGCTGTGCGTTAAGGATTGAAGAAAGTGTAAGGAAAGCTCCTTCGGGTGTGAGCCTGTCTTCTCAATCACTATATACTTGGATCATTTGACGGGACTCTATTTGCATGCAAATTCTTCGCATGGGGGGAAGGTCATATCGTAAACAAGGTTATTTATCACATCTGTACACAGGTCTCTAATAGGATGAAATTACTCCCACTTTCAGGTTTGTGTTTTTTTTATATACTGTCAGTGAGACTCGGAGAGAAAAGGCAGGCTTTCAGCAATCCTTTTGGAGGTGTATGGAGCCTTTGTGCGAAAAGGAGATGCTGTTTGTTTTGGACGGTACTGAGTGCAGTTGAGCGCAGGGTTCACCGCAATGTTTCACCGTGGTGTTAACATTTAAAAGCAGCCGGGGGAGCTGTGCTGAGCTCTTAAAAATAACCAATTCTCATCTCTGCCGCTGACACTCCTGACCTTGGACCATTATCATCGCGGCACACTCAGACGGCTTGGCGTGCACAATCTGTACGGAGTCGGCACAATGCACATACAAAGGGAAGAAAGGGGGAGCGAGGGGACGTTCAGGCGGCACGCGCTCGCACTGAGAGCATGTGCGAGAGGAAATGCGAACGCAATCTTTGTCTCTGCGAGGAAAGAACAAAAGCTCTTTTCTCATTCTCACTCGATATAAATACACTCAAACTATATATACAAACAAAACAAAGCCCTGAAAGACGGGGCAAACTAAAAAGGCCTTCTAAATAATGCATGATGTGTTTTACCTGAACCTTTGCCATTCTCCGCCATCCACAACAACTGAACTCCGGGGAGAAATGAGAACTGCTGGAGGGTATTGTGTGTGTGAGTGTGTGTTTGTGTGTGCGGCTGCTGGCTGTTTACTTCACCTGCATCTTCAGTGTGTGAGATCTTGGCTTCATCGACCCAAGGCTGATATTTGCACACAGCGCTTTAATGTCATCCTGTGCCCCTTTCCCAGAGAGAGATTACACCTAATCCTGGGCTGAAAAATAATCTATGACAGTGAATGCCAAAACATCAAGGGGCTGCGTGTGTCGGCGGTAACACAACCTGTGTTGTGTTCGTATAGATGGCGTGCAGCATCAGCATATTTGTGTAATAGGAGCTACTGTGTTTAGGTTAGGGCGATACAAACAACCTACAATGGCTTGATGTGTATCAGTTTTTTTAAAGCTCCTGTGAGTAACTTTCAGTTTTCAATGATTACGGCAACTCCTGTGGACAAAAACCTCTCGCCCCGAGTGTGTTTCAAATTTCAGGGTTTTTGTGGTTTGTGGATTTTGGTTCCACTTGTTTTGGTTCCCGGCAGCAAAATAAATCTATCAGGACTAAACTTTAGTGAGAAGTTTTAAAAAAGTTGTTCATATCGGGGCTAGCGTGCCCCGCAGCGGTCGCGGGTTCTAGTCCGGCCCTCCGACCATAGTCTTATTACTGAAAATTTTCTGTATTTTAAATTGTGTTTATTTTTGTAAAGCGTAAAGCATTATATATTATATTATGTATAAGCATTGTAAAGCATTATAAATAAATTATTTATTATTATTATTGTTATTATTCATTTTTTAATTTTTATTATTATTATTATTATTTTATGCATCTTTGCAGTTACATTGTGGAGACAGGACGGCTAATTCAAAATATCAGTGCTTTATCTGAAGACAGGTTAGTTATACATTTTGCTCTTTGTGTGATTTTTTAAATCTTTTTCTTATTTATATTTCAAACTTCAGTCTAATTCTGTATTTCAAAAAACCACACAAACTTTAATTTCACTTTAGAGGATTGCCATTTCCCTACAATAATAATAATCGTCAGATTTCATGTAGCGCTTTATCAGAGACCCTTAAAGCGCTTTACATTGGATACATCATTCATTCACTCCCACAGTCACACTCTGGTGGTGGTAAACTACCTTAGTAGTCACAGCTGCCCTGGGGCAGTCTGATGGAAATGTGGCTGCCAGTTTGCGCCTACGGCCTCTCCGACCACCACACAACACTCACAATCATACACCAGTGGAGGACACACACTGGGAGCAAAGTGGGTTAAGTGTCTTGCCCAAGGACACAATGGGTAGACTAGGGATAGGGGGGAATTGAACCACCAACCTTTCATGGGACGACCGCTCTACCTCCTGAGCTACTGCCAACCCTATAGTATCCAAATTCAATGGTCGTATCATTATTTTTGTTGTAATGGAAGGGTAAACCATGACTGCGCTGGATTTAAGTACCTAGCTAAATGCAGCATCACTGTTTGTCAATGTATTTAATTTCTGAAAGGTCGTACGAACGCAGTTTTGGTCCAAACAGACTTCGTTTTTACTGCTTCCATCAAGGAACTATTTTTTATCCATGTTATAGTATGTGTGTATAAATTTGTGCATCCCTCTGCCTAAATTCGATCTGTCTTTTTGCCGCTCGGCTCTAAGCCATGACTCAGGATTTAATCTTTCAGCGTCTAACTTTCCGCCTCTGACTGACAACGTGGCGTGCCTGAAGAAAAGCTCTCTGCGCTCAGCGGCGACAGAAAACGGAGAAAAAGCCTATCTGACAGTGGTTAAATCTGACACAGCGCTGAGGTGTGTTTGATGTAAGACACTTGAAACGACTCGAAAAGTGAAAACCTCACTCATAAGATGTGACAAAAGATCATCTCTTCTTCTCTTCAATTCATATCAAGAGGGGGCCATCAGATTCTGTCTTGTTGAAGTCAGGTGTCTTTAGTCTGTGGGTTTATTCTTTTTGATATTTTACCCATTTACTGGAATAAAAACGAAAATAAAATCTTTCGACTTTTGGAGGAAAATGGAAAAATGCTTCTCTTCAAAGACCTTATAAATCCTTGATGGTCTGATTTGTTATTGAACATCATAAAAATGCATCAGAATCAGATTCAGACTGTTTTCCTTCCCTTTTAAAACTCCTTATAGTGCCTTTAAGTATATTTGATTAATATACAAATTAGGCAGTTTCTTTATACCCAGTGATGCTCCAGAGTAAAGTAAAATCTACAGATGCAAAAAGAAGTGACAACAATATACCAACAATACTACAGGAATTCTCCCCAGTAGAAAAATTCAAATAATGCACTATGCAAATTAAGCTTTTGGAGCATTTTGAGATCAGATTACACAGCATGTCTACATCCAAGTGCACAGTCAGGGTTTCAACAGAAACACAGTATGAAGATAGTCGCTCTGAAAACTGCACTTCTTGTGAGTAGCATTTCCAACCGGCAGCGGTAAATTGCCCATTTAAGCCCAAACTCTATCAGCAGACAATAAAGTTTATCATGTGTAGCCTCTTCATTTTGTTTTCTATAAACCGTTTTTTTTACAACCTGAATAATTGTTATCCAAGTAATGGAAAGAAGGCTGTAAAAGCTTCAGGTTAATGACGGAGATTGAAAAAAAGAAAAAACTAATCTATGATGAATTTTATACCCAATTATTATTTCTTATCTTCAAGATGGATTGCTTTCCTCCAGTTCAGGTAGATTTGATTTCAAATGTCTGCAGGCTTATGGATCTCAGAGGTGAACTCCAACTTCAAAAGTTTTAAATAACATCGTTTATGACGTGATTAATTTTCACTACACTTTCTTCTTGCCTCACCTCATCATTTTACAACCTCTGACTGATCATAAAACCTGAAACTCAAACGGTGTTGTGCTGTAGAGAGACAGGACACAATACCTTGTTGACCTCCAAGATTTCTCTCCTCTCCTCGGCGGTGGAGCGGCTCTGACCAGCTGAGCGGTCCTCATGTTTAGAGCTGTCATCTTCCACAAAGGGTATCAGTTGCTGGAAGGGACAGTAAATAAAAAATGGATGAATTATTTACTACAGAATCATTTTTTATAGAACGATACACTGATAAGACAAGGGTTGTATATTACAGGAAATATAGGATCTACTAGGGCTAGACGATAAACCGAAAATTTACAGATACCGAAATTTCAGACAATAACCGATGTCATTTTGCCAATGTCAATTTATTCAGTGTCAAAATAAATAAATAAATAACAGTTGGTTTTGGATGTGTGTAGGTAGGCTATGGTCTCATGTCCCTTTAAGATGTTGTCCTACGTTGGAGACGTGACTCCACCCCATCCAGCCCGTAACAAAGAGAGAAAAACAGGTGAGGAGATGGAGGACGGTTCAAAAGTTGTAGCAGCTGAAGTAGACAAAGTTAATGTGGGAGGGGGTGAGCAGCTTGTGGAGTAGTTATCGTCCATTTATCATTATCGAGGTGAACTGTTCAATTTATCGTGATATTGATTTGAGGCCATATCGCCCAGCCCTAGGCCATCTACACTATAGAAATATAACACTTTTAAAGCTCATGTCAGGAGTTTTTTGAGGTTTATGAAACAGACTGAAATTCACACAGATGCATTCTTATGATGAATGAAAGTTCTTAATGGTCTTGGTCCGTCTTATTTATCTGATTTGGTTTTACTGTATGAGCATAGTAGAGCCCTCGGGTCTTCAGGTGGTGGTCTTTTAACCCAAAGTAAAAACTAAAACATACGGTGAATCATCATTCCAACATTATGATCCCCATCTGTGGAACAGCCTACCTGCAGACCTAAGAGCGACACCTACTGTTCATATTTTTAAAAGTAAACTCAAGACCTTTTTAGTCAGACTTTTAGTTAAATTTTGTTTTAATCTTTTAATCTGTATTATGTGATTTTACCCTATTTTAGTCATAGAGTAACTATTTTGAGTTTTATTACCTCTTTTTTTGATATACTTTCTTTTATTACTAGATTTTAAGACTGTTTAATTTAATTAACCTTAAACGCTTGATCACCTTTATTATATTTTATCATGGTTGTATCGTTTTAGTCCTAGATCCAGTGTTTCCTCATCTTTTTTAACTCAAGAAAGCGTTTCCTCAGTCCTGACAGAAACCTGAAGGTTCTTCGAGTGTAGTTCGCGCTCTCCCATTTATTGTTTCTTCTAGTAAAACAAACACAACAAGAAGGAATAATTGTTTGATGTCCTGGGTTTAACAGCGACCCTTTCACATCATGAAGTTCAAGCTTCAACTACTCATGGATTTATCGATCGGAACCTAAGTTGGAAAATCTGGGGTGTTTATTATTTAACACGGATTTAGGAGAAACGTGTTGGAAATGCAGGTATTGTGTGAAACATGAAACACAGATAGACCAAAAAGAATGTGAGTTGAAGCTGCTTTGTACTTTTAAACTTTGTTCATTTATTACACTTTGCAATTTTAAACAGTGTTCCCAGTTTCCTCACACTGTGCCGGCTTAATATCACAACGGCACATTTCAGAATTGAAATGATTTTTTTTTTCATTGTGTATTTTATTAAACAGATTGTGTTTTTTGTAATACAATATTCAAGCTTTATCTGTCCCGTTAATTCATTTGAGTGATGCTGACAAACACATTGCTGCACATTCCCATTTCCCCTTCCTTGTATTTCCCCTTGAGTGCCGTTATAGGTCAGAATTACGCGCATATTTGCAGTCACAACCTATGAGTGCCTTCCTCTACTCAAGATATCCCCCATGCTGTCTTGTAATCTCGCTCCCATGAAGTGGTGGAAATGGGGATTCTGTGTAAGCTCTCGATTGCCGGCTGAGTCTCACTTCAACATAAAGAGAGGGACAGATAGGAGAGAGAGAGGCAGAGACAGAAAGTGAGTGGGAGATTAATTCATTTTTCAACGCTCTGTGTGCTTGACCTTGTCTGCTTGACACTACAGTGAGGCTGACGTGCTGGAGCCTTCAGGCGGAGCAGACGACAGGGTCAGTGCCCGCTCCTTTGCATTGCACTGCCCCCTAGTGGTCACGACATGGAGGGGGTGAGGAGGAGAATCACCGCAGTCACACATCAAAGTAATGTGCGAGTGTCTTAAGAACAAAGTGTTCCTGGTAAAACCCACAGCGAGGACGTAAAGAGTCTTACACTGAGGCTGTGTGGTGGATGATCCGTGCAGAGCTGCTGAATAGAGCTAAATTCTGTCAATAACTTGGTGTGTAATGCAGTCAAATGTCTGTGCTATTGTGCAGAATTCCCAGGAAGTACACAGTATCAGTTATGTCGACATAAAGTCAATTTTATAGTTTCACAATCTCAAAAGTGCACAAACCTGCTTTCGAGCGCGATTCCCGACATTTAACGGGCTCGAAAGATAATCTGCTGCGGTTTATTTTACAGGAAGCAAAGATTCACATAAAAAAACTAACATCTCCAAAAAAATAACAGCTCCAAGATTTCCTTTCCAAAACACCAACTGTCATACCAGACAAGATGAAAAACACAGATTATAGGTAGGAGACTCTCAAAACAGCAAGGCGCCAATGAAAACTACCATACAGCTGCAAAACACACCTTGCTCCAATATCAACTTGGCAGGACTCTAATCTAAATCAGGCAGAGTTTTTGGATTATTGAGCTGGACTACTCTGTTGACCCGAGGCGGTGCAGCTGGAGTGGACAGCAGACAGTGATTGGAGAAATCTGCTTGATCTGGAAGAGATGAGTGACTGATGTTTGGGTAGCGCCGGAGCCAGCAGACTTTTGACATCAACAAGAGTGAAACAAAAAAGGGAAAAAAAACAGGAAGAAGAAAAAGGGGGGGCCGACAGTGAAACAAAAGGCAAACTGTAAGACAAAGGGGGGTTAGAGACAAAAGAAAGAAAGAGAACAACAAAATGAGAATGAAGGGAAAAGACACAAAGACACAGAGAGGCCAAAAAGAGGGAAAAGGAGTGGCAAAAAAGACATAAAACCTGGATAACTTTCTCTGCCGCTGACAGTTTCCAGGCCAAGCTCTGCGCCAAACTGTAAACTTAGACTGCTGGACAGAGAAAAGACAGCGAGTACATGTGCAGGATATTATACGAGACAAACTATGAGCTTGTCTCTGGCTCAGAAAACTTTAGGAAAAGTTTTTTCATTAGATAATTTCAGGCTGGAGCCAATGACATATCGCATTTTTAAAGGTAGTGGGCTGATTCTGGCAGCTTCAGGGTGGAAAATGAAATGTGCTGAGTAGGGTGGGAAAGATGGATGGGGAGTGTATTATGTGTGTGTTTGTGTGCGTGTGTGTGTGGGTGCACGTGTAGCAGTGAGTGCGCCTGTGTGAGTCATAACCCCTGCCTCTTGCACAGAGAGATGGATGTGGTTTCCTGGCTGACAGAGAAGAATGGGCTAATGAAGTTCTCCAGGTTGCTGCGCTGGGACAAAAGGAAAAGAAGGAGAGACGAGGTAGAGTGAGAGAAATAAAAGAATAATAAGAAAATAGCAGAGTGCATGTGTAAGAGGGGAGGGAAATGAAACATTACGGCTGTTCAGAGCAGGAAATGACAAGAGAGGGAAGAAGACTTGAACGATAAAAAGAGAGGAACGAAGGAAAACGACAGGAACAGAGTGAAACAAAGCCAGTGAGAATAAACATCTGAAGGAAAGAAAAAATAAGATGGAAAGAAAGAAAGAAAGAAAGAAACAAACAAAGAAAGAAACAAGAGAGAAAGAAAGAAAAAAACACAAAAAGAAAAAAAAGGAGAAATGACACAAGAAAAAGAAAGAAAGAATGAGAGGAAAAAGATAAATAAGAGACAAGAAAGAAAGAAAGAAAGAAAGAAAGAAAGAAAGAAAGAAAGAAAGAAAGAAAGAAAGAAATGACACCAGAAAATAGAAATAATAGGGGAAAAAAAGAAAGGAAAAAAGCAAAATAAGACACAAGAAAGGAAGGAAGGAAGGAAGGGAGGAAGGAAAGAAAGAAAGAAAGAAAAGAAAGAAAGAAAGAAATGAAGAAAGAAAGAAAGAAAGAAAGAAAGAAAGAAAGAAAATAAAGACACAAGAAAGAAAGAAAGAAAATAAGAAAGAAAGAAAGAAAGAAAGAAAATAAAGACACAAGAAAGAAAGAAAAAAGAAAATAAGAAAGAAAGAAAGAAAGAAAGAAAGAAAATAAAGACACAAGAAAGAAAGAATGAAAGAAAGAAAAGGAACAAAAATGTTATTAAAAGATAGTAAATGACATAAAAAGAAGGAAAAGAAAAGAAATGACACAAAAAAGGAAAAAGAATTACTGACAGACAGATGAAGAAAAGGTGGTGGGAAAAAGTAGAAATGGTGAAACTTTAAACAACAGAAATGAAAAGAAATGAGAAAAAAGCCACAAATGAACAAACAAGAGAGAAAGCTCAGAAGAACCAAGTTCAAAAGGCAAGAAAAGAGAGGAGAGGAAGGAGAGAAATAGAAGACTGAAGCTATCAGGATGAAAGCTGGAAAAAAAAGGATTGAGTGAAAAGAAAGAACAAACAGAAAGGAGGAGAAAATGTGAGAGTCCAACGGCTTCAGCGACTGACAGCTGGACAGAAAAAGTAGAAAATGCTGACGTGTACATCCGCTCCAGCTGTTCATTAAGCAGCTCTGTTGCTAATTAGGCTGAGATGAGGTCATGCTGCCCGAGTCATTGATTCCACTTCCTGTTTGGGGCAGCCAATAGTGGGCGGCTGTCAAGCGGGCACCTGAATTCTCTGAGATGATAAATGGCGTGCATGCTGAGGCCAAAATCAACAACCCCTCAGCCTCCAGTACAAACATGGCGAGCTGAGCTATTGGCTGGTCAGCACTGCGCTGGTTTACAGCCTGAAAAGGGGAACGAATAAACATTTAAATAAGGTGGAAATAAGAGGGAGATAAATAGCTCGATGGTGTAATGATTCAATGAGGGTTTACACCATTACTGCAAAGGAAAATGTCACAGTGAACCCCCTCATAGACTGTGAATTAGGGGTGGAACCGCAGACGGCACTCATTTCGAACAACCAGTGGATAGATCATTCGAAATGCTCCGGAGCGGCTGTATTATTCAATGCCAAAAAATGTACACGGTGGCAGCCATCGCAAATTTGTTCCAATTTAAGACCAGTCTCCTCCCACATCCTCCTTTATCCTCAGAAGGAGTCTGGAGAGAGAGATTAGCTCCGAGCCAATCTGTAGAAATTGGGAAGGGACTGCCGCAGTCATAAATCCAATCAAACAGTGGTGGATAGCCTGGCTGTTGCCCTGCATGGAGCTACCAACAGTGCACAGAGAGAGAGTGTGTGTGTGAGTTTATGTGTAAGTGTACGAGCAAAGGGCCATGGGGCTTCACATACATCTCTGTGCTGTATATATTTAGCTTACTGGACACATTAGTGCACACCCTTTTGTGCTTCTGGTGGTGTGTGTGAGTACAGGCTGAGCGTTTGTTCCTGAAGGTGGATGGTGACTGTAACCAGCGGTAAAGAGCCTCTGGAGACTCACCTCAAGCAGCCAATGAATCTGCTGCGAGCACAGAAAAGACAGACCTAGAGGGAGAAGGTGAGATAAGAGTCCCCCAGGGAAAAATGCACATGTGTGTTTGTGTGTGTTTGTGTGTACGGCACTGTAAGAGTGTTAGTTAAGGGGGTGTGGCGTTAACAGTTGGCCTACTTCCTTTAAACTAACAGCTTCCTAATTTAGCAGGCGATTTGCGTAAGAAGCTGTGTGTGCTATATGAGACTTTGGCTGCGGGCGCACGCGGAAAACTCATGACAAGCGTTTCGGCATGTGTGAGAGCATCTGGATGATCAATCAACCCCAATAATTAAAAACGTGGCTCCCCCAACAAACACCACAACATGTTGATGTAATCCCACAGATAGATGCACACATTTAACACAAACACACTGCTATCAGTAATTATATTTCATTCATCAGTAATTGGGCTTTAAATTTCAATTATCTGTAATGTATTTTTTTCTAGAGTGAATTCTCTGGATATCTGAGCAGCATTCTTAGAGGAAAAACTCTGATTTCAGATCTCTGTCCTCCTGTTTTCATTTCATTTTTTGATGTTTAAAGTTGTCTTGTGAGTATTTAGTATAGACTGTATATACTATGGACAACTTGGTTCGGCTTTCCGCCAGTATATGGATTTGACACCAAAAAGCTCTCGGTAATTCCGAGTTTTCTCCCCACTTCCTGAAACCAACATTGCGCAGTAGCGTTGTACGCACTCCACCACTTGCGCAGTGGCATTGTGCACATTGGGCGGGAGAGTCACCGAGAGTCGCTGTGATGACGCTCGGCTCAAACAGCGTATCCCCGGGTGAGCTACGCAATCCTTGTACGCCAATAGGCTGTATCAAGTGTCAATCATAGAAAACATGAACCCCCAATAACTTGTAAAAATGGAGCTGCACATTAAAAAGAGGACTTGAACATAAACCAGTCTAACACTTACGACATGTCAACATCACAAGGAGGGGGGAGAAAAATTTATGTTCTCTGTAATAAATTTCTGAAGTTTGTCCACAGCTCCATAGGAATTGCTGGAGGAGGCGGGATTTATGACCTATATTGCAGCCCGTCACAAGAGGGTGCTGTTCTCAGAGTGGCTTCACCCAGCAAGGAGCCAGACGGTGTCCATTCTATATACAGTCTATGGTATTTAGATTTCTTATCTTTAGGTTACCACTTTGTAACACCTGGACTGTAGGGGTGGGAATCACTAGTGGCCCCTCGATACAATATGTTACTTTGGCCACGATACGATATTATTACGATTTTTAACATTTTGCAATACAGTGAGTATTACGATCTCATATATCGCAATTTATACAATTTTTACAACTGTTTAGATAATTTAGCATTTGGCTTTCCTTTACGTTTGTCTTGATTATGTTTGTCGTATTTTATTGTCATGTAGCACATCTTGCAAACCTTTTAAATATTTGTTGTACTAACTTTCTCCTGCTCTATTCTGTCACCTCTGCCAACCTCACTGGACAACCAGTTGTTTTTATTTTTCCATTATCATAGATTTGACTTCATATTAGCAATTAATTTGAAAAATCGATACTTGGTAAATGAGACGATACGATATATATCACCAGACAAAATATCGCGATACTATGCTATATCGATTTTTTCTCCCACCCCTACTGGATTGCGGATAATATCGTTACTGAACTGGACAGCAGCTCTTCTCTAGTCTTAAAAGTGATTCAACACCCAATGTCACATACAGTATAACCATTATACTGGCAGAGGATGTTGTATGAAGCACCCATTAGTATTAAATAACCTCACTCATACACAGAGTGCACCACACAGGGGAAACCCAGGGTTCAAAGTCCTGCTCAAGGACACTTCCATGTGTTACTCTAACCCTGAGCCACAGCTGCTCCCAAATAACTGAAATGGAAGTTTTTCAAGGCAAGAATCACACTTTAGATATTTATGGTGTTTAATCTGGACTAAAAATAAAGTTGTGGATATCTTGTCTGAAAATTCAAATAAGGAATATGATGTCATTTATCACACGAAGAAAGGTGTTGTGGATTCGATACCATCTTGTGGTGTTTCCTAATTAGCAGAAAAACTTAATAACCAATGCGGAATGCGCACATGATCATGAAAGACACAGATCTTTGTCTTTTATAATAAAGATGTTAATTTTAATTGTGTGCCCCCAAGACCTCATTTGAGTGCCTCTTTATCTCCAACAACAGTAAGAAAAGCATTGTGGGTATCTGAAATACTTGTACAGATATACTTAAATGAATGTCGGGTCTAACTCTTAAATGTTAAAAACACTTGTGATGTGAGCATGGAACTAAAAATGACAGTTTATGTGTTAAGTATGAAATAAACCGTCTTACAATGTTCTCTACCTGTTATTGTTTTTCCTCAGCTGTTATCTTGTTTTCTGTTGACTCTGCCCGCTCTTGTTAGCTTGTTATCTCAACCCAGTGAAGGCCTGAAGGTGATCATGTGTATGCCCCTCTCTGTAAAGGTGTTGATATTCGTGTGTGTCAGTTTCTCAGCAGGTAATTCAGCCCGGTAATATTTCATGAGCACAGTTATGCCTCTGCGCTTTAGCTTACATCCAGTTTATGCCGAGGATCAAGAAAATTAAAGCGTGATGCTAGATCAAAAAAGCAACTGTTCTTTGTGTGGGAGAGGAGTGGGAAGAAGGGAGAGAGCTGATCTCGAACTACATGCCCGCACTCACACCTGGCAGAGATCTGCAGCAGCGTCTATTGTTCTGTTGAACCGTAAAAACACGGCTGTGAGAACCACCCCTGCCAACATAACATTAAAAACTCATTCTCTGGTGCCTCAGTACTTCTCTCTTTTTTCAGGCAATCGCCAAAAGCTTGCACACAAGTACATGGGTTTCTTTGTTTGCTCTTTTGTTTAATTAGATTGTATACCTTCTTCAGTTCCAACTCTACAGGCAGGACATGTTTTTTGTTTTGGATGAAAAGATAAGCAGAACAGGAACAATCTTCGTCTGTACAGCACTAAATTCTTTTCCACGCGACGCTTAACTGGTAGCCACTCCTAGACCTCGACAAGTTTCATGTTATTTTAGTCGGATTGGGATCAAACTGGAGAGATCAGTGATTTTAATTTGGATGACTGCCAAGCTGTTCTGCTGCCTGCATCCCTCTAAGTGGTAGACTCTTCCTGGGCGAGGTTAACACAACACAACTACAGTGCCAGACAGTGTAATTTGGCTAATTATGTTTTACCTAATAAGGGGGTAAGAAACACACACAGGCAAGAAACACCTGAAATCATCAAAACACTTCCATAAAAGTCCTCAGAGTACGGATGAATACATGACAAACCACCGTGATTCAGCGCTGACTTAAAGGTTTTTGGCACAAAAATGTCCAAAATCAGCAACATCTGCACTCATGTTTCACAGCAACAACACTCAAATACAAACATGACTAAAACTCTGGACTTTCAGAGTCATGAGGTTTTGATTCCAGGCATCTGTAGACAGGATTTCACATCATGCAAAAACCACAGACTGCTTAAGACATGGACCCGATCTCAGAGAGGTGATCCACTGATGTCATGACGAAGCCTGTAGATAAGGAACGCCACATTGAAAATGCTGACTCCAATTAAAGGTGGGGTAAGCAGGATCTGAGGAAGTGCCAGTTTTTGGCAGAAATCTTGAATGTAAACACTTTACCTCCCAACCAGTTTTCCCCTCAGCTCCTCCTCTCCTCTTTGTCTCGCTCCAGCAAGCCCCGCCCACAAACAGACGCTCCTGCTTGCTTCTATCGTTCCAATTAAATTCAGATATAATGCCGATAAATACTTCAGATAATTACAAATGGGCCCCAGTCAAGGTGAAAGTAAAAAGCATTGGTGCTACTGTAGATGCCAACAGACTACCAGCAAACACAATGTTTGCAGGACTTCAACAACTAGGATAAAGTGACATAGTCCAGGACCCGAGGTCAACAGTTTAGCGGCGCTACAACACGCAGCAGGTCCAGTTTGACAAGAAACACTTCTGTTACAGACACTTGGCTTACTTTGTTAAAAGGGTTTCACTGTTCAGCAGAAAGGTTACAGGGTCTGTAAGATCCCAAAGCGTCCCCCATCATTGTTGACCCGGGCTTTTTAGCTCTTGTCCGGTCTACCTCTGTTTTAAGCGCCCGTTATTCCACCAGAGTCTCCAGTATTTACTTTGTTTTCTTGCTTGTGTTGGCGGTCGTGGCTATAGAAGGATTCAGACAATTTTCTGTACTTTCTGGTTGGTTTCTACTGTCCGATATCGTAGCATGCTTACTTTGTTTGGGCTCCTGAACGACATGGGGGAGCAGCGTCTGCAGACAACCAATCAGGTTGGGGGAGGTGGGGAATGCAGTGTTGTTTTCGTTGCCGGTGACATAGATGAAAATATTTTGTCAACGTCATCGTCAACGAAAACAACACTGCAGAATATATGTTTAGCGTTTGACTGACGAAATGCTCATGAATTTTGCAACTCTGTTCGTCATCCACCACTAACATTTTCGTCTAGTCTTGTTTCGTCAACGTAAACGCACATTCGTCTCGTCACATTTTAGTCATCTAAGTTGTTTAGCTTGTCAACGTCACATCTTCGTCGTGGAAAAAAAGGGGCGTTGATGAAAACAACACTGGGGTAATAGCTTTGTTTACAGTCAGAAAGAGCGGAGTGCTCAAAAAATTTAAAATGTTGACTACAGGGACATAACAAAACACAGCCATATCGTGATATTACCAAATGTCATCAGTAACTAATAGCTATTGACTGATATTAAAAGCTTTTTTGTATATACACCACAAAAAAAGATGCATCTTTAACGGATTCCTGCCTTCCCCACCTTTAAGTTTTGACTGATCTAGAAACCATCAAAGAGGTGGAGATGTGGCCACGGCGCAGCTGCCTCAACGGTAAAACGAGCCACAATGGAAAGCTGAATTTTAAACCAGTAACACACCAGTCATAAAAACTCACCTCCTATCACACTGGTGTGAAAATATTTTGTGTTTTCCAGTCTGTGTCAGCGTGTCTCACCTCTGGAGGTATGGAGTCCAGCCCGGCACAGTTTTCGTTGCATTTGTCATAGACGAGACGAAGCTTTCGGAACAGCACAGAAAGCATGCGTAGGTGCTCCTGGAGCTTTCCCAGCCTGTCCTGGTGGGTCTGTGGGTGGTAGGTGACTCCATTAGGCAGCTGGAAAGCACCACAGAGGAGACATTGTGTTAAGCAAAGTACTAACCCACAGTTTAGCGAATGCTAATAAAAAGTAACAGGCATTGATCACCCTCTGAGCACTACAAGCTCTATAAACCCTCTGCTGTTGCCATAGTGAAGATTCACATGTATTTACACTAATAACAAAACACAGTTTCCGCTCTACTTCAGAGTGAGAGCAACTTGACTGTAATTAAACCTCAGTGTGTTCATGTTTGTGTCCGTGTGCCATTATGGTAACAGATCTTGATTCAATAATTAAATCACACTTTAAAAAATTAAAAGGTTAAGAGCCTCAGCTGCTGCAACTGTGTTTATTTTCATTTATTCGCATGCTGAGGCAGCATTACTGGCTTTTAACTACAATGAGTGTAAAGAGCAACTAGACATGTTTTTATTTAAAGGATCGATGAACCTCTGGAGCAGCACTGTCTGATTATAAATATCCTATATGATATGAAACAAGTGCACCTTCAAGGCAGGCAAAATGAAGAGTGACACAGAGAAACAGAGGTGAGAAAGACAACCAGACAGACAGTGAGAGGAGAAGGAGGAGGAGGAGGAGGGATAAATGAAGAATTTTTATGAGTATAAAGCCAGGCTGTGATCTAAGAGAAAAAAACAAGTCACAACAATGCTGTTTGTGCATTCTGTGGCTGATGCCTGTTTGTTTGCTCCGTCTCTCTGGCTGTGGTTCTAACAAGGTGCAGGAGGAGCGTCTCAGAGGAGGAGGCAGACATCCATGATAAACTCAAACTGACCTCGTCTCCAGGACAGAACCAGAGCTGAGCTACGTGTGAATTACAGAACATAGTTGAGATTGCTGATGCATTAGTTTTCTTACCCTGACTGGTGTCAAGTTCTGCCATGACAAGTATTTTGCAATGCCATCAAAACCAGTTTGAAAAGACTCACACAAGATATCCACTTCCTGTAAGAGCTGTGCAGCCACGACGGCAGGCAAAAAAAAGTTTTTGCAGAGGAGTGATTTTAGGTAACAATATTGACTGGATCCCTCTGAGCAGAGCCACGCTCACTGCCTCCTCTTCATGTCAAAGTCGGTGTCAGTGTTTACAGTGAAAGTGAACCGTAGCACTGGGATCAAGTAAGCTTTGGCTCTTCTCTCTCCCATGTTTAAAGTCAGCAAGTAACAGCAACATTCATCACAGTGCGTTGAATAGAAAGCCGAGCCTTTTCTTTACTAGTGGTGCGTTTCTGTTCACAAACACTTTGTCAACATTTATCTGTTGGATAATGTGGATTTTATATCATTGCATTTTCTCTACTTTGTGAACAAAATGTTTTTCCTGCAGTTTAAACCATTCTGGTGTCAACAATTTTACCACACCAACAGCTGCTTGGCATCAGAGAATGGATTGCAATGTTTACCCCTGAAAAAAAAGAGGACAAAATCCTCTCTTTTACATCAAGGGTTTTTGTAAGATCTGCATTATCCTGGTTTATTTTTTAAAATCTTTTTCACTTATCAAAATACAAACGGACACATGTGGCAAAAACAGGTGAAAATTTCAAATCTGTATTTGACTTATTTTTCAGTTCAGTTTCAGTTTTGTCGGTAAATCTGGGGGCGGCACAGTGGTGTAGTGGTTAGCACTGTCGCCTCACAGCAAGAAGGTCCTGGTTTCGAATCTGGGTCTGAGCGTTACTGTGTGGAGTTTGCATGTTCTCCCTGTGTCTGTGTGGGTTTACCCCGGGTACTCTGGTTTCCTCCCACATCCCAAAAACATGCAGAAGTGGGGTTAGGTTAATTGGCCACTTTCAAATTGCCCGTAGGTGTGACTGTGAGTGTGGATGGTTGTTCATCTCTATATGTCAGCCCTGTGATGAACTGGTGACTTGTCCAGGGTGTCCCCTGCCTTCGCCCGAAGATGCTGGGATAGGCTCCAGCCCTCCCCTGTGAATGGGAATAAGCGGTAGGAAATGGATGGATGGATGTCAGGACGTAAGGACGCCCTTACATTTAAAAGATATGTGCAGAGCTGGTTGCCTGTAATTTTTTTGTTTTGATAGACTGTCTTAGAAAGTTCAAGTGTTCCAGTAATCTATATACATGTACAGGCTCTTCAAACTGTCCAGCCCCATTCAATTACAAACATTTGATCCCCAGAGAACTTGGTAGTTGTTTGTTATGACATTTGAATCAAGATCCAGAAAACCTAGATTCACTATCTTCTTTTCCCTTTTTGCAGATTCCTTTTCTAACCTATTTTCAGTCTTTAAATCATGTGAACTTAAAACTCTTAAATGTCCCTAAATGTTTTTTTTTTTAATCCACTGGTGTTAATGCTGGACCTGATACTTGCAGTCAAACATTTGCAGGCTGGCTGTACTGATGCCTCTGCTTCATAACAACCCTCCATTTGTTGTTCAGTCTCCATACAGTCTTTTATTAAATCATGCATCAAAAGTATTTTAAAGCAGAGCCTTCCCTGCCTTTGTTTACACTCATATGATGCTGTTTTATCTCTTGTATCGACCTGTTGTGTTTCCACATCGGGGAAAATGTTAAAGACAGAAGAGAGTAAAAATAGAGCTGATCAGGAGGTGTAGTTGCATTTGACATGTAGGTGGAAAGTGCGTGGACAGTGTGAGACAGACCTGCATGTTCCTGAGGAGCTGGAAGATCTCCATCGTCCGGAGAACAATATCCTGGACTGTCTCTTGGCCGATGCGGCACAGAGAGGCCGTGTTGACATCCCGCGCTGCCTGGGCCTGCTGCTGCTGTTGCTGCGGGGGTGGAGGCTGCCCGCCAAAAGGTGAAACAAGCGGAGGGGTTGTCATGGAGACGGTAGGGTTGGGTTGCTGGCTGGTGGATGATGGAAGTCTGCGTCCAGGTCCAGGTAACCTTTCAGGTTAATCCACACCGGCACACCCTTACATGCCTTTATAAAGAAACAATAGAAGAAGGAGAAGTTAGGTAATAGAATCATATTATTGTATGACAGATAGGTAGATAGATAGATAGATAGATAGATAGATAGATAGATACTTTATTAATCCCACAGGGAAATTCAAAGATGACGACTTTTATACAATAACAAAACGTGGCATAGTGATCTAAATAACTAAAATTCATTTAGATGAAGCTCAAAAACGGGCTGATTTACAACAGATGGTCTTTGAGCTAACGTTACAGCCTTTAATATAAGTTGTAAGTGAAGGTTTTTGAACAGTTAAACTCGCTTTCACATCACTACAAGTCTTTTAAATGCTGTTCTTTGGTTGTAAATGCCTCACCGGCAGCATTCAGCTCGACAGTTATCAAGTATGTCGAAGACTAACGGCTGTCACCAGAGCTAAGAGGACAGCCACAACGCGACAATTCAGCTCTTTCTCTTCATTTCTCCTGTGTCATTTGTTCGTTTTAGCTCTGAATCTATCTTTACATCAAGGTGAATGTTCACAGTTTGTCAAAAACACATTAAATTACATTAAATGTTACCTGTGTGGTGACAATTTATCTGTTTTGTTGACATATTAAGTTTCCTGCTCTCCTAGTATCTCGGATGCTACAACTATCGCGAGATTCAGACGTGATACCCTGACTGGTTGCAGTAAATGACAAAATAGATGCGCAACAAAACATTATATTCTCCCTTTTCGTAGTGTTTTGACAGAATTATATTGTTTTGTTCTCTAAAATCTCCTAATTTAGATGCATCTAGATTAAGTAAAACCCACACTTATGTATTAACCTGAAATATCCACTGATTTTTATCCAAACAGACATCAACATTACGGTAAAGAAGTGCGCACTGCAGATTTGTCAGGGTGTTTAAGGTAACAGCGCCATTTGCTGGTGGAATCTCATAAAACAGTCGAGTCATAGTGCTCCTGAGTTCATCAGCCCCCAGGCTAATTTACACTACATCATTACTTCTCATGGGTCATTATAACTTTTTTAGTAAGCATATTTCATATTCATCCCCTAAATGGGTTATGTTGTCTACTCTGTGTTTAATCAAACCCTTCAATGCAGCCACCCATCCATTTCTTATAGAGTACAGCTGTGCTTGGATTATTTTGAGAGCCATCAGAATTCAAATTAATTTGAAAGAAGAGGTGTTAGACATAGACAGGCGGCTCTGTGGGACTGCTTCCTCAGCGTGTGCTCTGCCATGCAGCAGAATTACTGATCTGACTTACGGGGCCTGGAAATGAGAGCTTTATTGAAAAAATGAAAAGCTTTGCCTTCAGGCTTGAGTGGGGCTGAAAAAGTAGATTAGGATGCCTATTACTTAATTCACATTATTCATTAAAATTTGGGGTCGCAGACTGGATTTCAATTTCCTTCTTTCTGAAACAAATTCTCTGTAATAATAACCTGATGTGGTTTTTATTCTGTTTCTCCAAAAAGTCCATGTCTGGAACATACAACACTGATATGAAAACACAAAGTCAAGTTCACTTGACTGCCCACAACTTTATAATTGCAGCCAGAGTGCTGGTTAGCTTGTCACGATGAATGAGCATTATTCTTACAATCCCCATCTGCCGCACCGCCAGACCAACTGAGGCATGCCATGTAGAAATGAGTTTCTCCGTAATCAACCAGCATGTCTTCTTGGGATGCTTAATTGGAAGGAGGGAGCAGTGATGAAAGGTGGATGGAGGCAGGTTGTGAGGTAAAAATGCTTTTACACCGTTACTGCAAAATGTCATAGTCAAAATACAGACCCTAGAATATCATTGAAAAGTTTATTTATTTCCATAATTCAATTAAAAAAAGTTAAACTTTGATTGATTATAGATTCAGGGCCCACAATTTTAAATGATTTCAAGTATTTATTTGTTTATTTTTACATAATTTGGGCTCCCAGCTCATAAAACCCACAAAAACAGAAATTAAAAAAAATAAAATACTGTGAAGAAACCAGCCCAAATTTTGCAGATCTAAAATCAAAGCTCATTCACACAAAACTATGGAAAAGGTTGGAAAATACTCTGTCCCTGTGCTCATTTTGTCAATATGCTCATCACAAGCTGGGCTGATAAGACAGCTATCTTCAGACCCTTAGCTGTGAGCAAGATCATCTATCATCACTGATCAAAGCGAGGAGAAAAACAACAGTGAGTATTGATCACATCAAGCAAGTTGGTGAAAAATGCTCTGAATTTAAAAGGCTTTTTCATGTCCATGTAATCGAACCTCACTGAGACAAAGTAGGGCTGTAAATTCAAAAGAGACCTTTATTTATAGTGGGGTAATGCCTCTACAAATGTCAAATTTCTCATTATTGTCATCTTGCACAGTTTAAATCAACCACTACAGTCACAAACCTTATGAGAGACTGGCCTCAAATAAATTACTGAATAAAAAGAGGCAGTATCTCAGTTTTAGAGGGGTTCTCGGAATCATATAATAGGCTATTTGCATTAAAGACTGAGATTTCCCTGAAATTGCAGGCTGATGCATCATCTTCTGTGCTGCAGGTGTTTGAACCTTGAACACGGAAAGTGAGGCAGCGAGGGGAAGACGGAGAGAAAGAGGGGGATGTAGTTATGAATAAAGAAAGACAGAGAAATTCTCTTTAAAAAAGGACACAGACAGACGGATCTGAACTGAAACGATGCAATAACAATCATCGGCTGAGGGGGTATCAGGACTAAACAGGATTATCCAACCACTTCATGCATTACTTATGCTTTAATTAAAACACACTGATCCTATCCCTTTAGGTTTATAAATTCAGATGAAGACAGGAGGGACTACAATGATCTCCTCTGAGGGCAGCATCACACCCTCAGCAAGCTTCACCTCTGAGCATCTCTGAATAGAAGAAGGAGATTAGTAAAGCTGAGAGTCGAGGAAACAGAGCCTCGAGGTGAAGGTGTCAGCATTTGGGTCAGTGCACAGGGGTGCTTTGTAATTAAGTAGGGGTGTAAGAATCAGCATGAATTATCTTTTTCCTCAACATTTAACAAGACAATTATCAGCAGAATGTGCTACTCGATCAATGTGGAGTTATGTGCATTATCAAAATATGTATACACCTATCATCTATGATTTAACAACCACTCAAAGGTGAAGTGCATGACATTATGTCTTTACAGTGGGACCTGTCAGTGAGTGGGATACGTTAGGCAGCATTTTGACATTTTAAACTTGAAGGTGGGGTAGGCAGGATTCTGTTAAAGAAGCATCTTTTTTTTTTTGGTGTATATACAAAGACGCTTTTTATATCAGTCAATAGCTATTAGTTATTGATGACATTTGGTAATACAATGATATCGCTGCGTTTTCTTATGTCTGTGTAGTCAACATTTTAAATTTTTTCAGCGGCCCGCTCTTTCTGAAAAGAAAGAAATCCGAACATGCACCTCTTGTCCTGCAACTTCCCCAGATCTTAATCCATTCGTGGACCTGCTGGATAATCTCACAACTTTCAGGACTTGAAGGATCTGCTGCTTACACCTCCATACCAACACACCCTCAAAGATCAAGAGGAGTTTATATGACGTGTATTGCTGTTTTTGGCAGATTGTCAGATGCTACTGTTTTTATCTTACGGATTAACCCTTTATGTGTTTCTTGATGGCAACACATGCAACTCCGGACTCTATTCAGTTCACTTTACCACATGATGCTGTTAAGTGTAAAATATCTACAGTGTCTTGAGCGTGGTCCAAACAGTGCACAACAATTTAAAACCGTCATATCATGACATGATGTGGCTTGACCATGTTCTGCTGGGTTCATGTTTCAGGTTTCTACATCTGTGGGTCCTCACACAGTTTACACCCAGCCTTCTGGTCGGACTCTCTCTCCATTTGAATCGTAACACAGTGGAAGTTGTAGGAGGAGAAACAAGCCTGTGTTATTTCTCTGAGGACCGCCTGAGAATCCACCGACTCATCTGTGGAGGAGAGAGGCAGACAAAGGAAAAGGAAATAAACATGTTAGTCACCTTTTGTTTTCATGTTGAATATTTATTATGTGCCTTAAAAGCCGAGCGCTCCCTTCAGCGAGAAAAGAAAAGAACGAAAGAGAAAAACATCCAGAGGCATGCGAAGAGCCCCTTGAGGTTGCATCACCCATTCACAGATGGTGTTTGAGCTTATTTTACACTCGAAAGCAGAACTGTTGGAGGGATTAAAACTGGAGAGATATTTCCTCTTTTTTAAGTTTTAAAGAATCGAGGAAAACTATCAGGAGAGGGAAGGAGCTTAAAATATGCATGCGTATTTAGCACTCAAAAACAAGCTGTTATCAGAGCATTATGAAAGTGGAGACAGCTCATACTTTAAAGGTTTCTCCTCACCTATGGCCACATGTGCAGATAGTACAGCCTGGTTCGTGGTGAGAGCCCAGATGTGGAGGTTGTGGATGGATGTCACACCCTTCACTGACAGCACATGATCCCGCACTTCCCCATACTTCACACCAGCAGAAGTACCTGAGTCATGATAGAAAAAAAAAAAAAGAAAGAGGAAGAGTTCATTCGGCGTGCCGGGTGAAAAAACAATGTAGAAAAGGAACTTTTTTTGGTTCCTACCTTCCATCAGGACGAGAAGAATGTCCCTCATGATGGTGACGGTTGTGCACAAAATGAAAATGGCGAACAGGAAGGTGCAGATGGGATCAGCTATCTTATATTCAGGCTGAAAGAAACGAGAATCAAGGTGTTCATGTCTGTGGCTCTTTAAAGCTTCTGTGAGGAACGTTTGGTTGGAGTCAATTTTGGTGCCCCCTTGTGGATAAATAAGTTTCATTTGTGTATCATGGATGTATCATTTATTATGAATAATTTATACCTCTTGAGTCAATGAGGGACTGGTAAAAGTCTGGCTAAAAACTAGCGGATGCTGGAAGAGAGTAGGTGAGTTGTGTTTAGTCTCTTTGCTAAAGAAATCTGGCAAAGTTAAAGTGCTCTGGCTGGGACCCTATATGTACCGTTGATAAAGTTAGGTGCTGTTCTGAGCATTATTTGTGGCTATAGAGTGGCGTTTTGGTTGAGGTGAGACTGCGTGTATTGCTATCATGCGGTCATCACTAAAGTTGGTATAACTAGAGAAGCAAGCGGTCTGCAACATTCATCTCTCGAGGGGGTATCTAACTCTGTTACAGTGTGTTTGACCCTAAGTTAATTTTACGCTGGAATATCCCTTTAAAAATCACAATATCAAAATGGTTAGTCTTGTCGCTGATGGTCTCATTATTACCTTGAAAAATATAATGATGGCACTGATAAAAACAGAGACACTCTGGAGAAGATCTCCCAGCACATGGACAAAAGCTGCATGCATGCTGGCGTTGGCCTGCTTAGTCCTTTGTCCTGGAAATATAAAGTTTTTCTGTTAGATCCCGAAGGTTAAAGTTTGGGTTTAGGGGGTTAAAGATGAGTTAGATTTTTAAAGTAAGGGTAAGAGGAGTAAGAGTGAGTTGGGTAAGACCAGGGTGACTAGAGTTAGAGTTAGGATAAAGGGTTTGGTTTCACTTAGTAACAGATGAAATATGGACTGGAACACAAGGAACATACCTTGACCAACACTGTTTTGTTCCATATGTTGCTGCTCCTCATTTAAATCAGGATTGGTTGAGGTTTTCATGTGTCCATTTCCTTCTTTGTGACCGTGTTGGTGACTATGCAAGTGTAGACCCCCGTGACTGTGGCCATCGCCAGAGTAGTGTAGTATAATGGCCATGCTTTTTAGGAAGATATAATAAAAGTATTAAAAACCTAAAAGTTCTAAACAAATAAAAGTTTCTTTAAAAAAAAAAAGGTTATTTTACTTACATTATATTAGCGATCACAGCACAACCAGATGTAATGAGCATGATGGTGCCATCGACGGTGTAGTCATCATTGATGAGGCGAAGCACGGCCAGATAAACCAACAGTCCAGTCACCAGCCAGATGGTGATGACTGACAGCAGCGCACCCAGGATCTCTGCATTTGTCACAACATGAGGAATGTGAGGAGGAATAGATATAAATAAAAATGCAGTTAGAAGTGGTGTTAAAATATCATCTTAAAGTCCATCCAATTAACTGAAGTTTATCTGTGTAACCCTGTGAGTGAATGGAAGATCTATCCAGCCTAGAGTGTGTATGGTTAACATATTAGTTTGCTCGAAAGCTAGTCTTGTTTTGACACTAGTTAGGTTTCCATCTGTAACAGTAACTCATGCCGACACTTTACCCGTGTGAATAAATAGTGACAGCTCAGGCAAACATTTGATCACCGAGGCAGGTCTTTCATTAATGCTGTTCACTAAATCCATTCCCTTTATAGAGGAGGTGTGTGTGTGTGGTTCAGGAGACAGCATCATTATTAGCTAATACTTTGTAAGATCGGGCTGTAGATTTTAATCCTATAATTAGTGACAGCTGTTTTTACAGTTTGTCTCCCCGTCTACACGGGGCGCACGGTAAACCAGTTTGGGTGGTGCTTTGTTATGATAGCTGTCACTGCAATATTATGTACATACGTGCAAGATATAGTGTCTGTGAGTGAAGCTGTATGCTTGATGTTCTTCGGCCAACTCTGTGTGTAAATCTCTAGTGAAGATTTGCTGCATTCACCTGGTGTATTTCAGCATCCATGTGTATCTTAGTGGCTACTGTTTACCATAGCTTATTTGCGTAACGGGGTTGATTGAGGACCTTTTAAAGTCAGACATGGATCTGTTTGATGTTATAGAGTACTGCAACAAGCTTACTAACCATTATGAACTTTACAAGCTGGTTGTTTGCATCATATCCCAACATCTTCTATGTACAGTAATTGCATTATATCCTCAGCGCATCACATAATTTAATATTTGTTTTGTATTATTCCATACAGTATCATATATCATTCTATTTACTTTCATTTTTTGTATTGTATCATAAGAGTGCATATCTTATTAAATCTAAACATACAATTTACTCTCTTTAGTTTTCTTAAACATTATTTTTTGTATATGATGTTTTTTTTAAGTATCATCACTTTTTATTGCTTCCAAAATTTTTGTTATGTGTTGTTTAGTTTTATTTCATTCATTCATTGCCTCCTATAATATTGCATTTAACCCTCCTCCTGTGTTAGGGTCTACACCGACCTGGTTTTGTTTTTAAATGCTTAAAAGAACCACATAAATTAGCTTTTTTGCATCAATACTTTTTGAATTTGTCAGGAAACTCTATATTAATAAAATAAAAATAAAAAATTTAAATTGACTAAATTATAAAATGCTCTTATTAAAATTATGGCACTGACTGGCACCATGTGAGATTTAGGAAATCCTCATTTTGCCTTATTTTTCCCTGCACAAAAAACAGCCTCAGGTATGTCCAGACATGTGAGATCAATTCAGTATAGATGTCTGTATGAGGGTATACTGACAAAGAAAGGCCCAGAGGCCCACAACAAAAATATTATAAGCAATATTTTCATAGATAATGAATCCTTACAAGGTAACCTAGAGATGAGAACCAAATTGGATGATAGAGAAATGTTTTTAGTGTAATTTACAGCTGATTGAAGACACAGTGCATAGTAAAAGCTAACACAGGAGGAAGGTTAAATGTATTGGTTTGTATGGTACCATAACCCAGGATGAGTTGTCTCAACCATCGCCCCTCAAAGTAAAACTCAATGAACTGTAAAGACCTCTTTAACACACTAGTTCTCCTTTAGTCAGTTGAATTTTTTGGTTCCATACTGTTATAATGTCAAATGTCGGTGTCAGTCAGGAAACCTGACAGCTAATGATGAATAAGCGACATGAACACCACACCTGCTCGATGCCAGCCAAAGCTCAGCTTGTGTGTGGCGGGTCTAGTGGAGAGCCAGAGGGATATCAGGCTGATGATGAAGCTGATCAAGTCTACCAACAGGTGGGCAGCGTCTGTCATCACAGCAAGACTGCCGGCAAAATACCCACCTGCAGAAAGTAATAAACAGAGAATTGCCCAATCGAGGAGTTTGTGAATAAATAAGTAATAATCTTAAAACAATCAAGACAACAGTAAATTATAAGACATCTGTTTGATAAGTCAATATGAAGAAGGTAAAGACTTACCGAGGATTTCACCAATCACAAAAATCAGGCAGACGGCTGAGACCAAATACAGCCTCTGCCTGACAACTTTCTTCTCTTTGTTGCGATCCTGTAGTGTGTGGTTGTTGTCATGGCAATGCTGGATGCCTGCGACTTTCTGTGATGTCTTGGTCGAACAGTCCCTGGAGTTACATTAAGATCGGAACAGTTTGCAAGTGGCTTGCGAATATGTACATTATGTGATTGATATCTAATGCTGCAGAGTCTTATGCAACTATCATCAACCATTTTTAATTAACCTGTCTATCGCTAAAGGAACAGGAGTTAAGGGGTTAGCACTCAGAAATGTCATTAAAGCTCCAACAAAAGCATCTACAGACCATTTGGTTTACAGGATGAATGTTTAAAAACCGAAGCGTTAAGATTATACAAAAACAGATTGAGCAACTCCTCACACTGGGGAGACTGAGACATTCATTTTGGGATATAAATAAGTTAGTTTGGGGTTCAAAGAAAAAAACTAGAAGAACATTTTGGGGCAACTTCATGAGCGTGTCAAAAAACTTGCAGATTAGAAAAAAAGTAAGTGAACTGCTTAGTAAGGACAGTAGGACGGCCCTGCATTTGTGTCTTCCATTTATTATATTTATTAAATGTGGTACTTGCACAAACAACATTTACGTATCTCAATGCAATGTGAGCTCAAACCAGTCAAATACTTAAATCCTGGCAGTTCCCAGAACAGTTTCAGGTGGAAAAACCAGTTCGTAGTCATGGTGACATGAGCACAGACACAGCCCTCAGCACAACTGACATGGTGGATACTCAGGTGATGTTTGTCAAAATGAAAACTTCAGATAAAAAGAAGAATAAGAATTTACTCCAAACATATCAGTTAAATTTGACCTAATACATTGTCTGTGTATTTAAAATGGAATACTGTGAGGTTTACCTTTCCACGTTGTTGTTTGCCTTCTTTGTGTCCAACACAGGTATAACTCCCTCTGTGTCCTCGTTGTTTGACATGACTGACATATTCTTCAAGGTGCAAGTAAAAATAAAAGGGAAGCTAAATCATACAGAAAAAAAATCATGTAATTTGTTAGTACTCCTGTGAAAACTTCAGGTAAGTATCTCCAGTGCTTCCCATGTCTTGCTGTGACCCTCCTTTGGCTTTGTTGATTCTTCTAAACATTTTATGAGCTTTCTGTTAAACAGCCCAGAGAGAAAACATCTGCTCAGATGATGCAAACGTGAACCATGCATATGCATGACCACCTGAACATGTGAGGCTGAGCGTTACCTTAAGTAATCTCAATGTAAAGCTTAACAAAAAACAATGAATGTTATCTTTACTTTGTTTTGACCAAACGGTTGATGTTGGATAAACCTTTGAATAGTTTGTTTGTTTGTTTCTTTAGTCGGTCCATGTGTTGTGTAAGTTGGTAGGTGGGGTTGTTGGTTTAGGACCGCCCACTATCTTGGCCCACCACAAAAAGTGGTGACACAATAATGAGAAACCCAAGAGAAATACATTTTATGAGAAATCCAAAGAGGTCAAATTTACTGAAGCAGTTGCTAGTGAATTTCTGGAAACTTCAGCAGAGTGCTAAAAGTTGGATTGGAAAACTATGAGCTACTTCTAATTTCCTGTCAGTATGTATGAAACCATTTGATCTCCTGTCCACACAGTTTGTTTTCTGCATCATTCAACTCAATATAAGGGCCTGTGTCCACAAGTAGCGTTTAAGTGGCAGCACCTTTTTTCTATGGCACACAAAGCCATCGCAGTCCAACATTTTCAGAGTCCACTGTGCGAAAATACCTTCAGCATCAACTGATTTTGTTGCTAAATTCTCATTTGAAAATAGTTGAATCACTGCTACATCACTGCCATTGTCGTTTATCCATCAAAGAAACAGTTACATTCTATCGTTTTTAGGTTTTACTCTTAAAATGTTAAATTGAAACAGAAACATAAAACAGATTAAAAGAAGCAAAATGCCTTGAGACAATTTTTGTGACCCAACAACGGTAAGTGCAAATAGGCGATTAAAAGCAAGGTCAGCGTTAGTGGACACAGGCCCTGACTGTTTCTCTGCTTTGCATAAATGCTACGTTCCAGTTGTACTCAGAAATTCGGGATTTCCGAACTCCAAGTCAGAAAATCATCTGGAACGCCCCCCTGAAGTCAGATTTTTGACTAGGAAAGTCGGACAATCCTCGCCAACCCCGACTTGACGACATCGTCATAATTCAAAATGGCAGCACAGTGCATCGACAGTTAAGAGTAACAGTTTGTTTTTGTGAAATTAAGTAAGTGGTTTATGTTGTACTACCCAACCTCTAACTGTGAACACGGTGTATGGTGTTTGTAAGAGTAAAATACTGTGTTGTGTTGTTAACAACTGGTATAGCTAACAACTACTAACAATCGCTGACAATGGCTAATAACAACTGACAATTGTAAGCAACAGCTAACAATGGGTAACTGTAGATGTCCATCTTGGTTTTCTTGACTAACTAGAACGGCGTCAACTCGGGTGCAACATCATTCCCAGCTCCGACTTCTGAGGTAACTGGAACGCAGCAAAAGCTCCTACAGAAAGACTTCATCCTGGTCCATTTGAAGGTAGGATGAACCAAATGGGTAAATACAGATCAGCATCGTCTAAAGCCAAACCCGACTCTACATCAACAGATATAGCTCTCCTTGTAACCTGGAAATACTGGTTTATTTATATGCCCAAATCACCCACTTTATGTGAAGTCTAAGTAATCAGATAAAACAAGACCCGCTTCTTCTGTCCGTCTCATGTTTCCTAAGGGGCACAGGCCCAGGAAATGAGGACTCATAGATTTGCCTACTTCTCATGTTTTGAAGTATTTGTAAAGGCTTGGCAGGCATTACAAACAATAAGCCACTTAGTGTGACTAATTAAACTGCAAGGACTTGTTTCCTCTAACGCATGCAATTTTCTGCTCAGGGTTGGAGCCATAAAACTGGGTTGATTTTTCTTGAAAAGGGATCAGAGAAAGGACTGAGAGCCTGGTTTCTTTTTAGGGTTTGGTTGCGAAGATTGCCTCTCTGAGATCTTACAAGAAAGCGCTTCAGCAGACAGTCTAATTTTTTGTTGGTCCTTGTGCCCTCTTCACATCAACCCCTTCTTTTCTATAAACTACGGACGCGCATTGGAAGGCCATTTGGAAAGCCAAGAATATGGCTGTTCTGTTGCTCCATTTTGAGGTATATTATGTGTCCAAAAAAACTACCATAGCAGTAAGTATTTGAAAAATGAATATTTTATTGAGTAACTCATTTCTGCTTGTGCATTACAACTTTACAAAGACAATGAAGGGCACTTTGACCCATTAAAAAACATTTGATGCTCCCAACAAAGAGTACTTTTGAGGTTGCTTGTTAGTTTTCCATGCATAGAAATATTTATGATGTATATATTTACATACCAGACCAAGTTTCATTGCCTGTGGCTGTAAACTATTCTTACGATTGGTGCAAGTAGTAAATACTGAAACAAATAGTACTTCCACGGCTTGAATGTTTCCCCAAATGTAACAAGGTAAATAGTATTTCAAGGTAGTCGATAGATATATGACTTCAAAGTTACTCAATCATGAACATTTATAGATTCAAAAAAGATGAGCGTTTACTTTCTACAGTGCATTGTACTTTCTATTCTATCACGTGTTCACTTAAAAGAAAAAAAAAAGAATATCAAGTTTAAAGCAAGTTTAAAACTTGTCCGTCTAAAATCATTTAAAGTTTCATTCAGCCCCATTTCTTCAAGAGTGTCAACACAAAGGCACTTAAAGCACAGCCGTACACGGTGGCCTTAACACCACAGTGGGATACAAGACCTCTGGGTCCTAGGAGCAGTGCAGGGTGACTAAATGTTGTGTACTGAGGTTAAAACAGCTGTCATTTGGCCTTACGCTGCTACATCTGTGGGTCCTCGCACAGTTTGCACATGGGATTCTGATCGAACTGTCTCTCTATTTGGATTGTAACAGAGTGGAAGTTGTAGGAGGAGAAACAAGCCTGCGTTATTTCTCTTTGGACAGCGTGAGGATCCACCGACTCGTCTGTGGAGGAGAGAGGAAAGAAATAAACACATTGGTCATCCTGAATATAGATGTGTTTGAACAATGCCAATTAGATCAGAACGTCTATTTTCTTTTTACCAATGGCCACATGTGCAGATAGTACAGCCTGGTTCATGGTGAGGGCCGAGATGTGGAGGTTGTGGATGGATGTCACCCCCTTCACTGACAGCAGATGATCTCGCACCTCACTGTACTTCACACCAGCAGGAGTACCTGAGAGGAACAGGTGAGCTGTAACTCTACGACTCTGAGAAGAATCAAGGACTCAAGAGGAATGAGACGGAGAGGCTTACCCTCCATCAGGACGAGGAGAATATCCCTCATGATGGTGAAGGTTGTGCACAAGACGAAGATGGAGAACAGGAAGGTACAGATAGGATCAGCAATCTTATATTCAGGCTGAAAGACAAGAATAATTGATAATGGTTAAGGGCATCTCTAGAACATTAAAAACCTTGAGTCAGACCTACTCTGCGCTCCTCATCTCCTTAAGCTTCACTTGGTAAGAATCCCAACGTTGCTTACACGCTCCTTACCTTAAAGTAGATGATTATGGCACTAACAAGCACGCTTATGCTCTGCAGAAGATCCCCCACCACATGGACGAAGGCGGCACGGACGCTGGCATTGGTTTGTTGAGTCCTTCCTCCTCCTGATCATTTAAGTAGAATATTCAATATAAGGGGTTAAGCTGTACAATGCCTATTCTTCAAAAAGTGTGTAAAATGTTAAAAATTGATTATGTTTGTTTTTCAAATCCTTTTATCTCTTTATTAATCAAAAATAGTGCAAAGACACCAAATGTAGGGTTTAAAAAATTGACTGTTTCATGGAAACACTTTTGCATTTTGGAGTTTTAATCTTCATTTGTGGATGAGTGTAAACTGTGTTCACATACAATGGTTTCCTTAAAGTTCTTGCATTTCATACTGAGGAGGATTTTTCATTAAGTTGCTGAATTACTTAGTCCAACTTGTTTGGAGATGTTCCTCCAGGTATGTTTCTTATATTACACACCTTTGTCAGTTTTTGTTTTCCCCATCCAAATCTTTTCTGATGCATCGCTGGTATCAAATGTAACATGATTATGTTTGTATAAAACAAAAGAAGTTGAAGTGTTCACATACGATGGTTTCCTTAAAGTTCTTGAATTTTATACCAAGGAAGATTATTTAGTAAGTTGTTGAATTACTTGCTAACACAGAGAGTTGAACCTCTCTCCAAAAGTTCCCTTTTGATACCCATTCATGTTATCAACCTGTTGCACATGAGCCCAATGAGTTTGAGGATGTTCCTCTAGGTATATTTCTTATATTATTCTTCTTTGTCAGTTTTTGTTTTCCCCGTCCAAATCTTCTCTGATGCATCAGATGCATGATTATGTTAGTATAAAACAAAAAAAGTTGAAGTTTTAGCTTCTAAAATGTTGTCTTTGCACTATTTTTAACTACATTTGGGGTTTAAATGACTTTTAATTGATCAAAATCTGTTATTATCAACGTTTTAAAATCATCCAAACTTCTTTTAAACTTGAAGGTCAAGACTTCTGTTCTCGGAGCTTACTATGATCAACTCCGTTGTGCTCTGGATCTACGTGGTCATCTTTGCAGTTGGAAATGTTCGGCACCATTTTCACTCCTTTTCCTTTGCTGTGACTGTGGCTATGCCCATGTGAGCCACGACCTCCATGACTGTGGCCGTGCCCATGTGAGCTAAGACCCCCGTGACTGTGGCCATGGCCGGACTGGTGAAGCGTAAGCGCCATGCTATTGAGAACAGGAACAAAGCATTACCAGATTATGAAATTAATCAGCTCAGAGATACAAGGTATTATGGCAACATAACCCCAAAATGTGCTCCATGAAATTGGACTAAGTATTGGCATCCTCAACGACGGGCTTAAAGCAATAATAAGTAAAAAAATGTGCAGATAAACCCTGCAGAGAGAGAAGAGACCAGAGTGTGTATATTCTACTCACACAATATTAGCCAGAACAGCACAACCGGAGGTCATGAGCATGATCGTGCCTTCAATGGTGTAGTCATCGTGGATGATACGCTCCACAGCCAGATACACCAACACCCCGGTTACAAGCCAGATGGTGAAGATCGACAGGAGTGCACCCAAGATCTCTGCAGGGGTTAAAAAAGAAAAGGAGTTAAAAAATAATCAACTTTTAAGTAAAGGGGCCAAAAAAGGTGAGGAAGTAGAGTCTTGGTACTATAAAAACGTCATCCAAAAGTGTCTATTTTTGTGACTTAACCATCAAGATAACAGAGCTTTAAAAACATTTGACACTTATTATAACAGAGATGATGATAATACTGTACCTGCACGATGCCAGCCATAGCTCAGCTTATGTGTGGCAGGTCTGGAGGAGAGCCAGAGGGATATCAGGCTGATGATGAAGCTGGTGAAGTCTACCAGCAGGTGAGCGGCGTCTGTCATCACCGCAAGACTGTCTGCAAAATACCCACCTGCAGACAGATCAGACCGTATTCTTAAAATATCCTCATATATGCAGCTGAAATGCTGGATTCTCATTATGCAGAAAGTAATCAAAGCATAAATAACAAAAAAGGAAAGACAGTAAAGGGGGGTGAACAAGTCATGAGGTAGCTCAGAAGAATGACCATTTGAGTGGAGGTGAATGGGGAGGTTTTCAGAGTCAAGGAGGATATAAAGCTTCTCCTTGTTTTTGGCGAGAGGAAACCAAATTCACCCTGAAGCCTTTCCTCTCTGACGTCACATGGTAAGCCAAAAGTTTTAAGCTTCTTGTTGATGTGTTTCAACTTTTAAATCATATCTGTAAACTCATACATCCTTAAATCAGACACAAACTGATCAATAAGTGACAATGAACTGGACATTTAAGGACAATCAAAGATGCTTTATCAAGTTTAGTTTACTTGTGGACCTCTGCCACTTTCTAGCTAATATTGTCACAGGCTAGGGAGTGGCTGAGGAGCCTTATGTGATATACTTGCAGGATGTTAATGATCACACCATTGTGTGATGATCTAATGCAGTCCACCTGTTATTGTATGATCTAAAGGTGCAGGATGTAGTTTTTTCTAGATCTAGTAGAAATAGAATTGAGTATAAGGCATGTTTAAATGTGTGTATAAAGGGGAAACCATTCAAATTAGGGGCATAGGGTGAAAAATCAGGAATTAAAAGTTTAAATAACTCACCAAGGATTTCACCGATCATGAAAATCAGGCAAATGACGGAGACCAGATACAACCTCCTCCGGGCCTGTTTCTTCTCTCCCTCACGGTCAGCCTGCGCATGGCTGTTGTCGTGACAATGTTTGACGCTCCCGGAGCCGTTCAGCTTCTCTTGGTATGTCATGCTAGACAAACACAAAAAACAAATGCATGAAGCGACATCTTTGTAATGTCCGAGTTGACGTCAATTCTATAAACATACAAACACGTACTCTATAGGTGTGTCCCAAATCACATACTTCCATACTATTGAGTATGTCAGTAAGTATACTTCTTTCCATTTTGAGTTGAGTATACTCAAAATTTTAAGTATTTAGTACTGGAAGTATGTATCATATTTGATACATACTTTTATATACTTCTATCAAATCAATATGATCAACAAATTACTGAAAAAACACCTGAATACAGCCCGATAAAGCCATTCTTACTGATGAAATGAGTGCGGGTGAGTGTCCACAGTCGGTACTCAAAATTTTGACCTATTTGAGTACATCATCCGGGTACTTTTGCATACTTAATTTTCGCATACTATCCATACTTTTTTCCATTTTGAGTTGAGTATACTCAAAACTTTAAGTATGTAGTATAGAAGTATGCGATTTGGGACACACCATATGTTTAAACCTCTTTACCCAACAGCTGACTCTTCAACCGTTCTTGAGGGTGAGGTTCAATAATTCATCAACATAACTGATAAACAAATCCACTTGTATGTTACTTAGCTGACAATTTAAGCACTTACATAAATCTGATTAAGCATACATATACGCACACGTATGAGTAGATGAAAAAAGTCGAAGTTATTTTACTGTATAAAAGTACTTTAAAAAGTCACTAAAGAGCTTTAGGAAATCAGAGTAGCAGTTTATATGCTTATAAAGCCAAGTCAGCCAACAGCAAATGGTCATGTGCCTGATGACTATTATGAAGTAATATTACAACCACGACCAGCTTGAGTTTCCTTAAAATGAGCTGAATTGAAGCTGCGAAGGGGAAAAGTGTGAAATTATGAATACAGAAAAAAACGCCCAGGTTGAGACTGTTCGCTTCATCTGAAGGCTCACTAATAATCCACAAATACCTCCGTTTTTCCCTGATGTAATCTAAAACAACAGGTTTAGCCATCTATTAAGTGCTATAATCCTGAGTAAAGGTTAATATGGAATTAATGAAAAATGAGCTGTCAAATGTTTCTTTCTTAAATTTAATCTGACTCGCCAAATTTGAGAGCTGTGGAGATAAATCACCAGCTGAGGGATATGTGCAAAAACACCTTCTCTGTATGTTTCTTGGAGAACCTCTGATGGTATCACATGTTTTCAGCCATGGTGTAGGATGCTTAGATTGAGCTGGGACACTTATGGAGAAGTGTTGGAGCTTAACGTTTGATTTTAATTCTTTTAGTTTGTCTCTTCTTACTTTAATATCTGATTAATGTTGTTTAATGTTTGATTTGAGTCTTAATATATGACGACATAGTATAGGGTAAATATGTTCATTAGGTTTCCATGTGCACACCGCCCTGTGTTTCTGCCACATCTCCATCAGGGATGACCTGAATCTGAACAGTAGGACTACTTAAAAAAGAAAACTCAGTGAAATGCACGTTTGCACACTGCTAATCCCTGCAGACCCCAGACCAGCCCCGTGTGAAAAAACCAGCAGACTACAGACAGGAACGTGAGCAAAGACACTGCCCCAAATCAAGACCACAACAATGACTCTTAGTTCAAGATACGGGTAAAATGTAAATGCAAATAATGATCCAATAAAACTCACTTAATTAACAAACAAATATATGACATGGACAATTAGAATAAATAAAAACTTAGATTGATTTCTGAATGTTAAAAGGAGATGTCCTCATATTAAGTGTTGTCTCTAACTTTGAAAATAAAACCTTACCTTTCTACAATTGCATATGTGTTCTTTAAATCCCCAACAAGGGGGATTTTCTCTGAAGCCTTGTTCATGAACATCACTGATGCCTTCAGGAGATACAATCGGCAGGAAAGTCCTCCAAACCGAAAGGATGCCCAAAAAGATGACCAAAAAATGTAAAAATGTCCGAGAGAACTTTTTAAAAACTTTAAAGCCCGTAGTTTTGACTAGTAAAAGTAATTCCTGAAATTTTCCAAGAGTTTGTCTCCTCTTGATAAAAACCCACTTTAACACTCCTTAGACATCCTTCTTAATCCGTCCAGGGTGCAAATAGTGAAATGTGTGATGCAGCCTTGTGACTACCATTCTTCGCACCGTGTGCAAATTCAACACCGCCTGCAACAGTGCCGGTGAAGCGGAGCGGGGTGATTGCAGGAGAAGGTGACGGCCTGTCCTGAGAGAAAACAGAGAGATCAGCCTCCAGGAGATAACGCGCGTCCCAGCAGAACAAAAACCTCCATGACTGGGCTAAAGTGATCCAGATATTCCTCCCATCTGAGTAAAACGCTTCAATTTTGGGGTTAAATTAGTTTTCTAATCAAAATGTGCACAAGGGGAAGTTTGATCATCGGGCATGGACGCTCCAATTCACTCAAGCCCCGCCCACCTCCTCTGATCAACCGGCACGTAGTGATTATACAATCAAATGCCGTGCGCTTTGACCTTTGTGTTTGGATCACATGGTCGTTTTTCCGGTTTGGGCCATTCTCATCCCACTCAGTAAATGACTCTTTTTTACCTTTAGGCTATACTTAAATCCAGCTCCAATCTGTCAGACCATTTTGTCACTATACGGACTTTTAATGTGCAGTTTGACCCTCATTTGTTTAACGCCAGGTTAAGCACACCTGAGGATTTATTCAGCCTGTAACATAAAGAATGTATGGAAGCACATCAGTGACATAATGATAAATAAAAAATAGATTAAAAATTTAGACTTTAAGAAAAAAAATTCAAATCAAATGTCAAAATTATACTACTACTACTACTACTACTACTACTACTACTAAAAATAATAATAATAATAATTTTTATTTATAACACACTTTAACTGGTGTTTAAAGAGGCTTTACAAAGGAAAAAAAAATACAGAAAATTTTGAGAAATAAAACCAACAATGTAAAGGTTAAAAAAGACACAATATGAAAAGACAATAAAAGAACAGTTTACAGGTTAAAAGCCAATTTAAAAAGTTGTGTTTTTTGATGATAATAGATTTTATTTTATACAATAAATGTTTTTTCTGTCAGTTGCTTTGACCAGAGTTTTCTGCCTTTTTTTTTTTATCTCAGTGTCACCTCTCTCCCAATCTTTTTTTTTTTTTTTTACATTGTGACTCACATATTCTCAAGACTGATTTTTCATCACATTATAGCTGTTTGTTGGACCAAAAAAAAATATATATATGTACTTTTTGGTCCAATTTTGGTATTTTTCATCTATATATTCAGTATTTGTTTAACGCCAGGTTAAGCACACCTGAGGATTTATTTAGCCTGTAACATAAAGAATGTATGGAAGCACATTAGTGACATAAAGATAAAAAAACTAAATAGTGGTCAAGAGTTATTAATTTGATTGTTCCATTGGGCAGAAATCTGAATTCAGAAATCAGTTTTGGTCCTGTAACTAACCTGCACGAGCACCTTAGAAACTTTAAGCTTCCAGCAAATATGGTAACACTTAAAGTAAATTATAATAAAGCTCACTAACTCGAGGTAAATATTGAGACAATAATACTTTAATCAGAGATTAAAACGCTAATTCATGATTTCTTATGTATTTGACCTTTATATTTTCAGTAAGCCATACCAGAGAAAGTCCAATTTTTTTAACCCAGAGTACTTACTTTGTCTTTAGTAAATCTTGACTGTAATTTCAAACCCTCAAACTTCATATTCAGAGTTTTTTTAATGGCATATTAAACTCAGCAAACAGAATAACACAAATTCAACAAGTCAGAATGCACATTGTGCAGGATTTTAAAAAATTATATTTCAGCAGATTAACCAACAGGAAAATCTGCTCTAAGAATGCACACTCAATGTTTATTTTACAGTTACATAATCTCTCGAGCTTTAAAAGTCAAATGCAGGTTTTAGTGTTTGTTTCCAAAATTAAACACAAGGTGGAGACAGTGAGCCGTCTACAGCTGAGCAGCCCAATGAGGTAGACCCCTTTTATGAAAAGGATGAATAGATACTATGTCTGTGATACTATTTATTGATATCATTGATATGTTTTAATATATCTTTAATGATAAAGTCCCAGTTTTTTCAAGTTTGCACTGCATGTATTCAGGGTTGGAGAGTTAATAATTACATATACTCATGGTGCAGTAATTGAGAAGTTCTTTTGTGCTTTTATTTGGGTATTTTCTGCAGAAAGTTGTGTACTAGATTTTACATACCATCAGTTAGAGATAAATAATATCACAAAAAACACGCAAACTTACTGTATCTAATGTGACAGCAAGCTAATAGGATGCAGAAAACCCTTTAAAGCTTACCTAGTGAATACGTGTCATTTCAAATCTAACTATCTCATCACACATAGTCAATGCTACATTGACAAAACTGACAGAAAATGCTGCAAAAATATTTATTTCCTAAACCTTGAAAATCCCTCCACGCGTTGATGCTGTAAGTTAAAATAAAAGTGTGAGTTCTGAAGGTCCCACAACCTGCATATTAATCTATATATTAGATCTTTTTATAAGAGTTTGAAAGTGTAAACTCCTGCTTTACAAAACAGCTCACTTGCTCCAGCCCAACAAGTTTTTTTTCAAGCCATGCTCATTAAATCACTTAAGTCAACATGAAACTTTGTAGGCTTGCTTTTTTATACTTTGCCCACAAGGAGGCAGTGTAAGGAGGGGCTCGATAAGCTCTAAAAAGAGCAGCCATGACAATGACATTATTGGCCTAATCATATAGCATACAGCAATGTCAATTCAAGTCATCATCATCATTTAATCTGTAATGAAGCATACTAAATATTTTGTTTTGCTTCTGAACGGGATCACCTGACCTGGAGAAGTTAAGATCTTTGTCAAAACAGTGCCATACTCAGTCCTTGTAAGTACATTTTGACTCAAATACTTCTTACTTCTTACTTTTACTTGAGTTGATGAACAGACTGGTAGTTTTATTTTTGCTTAAGTCAAGTTCCATCAAAGTATCTGTATTTAAAGCTCCTATAAAGAGCTTTTTTGTCTTTTATGAAGTAGATTGAAATTCACATTGATGCCTTTTGATGATATCAGCAGCAAGATTGACCAAATTTGACCAAAGTTATTTTCTATTACCTGACAACTGTGAGAGGTGTCAGCCAAGCAGCTGGAGAAACTGCCTGGTTTTAACAGTTTCCACATTGACACCTGATACAGCCTATTGGCGTTCAGGGATTGCATAGCTCACCCGGGGGATACGCTGTTTGAGCCGAGCGTCATCACAGCGACTCTCGGCGACTCTCCCGCCAAATGCGTACAATGCTAATGCGCAACGTTGGTTTCAGGAAATGAAGAAAGATTGTGGAAATACCGAGAGCTTTTTGGCTTCAAATCCGTATACAGGCAGGAGGCAGAACCAAGTTGTCCATAGTACACACAGTCTATGGTGTTTACCTGTTATTTATGGACTGGTATTTGAGTATTTGTACTTCACACAGATGGCGTTATCTTTTGGAGAATTTACTTCTACTCCCCTACATTTGACAGACAAAGAAAGAAAGATATATATACCTGTGCTACACAAGTATAAATTTATATGCACTAATTCACAAAGCAATGTCTGACGTGACAGCGTACAAACCCTACATCAATGCTATTCAGCGTCTTTGAATGCAGCGTGAAGAACATGACACAATCACACCAAAAGACTCGCAGTCAGCTTAATCTGTCCTTTTCAAGTGTTGTGACGTTTGTTTTTTTCTTTGAAAGGTCTAAAAGTGGCCCCGGTTTTACTCTAGAAACGGCTCTGAATGGGTCGGTGGCTATTTTGGACTCGGAAAAGCGTCCCACTGTTTGCTTTGCCAAGGCGTATTTTGAGTGAGTGTGAATAGACGGTGCGGCGAGGGTTGCCAGGGGCTGCGGAGCGAGGGTAAAATGGCACGAGAAAGGGTTAGTTACACATGGCTGTTCACACTGTTCCTAAGATCCTGACCCTGCAACGGGCCGCTCACCAGATCATGAGGAGAGCTGTGCATGCTCTATAGAGCTGTGTGTGCATGTTTGTGTATCTGCAAGTGTGTGTGCATAGACTGTGTCCATCCTGTGTGTACTCTTAAAACAGACAAAACAACAGAGCGGGGACACTGCAAGGTCTTTTATTTTGAAAGATACTCAACTGTGGTTGGCATCACAGCTGCTGCCTCCTCCTCCTCCTCTCTTCCCCCTCATCTTAATGATCAATGTGTGTGTCTCTCATAAAAAGGGCCCAAAAGGGGTAAACAAGTCCAGGTCAGGCATCCAGACAATCCAATGACGTCAGACCAGCTTCATCACTTTCACACTCCAGTGATGAGGAAGCTGTGGTGTAATGTTTGAGACACAGACAGCAAGAAAAGAGAGAAAAGAAACAGAGAGGGGGAGCAGGAAGGAGAAAGGAGTGTGGGTGAATAGAGAGAAAGAAAGGCTGAGTTCCTCATAAGCCGACAGAGCTGCACAGGACCTCATAAACCGAGGAGACGAGGCTGTATCTGCACCACAGCCGAGGACGACAACAAGCAGAGAGTCTAGATTTACTAACCTGAGGATATCACTCACCTAACATGATGGAAGTGGTTCTAACCAGACTGCGGGACTTCTCCTGCAAGACCTCCACCTTTGATGAGAGTAAACCAGCAGAACAGGCGGCATGCCGGGACCCTCGGAGCAGGATGAGTGAAGGGTGCACAGCTGGAGAGGAGGGAAGGAAGCTGGACATAGAGAGTGCTTTGGCCTGGCTGCGAAGAGAGCTGGTAAGAAAAGAGCTCTCGTTAAGTCTCAATATGGACTCCAAAGTATTATCTAAAGCACTGTGCGTAATATATGTCCAATTTCAGGGTGTTTAAAGTTACTTATTAAACAACAATACTAAAAGTTAAATTGTTTTTTTTACCAATAAAAGAGATAAAAAGAATTAAAATGTGATATAATGTGATGGATTTGAGGTCCTACCGGTCCACATAGGTGTTACAGGTGCAGCTAATTGGACCTGCTCGGGCTTAAATGGTGCAAATCTGCATGTGTTATGATATTCTTGTTTTCCATTCAAACAGGGAACACAAAGTCATAACTTGTCTTGAGCTTGAGCTTCTTCTACTGAAAAATCTCAACGCTAAGCAAGTGTTTTTGTCCTGTTTTTCTTGTAAAATATGTCTTATTAGACTTGATATCAGCAGGATTCACACAACAAATCCAGATAAACATGTTATATTTAGATGCTACAAACTGAAAATAAGCGCTGGATTCCTTATGGAGGACTCAGTGTTTAACTCTGGCAGGAAATATCTCAAAATAAGACATCTTTCTGGACTTGCAAGGAGAAAGCGGCTACAAATAAGAAAAAAACTCGTTCTTAGTTTTGAGTGTTTGCAGAAAAAGTGTGGAAATATTATCTCTGTTCTATTGCATGAGAGACTAGGTAAAAATATGCACAAGTAACTTTTGCATGTGGTCGGTAAGAGGAGCTGGTTTGGCCTTTAAATTCATTCCACAGATAAAGAATTACAGAGGACATCAACTGTTGCCAGGAGAAGTTAAATGCACCACAGCAGGAGCTCAGAGGTCTCCCTTTATGTACATTTTTATATCATGCACTTCAATTCAAGAAGAAGCATCAGAGCTTTTCAAATCTTGTTATTGATCCCATTTTTATATATCTCACACCACTGACATGTCCAGTGTGTTGTTACCTCCACAGTAGAGAGCGGACTTGCAGTGAATTGAACCTCTCAGGCAGAAGTAATGGCATAATGATATTAAAGGCACTTGATGTCTGTTGTGCCGGTGGTCTTGAGTCATTTGTCTCCCCAACAAAACCATGTCCCGGTCACAGTGACTGTCTTTGTCCGAGGAGCTCGAGTTATTACCTTTTTGTCCCTAATTTGTGTGTAGTTTGTGTTCTTACAATGTCAGCCCTTTTAAAACTGTCGTTGTTATTCAAAGACACTGTGTGTGGTTGTGAAAGCACAGTTATGTGTGTCTCTGTTTGCACCTCCGTGCGGCTCATTGTCATAGCCTAATATATCACTCGAAGTTTGGAGCATTCATCCAGACGGCTCGTCATGGTAACAGAATGTCCTGAGCTAACAGAGAGGGAGAAACCACGTGTCTGAGTTTGAGCTCGTGAAAACAGGCCGTAAAAACAGAGGCTGCTCACTTAGTTTGACGAGAAATCCACAGTTTCAAACTTTATCTCCTTGAAATACTTTTTACAGGACAGATCTTTTTTTTTTTTTTTTTTTAAGTTTCACAAAAACCACATTTTCATTTATTTAAGTTGTTTTTGAACATCATTATTAATAGTGAGGAGAAAATAAAGAATTTGTGCCCAACTTGAGAGAAGCACAGGCTAAGTTTTGGGATCTGTTAGAAATAATGATAACAATAATAATAATAATAATAATAATAATAATAATAATAAATAAACAAATAAATGAATAAATAAACAAATAAAGAAAGAAAAATAAAAATAAATAAATAGATACAATAATAATAAATAAATAATTGTAATAACAGAAATAATAAATACATAAATAAATATATACAAAATAAATAAATAAATAAATAAAAATAAAAATCATCATCATAATAATAAAAATGAAAAATAATAAGATAATAATAAATATATAAATACATAAATAAATGATACATTAATTAATAAATAATAATAATAAATAATAAATTTATCACAATAAATACAAATATAAATTAATAATTAATACATAAATAAAAGTTATAAAAATAAATCATTATTATTATAATTATGATGATAATAATGATAATAACTGTAACAGAAGAGGAATAATAAATTATTAAATCAAGGAATTAGAGCAAATAAAAGGGCAAAAAGAAATACTGAGTTGGAGTATAAACAGAAAAAAGTGGACCCAAAATTGAACCTTGTGGCACACCACAGGTGATAGTAGAGGAGGAGAAGTGGTCGCCTGTGCTGACCACAAAGGCGCCGTCTTAAAGGTAAGATAAAACTCAAAATCTAATTTCCTCTTATCTCAACGTGTCTCTCAAACACACGTTGACGATACTCAACTTCAGCGGTATTAAACCAGGTTTTCAGTCACTTGAGGGGAAAGTTACATTCTTTGGCTGATGTTTTCAACGCAATAAAACTTCACCATCAAAGAAGTGCCAAGTTCAAGTTTTCCTACAGACAGAGGAGAAAATAGCGAGCAATGACTCGTTCATACACAACCTACCAATCTAGACATTCCTCAACAGGTTTGTAACGGACAGTAAATCAAAACACGCAGACAGATGCAGACACACAAAAGAGCTGAGATTTGGCACTGGGAGGAGAAACCCAGCAGGCCCACATCTCCAAATCCCTCTGAGAATAAAAGTTCACGTTTCTTCTCTTGTTCCTCCAAGTGTCGACAAAGACGGGAAAAACCAGCATCTTTCAGCTGGAGCTGGGTCTCAGCCTGGTGCTGTAATTAACAGAGAAAAGAAATGCAGATCGGCCCGGAAGGTTTTTTTGTTCGGGACATTCCTCAATCCTTAGGACAAACTTGGACTCCAAAGTTGCTGGAATTCTGAATATCTTATTTTACAATGCTGGCAATTAGACAGCCTCTCATAAAAAAGGGAGAAATGGGACGGCAGAGGGAAGCATTTGCATTTGAAAGAAGGCCACGCTCAGACGAAATGGTGGGGCTCATACTGAGCAAGCATGAACCAGCTTGATGGGGGGGCGAGGGTTTAGTTCTGATATTTTGGATTGGATAGTTTTTGTCCATTTGTCGGTTTGTACAAAAATAAAACCAAATTGTGTGTTTTCTTTTTTTATGTGTGTAGATGGAAATGCGTTCCCAAGACCAAGCTCTGATCCGACAGCTAATGGAGCTTCACTCGGGCATCCAGGAGCTGAAGCAGGAGTTATCCGAGGAAGAACAGGAGGAAAACACGGATGATGAAGAAGAGGAGGGCAGCTACTGGGACTCTGAGAGCGAAAGAAGCAGTGGTAGCGTCTACTCCGGCTCGGGGGAGGTTGGCTTTCCCGTATACTACCCGAAGACACCTCTGCACCTTTACTCGAGAGTTTTGAGGAAGAGGGGGTTCTGCAGGAGAAGCTCTGTGCCTTAAATGTTCAAACTTATGTTTAGAAATGTGTTTTCAAAGTGTGTCCTAACTTCCCTGGATATTTTTAGACATCAGAGAAAGACGAGGTGGAGCAAGATATGTATATTTGCAATTTCCCACCACAAATGCAACAACTTGTCTGTATATTTTTAAAGTGAAGCTGAGATAAGACTCAATAAAAGCATATAAATACAATTAAGGGTGTAAAGTAGGCTTACGATAGCTTCACTTTGTTGATGCAAAAGGTTTCACTTGTTTTTGTAAAGCAATTTTTACATATTGTTTGTACCGCAGATGAATGAATGTATGGAAACTAATCTTAACTTGAATACAGAACTGAATGTTACTTTTTAAAGTTTAGGGGTGGTGCAAAACTTCTGCCTTACTTTTGCTTTGTGAAATGATATTAGCAAGTGGCTTACAAGACTGTTGGACTCAAGTTTAAAGCTCCTGTAAGAAACTTTTTAAGAGCATTGATTTTGGCGCCTCCTGTGATTGAAACTGGACCATGAATCTCTTTGCGGATCTTGCAGCAGATATGACAAGCATTTTAATAACTGTTGAGAAGTAATCAGTCTTTAATTTAGGGTGACCATATTTTGAAAAAGAGGACATGACTACGTGGGGGCGGAGTCACAGAGTTGCACGAAGTTAATTTTGAGAATTTTGAGAATTTGTCTTATAATGCGCTTCTAACCTGAGTAAGTCCACATGACACAAAATCGAAACTCTCGTACAAAACCGCGGACATTCGAAGGATTTTATAAACTTCCTCAGACAAAGCCGGACAGCCCCCAATCAAGAGGACATGTCCGGGTAAAAGAGGACGTATGCTCACCCTATTTAATCTGATGGTTTTGTTGACCAATGTCGGACACAAAGAGTCGTCATTTATAATTCCAGCTCTGCCTTAAAACTCTGTATGGGAGCTTTAAGAAAAATGAGGTATGTGAAGAGGCTTCCCCGAAATATCACACTATGCCATCACAGCTAGAACAATCTTCGACAGAGGATAATAAGTCCTGAGTTCAACATTGACTCAAAGGCGGTTGTTGTCTTTATGTACTATTGTGTGTTACAAACTAGTAAAGCATTTCTCTTTGTGTAGACAAATACTTGCAGATCCTAACCGAGTTTAAAGGATGTTTTTGAGCTACAAATGTGAGTGAGCCTGTCAGTAATCCTTGTTGGAAAGCTCACTGACCTTTGTGACTGTAAACACCTTCAGAGTGGACTCAATGTTGAGTCCGTTTTACTTCCGACTAACACGTAGATCCATTAGCAGGAAAGAAAACTTTAGTGAGACTGCTGATGTACAGAAATATCTGAGCTGTATCATGTTTTTAAATGTGACGAATTGATAAATTTGAGACTTTTAGAAGTATTTCAAACAGGTGCTGTACTCATGTTGTATGGTATGCCAGTAAAATAAAGACATGAAATCACTGAGGGTTCACTTTTCAATTTTTATATCAACGTGACATCGTCAAAAACGACTTTAAACTTGTTTTTTCAACACTCAAAATGTGTGTTTTCTTTTACAGCAGTAGAACAAAACAGTTGTTTTAATCTAAAATCTCCGTAAGTGCAAAATATCTTTAAAGAAATGCCAGCATCATAAAATCATGCACATTTTCTTCTTCCCTTTCCAAGTTACTCAAGACCTAACAGTGCCTATTTTTTATTTTTTTAATGACACATTTTACGACAAAGAGCCGTGATCCTTTATGTTTGGAAATTTGAATATTCAGGCATTCTTCCACTTTTACCCCACTCTCTCTCTGGAGAAGGAGCTCTCCATGTTAAGGCTGATTGTCCCCCTCCACTTCCACTCCTCCAAAACTCTCCCTCCTCAGTCTTTGGATCTCTGTGTTGAGTCCCAGCAGCGTCTGAGCCAGCTGGAGGTCTTGTGTGCGCATCTCCAGCTGCATGACAACAATGAAAAGGACTGAATCAGCATAATGGGTACAGTTGCACAGGAACACACGGCTTCTATAACTTCTGAGAGACATTTGGAGACATAAAACTGTCAGAAACTATCATCATAACTCTGTCAATCAACCTACCAGTTCAGATCTCAACCAGGTTATCGCTCCGTCTATCTGCGCTCTTCGCAGTTCTTCGTTCGCTTGGTAACTCCTCCCGATGCTGACTGGTCTGACGGCGTTTCCAGCCTCCTGAGTGTCATCTCTGGACTCTCCTGTCGTCCTAAAAGCGTGAATCAGTTTGTTTTTGATGTTCTCCAGAACCATAGTGGACAGAGTATCCTCGCTGTGGCTGTCTCGGTCCATGCTGGGGGGCAGGTGTTTTGGATGAGTTTGCGCCCCCTTGTCCACTTGTTGCCTCCTCGCTCTCTCTTTGACAGGCCAGAGAAAACTTAAGAAAACTGGTTCCTCCACTTTCTGGATCCAAACCGGTCTTCTTATTTCCTCTTGGAGAACCAGACTCCTCAGTAGCTGGAGTCTGTGTGCTTCTGTTCAGCAGCTGCAATCTTCCCTTTTGCCTGCCTGCTGTTGAACTGCCTTGTTTTGTCATTGTTACTATGGAGAAAGTGCCCTCCGCCTGCATGCCCCATCTCCTCCTCCTCCTCCTCCTCCTCCTCCTTTTCGGTAACCTTAACAAGAATGGTTGAAGATCTCGGACAAAGACTATTGTTGCCTCCAATAAAAAGAACTAAAAAGACCCCCCATCCACCGCTGCTACCACACCCTCCCCCCCTTTCTCTTACTCCCCGTCTTTTTCTCAGTCAATCCCGCCCTCATACAACTCCAGTGTGAGAAATGTGTCCTGAGTGAGCTCTCATTTGCTGCCAGAGTGTAAACCTGTGAGTGTGTGTGTGTATCAAAAACCCCTGTGGACTTCTTTCAGGGCTTCTCCCTAAATAAGACCTGCTTGTCAGCTTAGGAGACAGACAGGTTGGGCGAGGACAGAGCGGAGACACAGGCTCAGTGTTAGCCGATCCACGGGCACAATAAAAGGCCATCCTACGGTGAAATATAACCAGGTCCTTTGTGCGCAAGTTAAGTCCGATCCCTGTGGGGTTAGTGGGATGGTTTTTGGCAGCTTGGAGCAGTTTTCCCCCCTGACTTTTGTACAAAGATGAGACAGGGGTCTAGTGTTGTCTCTGCGCTGACTTATTAGCCCTTTCTTGAAGGAGGGAACACAGTGCTCAATCAATGCTTTCAAGTACACTGCCTTCCCCTTCGCGAAATGTAATTCTTCACCAGGACAAAATGTCTCGCTCTTTTCAAGTTGTTTGTTTGATAGAGAGCAGGACCTTGTGGTGTCCAGCACACTATTAAAAGACTCTCAGCCAAGCTCGACTCCACACGCTGACCATTAAACAAATAGCTCTGATTTAAAATTCTGTCATACAGCAATCTGTAAAAAGACGAATGAGGGATGGAGCCGGCTTGTCAGAGCTCATAAGATGTGAGATATGGCTCCATTTGTGTGGAGGTCCATGGAGCGTGAGAAGAGGTTGGAGGGATTGGGCCGCCAGTGTTGAAGGTCAGGAGGAGCAGGGTGGCACAAGATGGCAATGACAGGGACAAACAAGCTGACAGACACACAGACTAGAGCCTCAAGTGGTGGGAAAAGGGGACAGAGACATCTTTTCTTTGCCTATCCCCAAATCCCCTATCCCCTTCCTCTACAGAAGTCAAAGCGCTGAACCTGAACCACCTAAATGAGGTTTGAAACTATAAATAGGACAATATTGTGACTTCATACCACATAAAGGATCTATCTAAACTTTTCTAATGAATACATCTCCTGCGACTCTGTTTGCACCAGATTAGCCCAAAGGAGGAAACGTTACAAGAGTCAGTCGATATGTTTGCATGAACATTTAAAGGTGGGGTAGGCAGGGTTCCGTTAAAGAAGCATCTTTTTTTTGTGGTGTATATACAAAAAACCTTTTAATATCAGTCAATAGCTATTAGTTATTGATGACATTTGATAATATCACAATATCGCTGTGTTATGTTATGTCTGTGTAGTGAACATTTCTAATTTTTTGAGCGGCCCCCTCTATTCTGACTGTAAACAAAGCCATTCTCTGCCTCCCTCGACGTGATTGGTTGTGAGGCGGACGCTGCTCCCCGTGTCGTTCAAGGGCCCAAACAAAGTTAGCGTGCTACAATATCGGACAGTAGAAACCAACCAGAAAGTACAGAAAATTGTCTGAATCCTCCTTTTACCACGACTGCCGACACAAGCAATAAAACAAAGTAAATACTGGAGACTCTGGCGGAATAACGGGCGCTTAAAAATGAGGTAGACCGGACAACAGCTAAAAAAGCTGAGTCAACATAAAACAATAGGGGACACTTCGGGATCTTATGGACCCTGTAACCTTTCTGCTGGACAGATAAACCGCTTTAACAAAGTAAGTTAAGTGTAACAGAAGTGTTTCTTGTCAAGCGGGACCTGCTGCACGTTGTAGCGCTGCTTCGGGTCCTGGAGTATGTTACTTTATCCTAGTTTTAGAAGTCTTGCAAACATTGTGTTGGCATTCTGTTGGCATCTACAGTAGCGCCAATGCTTCTGTTTGTGGGCGGGGCTTGCTGGAGCAGAGAGGGAGGAGCTGAGGGGAAGACTGGTTGGGAGGAGTAGTGTTTACATTCAAGATTTCTCCCAAAAACTGACACTTCTTCAGATCCTGCCTACCCCACCTTTAAGTCAAGCTACAGTTTCAGCCTGATTGAGATGTATCCATGACCTTATGTTTATAAACTTATTCATTTTTACCACCATGCCTCATTAAGGAGGGATTTCAACATGTTTTTCTCCAGTTTATTTATAAGGTCAAAGTCCAAGTTAAGTAACAAGTCTTTTTTTAAGTCTAAACTTTGCTCCCAACTTTAACTGATTAAATCAAATGTTGAGTGAACTTGAAGCAGTAACAGTGAAGCTAATCTAACTTTAATCCTGTTTAGATTTTCCTCAGTGATTCCTGAAATTTTACATACTGTCTGAGGCATGATTTGTTGTCTTTTTAATACAGGACTTGCACTAATTAATGAAGTCACAGGAAATCTTTCCTGTCGACCTTTTAACTCCTACCTCAGAGACTCTGACACCCTCAGTCAGTCGTCTTAACACGGACATACGATGTTACTATTTTTGTCGTATATAGTGTACATACTTGTATATTATCTCTTTATTTTTACTTATTGTATCTATTATCCATCTCCTGTTTTTACTGTATTTGCACTGGAGTACTGCGACAAAAAGCAATTTCCCCCTGGGGATTATTAAAGTATTTCTGATTCTGAATGTTGATGAAATGTTTTGATAACCTGACACAGTAATTCATAAATAATTAATTACACAAAATAAAAGTATTTGGTTATAATAACTGGAAACTTATAAGACTGATAAGTAAAAAGAACCGAGAAGTTTGAATTCCCAGCAAAACATAATGTAATGGGTCCTGTTAGGAGAGGTAGTATCAACACTCTTTTTTCCTCTTTTTCAATTACATCTATAATTTATTTGATGATTATCTGAGTTAAATGTTGCAACAATTCTGTTTTATCAATGGTGTGCTACATTTAACTGAACTTTGCTGCCCCCTAGTGGCATGTTTATATATTACAGTCTGTCACACTTGCTATTCGACAAGTAAAACTCAGTTTTTGTATGTTTGTACGTTAGCTACCACAAATGCGGTTATACATAAATAATTATGAGCTTGACGAGAACAAGGAGGTACTCTGGCAAACAAAGGTTGTACAATTGCGGTCCCAGGTATGCGGTCTTGAATCCGCAGCCCTCTGGGTCTGCAGACACCAGCCTCTCGCATCAGCACCACTCCGCATCCTGCTGAGCTTTCTAACCGTTTTGGGGGGACTCAGAGGGAGAGGACGCCATCTTGTTTGTTTAGTCATTGGAGGGGTGGGATAACGTTTCTCAACCAGCAGCCACACCAACGAAACCAGGGGTATACAACGGCTAACCGGTGAGTCTTCATGCTTTTTAATATCATAAAACACGAGATTATGGCAATTCAATGTGTCGAGCACACATGTCTAAGCTCGGCGGTGTGAAGGGTTGGATGGCAGCGGCTAACGTTAGCTGGACTGCAGCATCACCTGTTGGGACGGACCGTCAACGGTTACTGCGGTTAACTGTGACCGTGAATAACCTTACGGTGGTCTCCTCTTTGGACAGGTCTGTCTTTATCTGTGACCTGTGTGTGTGCCGTTACTGTTACCTTACGGTGTTTTGAAGCAGGTACGGATCTGACAGACGTCTCAGTGTTTGTTCTGCAGGGGCGGATCCAGATCTTCTTCTACCTGGGGTGGCCATACTGGGGCACTGTCTAATACAGAGATGGGAATAAACACATGCAGAAAAAAATATAATACCTTATTTCTCAATTGCATCTTCTCTGAGTATGGACATTTAAGGGATATTCCAGCATAAACACACCGTAACACTGAGTTAAACACTCCCTCAAAAGATGAATGCTGCTGACCGCTTGCTTCTCTAGTTATACTGTTGTAACGACTGCACAATAGCAATACACAGTGGTCTGAGGAGCCACAAACACTACTAATCTCCTACTCTCTTCCAGCAGCCGCTTGTTTGTAGACCTCCGGGTGAGTCCATCAACTGCAGCGGGGTGACGCAGCTCAAGGAAGAACATTTATGATCATTTCTTTATCATTTCCTTTAAGTAATAACCACCATATTAATCATTTTGCACTGCAGACGCGGTAGTTCTTCTGCCTTAGTGTCTTGGTCTGATTGTATTTCCATGAAGAAATGATCATAAATGTTCTTCCTTGAGATGCGACACCCCGCAGCATTAATGATGGACTCATTCGAGGCATCTGTACAAACAAGCGGCTGCTGGAAGAGAGTAGGTGAGTTGTGTTTAGTCTCTTTGCCAAAGAAATTAGGCAAAGTTAAAAAGATGTTTGGTGGCTAGGACTCAATATACTGTTGATGAAGTTAGGTGCTGTTCTGAGCATTATTTGTGGCTATAGAGTGGCATTGGTCGTTACTAAAGTTGGTATAACTAGAGAAGCAAGCAGTCGGCATCATTCATCTCTCGAGGGGGTGTCTAACTTGGTGTTACGGTGTGTTTGACCCTAACTCAATTTTACGCCTAAATATCCCTTTAAGTATCGGCACTGCAAGGCGCATTATAAATGTTACCTGAAGTGTGCTTTCGCATGAAGGGGCTGTTGGAGGACGGGAGGGTCAGGGGAACCAGGGGAATGGCACCGTGTAAAGATCCTGCACCCGCTGTCTTGGAGTTATCAAGGAGCACAACAGAGGTTCACTTAAGAAGCAAGCACAAATAATTAACAACACTTCAGAAGCAACCAACAATTTTTTAAAGTGACTTTACAGAAAAAAGAATCCCAAAATTACTAACCTGGAAATACCGCTCGTTGCCCATCATAGTTAAGGGTTATCAGCAGGGTTTATTTCTTTGTCTATTGTAACTACAAGTAAATCTTTCACAAATGAAAGTACATTTTACTTGTTACTATGCTATGCTATGAGCTACTGTTGTTACTTCAATGATATACACAGCTGTGTTTCTGCCTCTCTGTTGTTCTCTCTCTAGGCCTGACACCTCCCCCTCCCCCCCTTCCCCCCTGAGGTGAGACGATGTTTTATGCCCACTTTGTCCTCAGCAAACGTGGGCCGCTGGCCAAAATCTGGCTTGCGGCCCACTGGGACAAGAAGTTGACCAAAGCTCATGTTTTTGAGTGCAACCTGGAGAGCAGCGTCGAGAGCATCATCTCACCGAAGGTACTTTCTCAGGGTATAAACTTTCACTGCGTCTGATTCCTGCTGCAGTACATGATGGCTTTAACTCTGCTGTTTCAGGTGAAGATGGCTTTACGGACGTCAGGACATCTGCTGCTCGGGGTGGTGAGGATCTACCACAGGAAGGCCAAATACCTGCTGGCAGATTGTAACGAGGCCTTCATCAAGATCAAGATGGCTTTTAGACCAGGTTAATGTCGAAGCTTTATCTTTAGTATCAATTCACAGGAGCAGTTTTTCTACAATATAACAAACAAACAACTTTTGGAAATATCACATGCTCTGACTCTGACTCTTTCCCTGTGCTGTGGTGCTTCAGGTGTGGTGGATCTCCCAGAGGAGAACAGAGAAGCTGCATACAACGCTATCACTCTGCCTGAGGAGTTTCATGATTTTGATCAGCCGCTGCCCGACCTCGAGTGAGTCCTGAAAATCATGTCCAAGGGTATCTTTGAGTGTAAGAAAGATGAGCTGCAGTGATGATTTTAATGACCAGCTAGTCGCAGTTGGAGGTCTGATTGCATAGAAGTATCTCTCATTTGATTTACTGCTTTAGTAAATATTTTTTTATGGGTTTATGGACTCAATCAATCAAACTTGATCTACAGCTCAAAATCACGGTCAGATGGTGAACAGGGTCAATTTTCAGGTACATTAATTCCACAGACTGCTCAGCAATTGAGCGTGCCAAAGACATGAGGAGAAACACGATAAAAGTTAAAGCCAAGAGAGAAAATAAAAAAACAGAAGTTAGAATAAACTTTACAAACCCTGCACTTAGCTACAACTTTATCTGAGATGTCTCACCTAAAATCGTATGCATATTATCTATTTTTGGAGATTAAAAAATGGTCAGATTAGGTTACAGCAGGCACGATCTACCCTCTCTGTTCTTCATATATATTGTTTTCCTGCCAACACACAAAACCTGCTGAAACTACAAGGACTGCCAACAAAATACTGAATGTTTCACCAAAAACTCTGCCAGTTGCTTACAGATGAAACATATTTGAAATCAGATCAGAGAGACTGATGCATCTCCCTCCTTTGCTTTACCATATTTCCCACAACAACATTAAATCTAGCTCTAGAAACCCATGCTATGACCTTTTCCGTAGCATTAAGTATGTTTTTACGAGCACATTTGCTCTTTTTTCCTCTGCTTGCCAAAAACTATGAAGACAAGTTCTCTAAATAGAAGATCAATATTGAACTAAATGTGTGTGTGTGTGTGTGTGTGTGTTCTGTGCAGTGATATCGACATTGCCCAACAGTTCAACTTGAACCAGAGCAGAGTGGAGGAGATCACCATGAGAGAAGAGGTGGGCAACCTCAACCTGCTGCAGGACAACGACTTCGGTAGGCATCTTTCTTTTTGCACATGCTCGACACTCACATTTGTAAACATCAAGCAAAAGTAAAGCGCTTCATCTCGCTCCACACGCCCACATTCCACACCATACCCTACTCTTCTCACACTAATAATAACACCTTCTCCTTCTCGTGCAGCTGATTTCGGTATGGACGACCGGGAGATGATGAGGGAGGAGAGCGCGTTCGAGGTGGACATCATGGGTGCGTCAGCGTCCAACCTGCTGCTGGAGGCTGAGGGCGGAGCCAACCAGATGGCTGACAAGGCCAACCATCTGGAGTACGATGACCAGTATAAGGACGACTTTGGAGACAACCCAATGGAGAGCAATGAGGGAGGCATGCTGGGTAAGATCGAGTAGCTCTTGTCACTTTGCTGTACTCTTGCTTAGAAAGAGTTATATTGACCGTACTGTATCTTTGTGCAGTCGACAAGCTGCTGAGTAACGAGGATGGAGGCGGGATCTTTGACGACCCTCCTGCCATCGCAGAGAGCGTGATGATGCCTCAGGACCACGGGGATGATGATGACGACTTTGATGCTCTCTCAGGTCAGTTTTTGATCAAAAAGTCGACCCCTTAAATCTTTGTTTTTGGGTTTTACTGCAATCACAACACAGTAATGTTTGGGTTATATCACTCAAAAGTGGATTTGATGACTTTGTCTTTTTAGCTGGAGCCCCTGATAGTCCAGACTCAGGCCCTACAGAGCCTCTACCAGCCATGGCAGACCAGGCAGAGCAGACGGCTCTGGTTCACAACGAGGAGGAAACTTTTGCTCTGGAGCCCATTGACATCACAGGTAATCACACGAATGATAAGACAGAAATAAATGCAAAAACTATATAAACGCAGTGTCTAATGTTGAGCACTGAGCTGATTCATCTCTTTACCCTGCGGCCTGTGCAGTGAAGGAAACGAAAGCGAAGCGTAAGAGGAAGCTGATCGTCGACAGCGTGAAGGAGTTGGACAGTAAAACCATCCGTGCGCAGCTCTCCGATTACTCCGACATTGTCACCACGCTGGACCTGGCACCTCCCACCAAGAAACTCATGATGTGGAAGGAGACCGGAGGAGTGGAGAAGCTTTTCTCCCTCCCTGCACAGCCGCTCTGGAACGCCAGGCTGCTGAAGGTGACGTACAGCTACGCAGTTATTCAGAAATAATGACACATGCAGCATCTATTCCTGCTTTTATGATGTACGAGTCTTCTCCTTTTTTCTCTCTGTAGATGTTCACAAGATGTCTGACGCCACTGGTACCAGATGAATTGAGGAAGAGGAGGAAAGGTGGAGAGGCTGATAGTTTGGATGAGTTCCTGAAGGACCTGGAGAACCCAGAGGTGCCCAGAGAGGAAACAGCAGGACACCAGCAGAGAGACATTATGGGTAAAAGAAAAGGGAGCGTGCACATTTATCCGTGATTCGATTTCAGCAAACTGTTATTAAAGGATAGCAACGATTTCACCCCAAACACATGGTTTCCCTTTGTTTTTTCCACCTTTAGATCAGACCATCATGGAAGAGGCCAGTGTTCTGCAGACTTCAGCTGTTGAAGGCAGCAGGACATCACTAGATGAATCCGCCATGCCTCCTCCAGCTCAGCGCGGCCTCAAACGCAAAGCCCAGGACACAGAACCAGCCCTGCCTGTGAGTACAGATAGAAAGTTTTGATAGTGATGAATGTAGATACTGTATCACCACCAGTGAGTCTTTTTGAAATCTGAAAGTGTGCAAGTGGCTTAGTATGTAATTAAGCCCTACTATAATTCACACCAAAACAACTCCACTGTATGTGCATGTGATGATCCTTTTAACACTTTTTTCTGCAGATGGGAGCTTTGGACCAGCAGCAGCAGCCACAGGTGTCCACAGCCTCGAACGTGTCCCAGCAGCTGGAGACGGCAAGTGTGGATCTGCCCCAAGAAGAGACGACCACCAGTATCAGCCAGCTGATAGAGCTGGACCTGCTCGGGGACAAAGAGAGGAAGAAGAGCGATGACGACTCTGATGAGGAGGTCAGACAGGGCTTCATGAACTCATACCGAACATTTTTACTTTCTTGGTTTTTCTTTCTGTGTAAATTTAATCATTTTATTGGGATTAGGTAACCAGAAGAAAGGCACAGTCAGTTTATTAAAGAGTTTTCAAAATCAGACCATAACTGTGATTCCAACTGGGGTTTTGTGTGGCACAGGAGGAGGAGGCACAGGGAGGAGACCAGGACCAGGAGGAGAGGAGGTGGAACAAGAGAACCCAGCAGATGCTCCATGGCCTCCAGGTATGTATCTGTACATGTTATTTTACAGCTAAAAAGATAGAAACCATCAGTGTTCAAGGCAAAGTATATAGAAATGGACATACTTAGGGGCTGTCATGCTTACCCATCCTGTCTGCCAAGCTACTGTGACCTTGAAGGGATATTCCGGCATAAAGTTAATGTTAATGTCAAACACACTGTAACACAGAGTTAGACACCCCCTCGAGAGATGAATGTTGCCGACCGCTTGCTTCTCTAGTTATACCAACTTTAGTATCGACCACAGGATAGCAATACACAGCAATCTGAGGAGCCATAAATAAACCTCAACCAAAACACCACTCTATAGCCACAAATAATGATCAGAACAGCACCTAACTTCATCAACAGTACATAACATCTGATCAAGCCGTCTGTGTGATCGATTCAAAAACGTCAGTCCTCCCATCTTTACTCTCTCTTTCCTCTACCACAGAGGGTGATGGCTAAAACAGGCGCCCAGTCCGTCAGCCTGTTGGATCTGTGCAAGAACAACAACAAGAAGCAGGCGGCTGCAAAATTCTACAGTTTCCTGGTCCTGAAGAAGCAGCAGGCGGTGGAGCTGGTCCAGGAGGAGCCGTACAGCGACATCATCGCCACACCTGGACCTCGCTTTCATATCATCTAGAAAACTAAACAAGAATACACCATTTTTTATTTGAAAATGTTCATTTTTAATTATTTGAGTTTGCTGCCTTTGTTCTGTGAATTATGCAGAGTTTTATCTGCAGACTTTTTTCATTCAGGGGTGGGAGAAAAGAAGTCATTATGATGTTAGTGGATCATTGGTGAGCTTTACGGTTTTCCACACTATAGCAGCTATTCCTTTTTTAGGACTACTATATCATCACATCTACAAGTTTGGGACTGTGTGTCTCTTTGTCGCTGATATTAGTCTAGTAACGGATTTCAAGAACCGTTTGGTATAAGACACAGAAGTATTTTGACACAGTGATTTTAACTCCATCAAAAAATGTTACTTAAAGCCTCATCAGGAAAAAGTTCTCGTGCACACTGACATTAGCCAGAAGGAGCATGCACTATATCCCGTCTCTGCAGATTAAACCGTTCCTACAGTAGTGATCGCAGGTATAACCAGCAGTTAGTCATTGTACGACTGTAGTGTAGCACTTTAATAATGACAAACTAAAAGCTGTTGTTTCTGCAAATGTGTTGCTTGCATCAACTGTCCGTGCCTCACCAGAGTTAAAACTGTAGCTGTGTCCCAAATCCAAAATACAGATTATTTCTAGTGGAAAAGTCATTACACTGATGTTAGTTTGTGCAGAATTACCACTCCTAAATACACACCCACTGACTATACTGAATAAAAATAGTATGTACTGAGGAATTGAGACACAGCTTATGAAAAAGATCTTTGGATTTTAATATTTAGATTTTGTAAACATGCGCTCTCCGCCATTTGCATGCTCTGTCCTCAAACATTTCAGTGGAATTGCACTAGATGCTCCAGTATTCCTAAAAATGACTTTTCAAGTTGTGGCTCTACATCTATTATTCCAGTGTCAACTTAAGAATGAAAAAAGTTCAATAACTCTTTATGTTCGGTCTGAATCAGTGGTTCTTAACTGGTCTAGCCTCAGGACCCAACAGAACCTACTTCACCTACTGATTTTTTTTCATTTATTGGCGGGTGTTTCCCAGCATTAAGGTGAATTAACGCCACTTATTGTATTGGTGTGTGACTTAAACGCCTTACTAGTCCAAGCGCACTGCATGCCCTCTGAGATTTTACTTACAACTTTTCAAACCTACACATGTGGGACTTTTGGGTCCTGATCCCACCAGTTGAGAACCATAAGTGATGCTCTGACAATAAAACTTCTGACTGTATTTAAATAAGATATTTGTTTATTGATATAATACATTACAGGAAATGTAATTTTTTTATTTTATTAAGAGTTAAGAGAAGTCTGAGTGGAAATATGGAGGACAAATGTAAAAAAAAGAAAAAAATCAAAGTCAAAATGAAGAAAACTCCCAGAGGTCTTTGTTCTTCCTTGTGCTCTTGCGAAGACAGCTGAATGCACTGGTTTTGTTTTTTTAAATCAGCCTCTCTATATAAACTGAGTGCCATGTAATGTCTGAGTGCGTCTTATATTTAAACAATGTGCCTGTAAACTGTCTCTTTTTTTGTACTAAGATACATGTTCTCAATCAGATGTGTATTTCATCAGCTTGAGTCCAAAGTCTTGGAAATGGTTGCAAAGATTTTGAAAATAAAATAAATACAATGAGCTGTAACTTTGGGATGTTTCTATGTGTATCAAACTTGCTTTATTTCACGTAACAGCGTAGGGATTGTGGACCAGAGTTGACCGCGCACAGTATTGATCAGATGAACGTCTTGAAAGAGTAGTTACCTAAGAAATAAAACGACTGAAGTCTCTGTCTTCCTGCTCTGCTATGCGTTTGTGACTGCAGGTGCAGCAACATTGTCTCCTCCCTCCATCTTCCGCTTTTTGTGTCGGCTTCTTTTCTTCTTCTCCTCTCCCTCCGCCGTCTTCTTCAGTGGTGGTGTCGGCACGCCCTTCTTCTTCTTCTTCAGGCAGCTCAGAGGATTAGGATTGCTCTGCTTCCTTTTCCTCTTCTTCCCCCTTCTCTCTCCATCCTTTCGTGTTGTGATGCCCTGCTCCTCCTTCAGGCTGCGGATGCTCTGCTGCTGAGCCGGACTCACCAGCTCTCCCAGCTGCACGGCTTGGACGTGGTCCAGGGACGTCTGGGAGGGTTTGTCCAGCACTATGGTGTTGAGGATGATGTAGAGCAGAGGAACGCCAGGGATCTTCTTTAGGCCTGCAGTCAATGTGTGGTCCTGGCAGACAGGTAACAGATACACCAGGTAAAGAACTGATACACTTAAAGGGATATTCCGATGTAAAATCAATTTAGGGTCAAACACATTGTAACACCGAGTTAGACACCTCCTTGAGAGATGAATGTTGCCGACCGCTTGCTTCTCTACATCATACTAACTTTGGTAACGACCGCAGGATATCAATACACAGCAGTCTGAGGAGCCATAAACAAATCTCAACCAAAACACCACTCTATAGCCACAAATAATGCTCAGAACAGCACCTAACTTCATCAACAGTACATATAGGGTCTTAGCCACAACACTAGCCACCAAACATCTTTTTAGCTTTGGCCAATTTGCAAAGAGACTAAACACAACTCACCTACTCTCTTCCAGCAGCCGCTTGTTTGTAGCGAGACCTCGGGCCAGTCCATTACAGACTGCTGCGGGGTGACGCAACTCAAGGTAGAACATTTATGATCATTTCTTTATCATTTCCTTAAAGTAATAATAATAATAATAATAATACATTTTATTTAAAAGCGCCTTTCTGGACACCCAAGGACACTGTACAGGCATTAAGAACACAGTTAAAATAAATAAAAACAATATACAGGTATGGAAATGGACAGTTAAAGGGAATATGCAATTTGGAACAGATGTGTTTTGAGTTTTGATTTGAAGTGGGGTAGTGAGTCCATGTTTCTGAGATCCAGGGGGAGAGAATATTCACCATATTAATCATTTTGCACTACAGATGCGTTAGTTTTTCTGCCTTAGCGTCTCGCTCTGATTGCATTTCCATGAAGAAATGATCATAAATGTTCTTCCTTGAGCTGCGTCACCCCGCTGCGTTAATGGACTCGCCTGAGGTATCCGTATATGTACTGTTGATGAAGTTAGGTGCTGTTCTGAGCATTATTTGTGGCTATAGAGTGGCGTTTTGGTTGAGGTTTGTTTATGGCTCCTCAGACCGCTGTGTATTGCTATCATGTGGTCGTTACTAAAGTTGGTATAAGTAGAGAAGCAAGCAGTCGGCCACATTCATCTCTCGATGGGGTGTCTAACTCAGTGTTACGGTGTGTTTGACCCTAAATTAATTTTTACGCCAGAATATCCCTTTAAATGTAAACTAATCAGACATAATTAATCCCCTGAAATAAACGTAGATTTACACCGTCTTTTCAAACAAATTTCTACCACAACACCACATTTCAGAGGCAATAACTAATGTCTGATGGAAACAACAAAAGAAACAAATTCCTCCTCGTATAATAGATTAAAGCTCATGTACGGAACTTTTGGTATAGTAAATTTAGCGTGCCTCAGGAAAGCAGGTTTAAAGTCTCACTTCACTGAAAAAGTCCCCATGTTTAGTAATATGTAGCAGGCATGTAAGATAATCATGAAGAAATAGCAAACCACCTTCCTGACAGTCTCTTTAGCTTTAGTTTATTGGGAAAAATCTCCTCACAGAAGTTTTACCTGATATATAATTGGGGAGAGTGGGGTAAGATGAGCCATCTTTCATATTTCATATTTCGGATCACTACATAAAGGTAATCATAGTTTTGCAACTTACCCCAGAACTACTATCATGACTTTATTAGTCCTCTAAGCTAAAATGGTGGACTTTTATGTTAGGATTTTGACCTCATGTTGTAGCTCATAGATACCACAATTGATGGATAAAACAAATTTAAAATGATCTTTTTTGGTCTGAACACAATTCTAATAAAACTTAAGACAGACTAAATAATTCTAATAAAACTTAAGACAGGCTAAATTCACTTTCAAGAATGAGAAATGTTTTTTTTGTAAATAAATGTCTAACCTCTTCACTCATGTGCTTCTAACCTTTACAGACTCCATGAATTGATGCCCATCTCCTAAATATTTGGTCACATGATCAATTTCTTTTACTATTTCCAAGCAACCGGGGGTGGCTCAACTTACCCCACTCTCCCCTACTTCAGATTGTAATGACAGGGCTCCTTTAAGACCCGGGTACCCCTGGCTGATGTGACCTCATTGTACATACCTGCGTGGCCACAAAGTAGTGGTGTGGGTTAGTTTCCCCCAGCATGGACAGCAGACACTCTGAAGCAGGGACTGGACTCTTGAAGTGTGGACACCTCCTCACCTGATACCTCTGCAGGATGAGTTTGGCTCCGTACAGCTCTTTACCCAGAGTCTCCAGCTCTTTCAGGGCACAGCTGGAGGAGGAAGAAAACACACACTGGTGAATCAAAAAGGTAATAAAACTGTAACCCGTTTATAGAGTCAGTAAATCTGCTCACCTTGTGGTACAGAGCTGAACCTCCCCCATCAGATACTTGGGCATTTGCTCTTTAATCTGGATCTGGTTTTTCAGAGCAGCCTGACAAAAAGTCCCATCGATGAGGATCTGAAACGGTTCCCTGAAGCCGAAGTTATATTTGTAGAAATTGATGTTTTTCTTGGCTTGTTTCTGTCGTTTGATCTTCATGGTGGCTGGTTAGTAAAGTCAGTAAAAGAGGAGGTGATTTTTGTTGGTATCTTCTGAAAAATAAATAAAACAGCCGAGTAAAGATATATCCTTCAAGTTGGATTACATTATTCCGATAGTTGCACCTAAAAAGTGAAATTGTGATTTCAGTTTTTACAGCATGGACTTCTCTAGTGTACACAACACGCTTGTGGTTGCGTGCCTCTAATGACTCCGGACGGAAACGCGTTATACAGCAAAGGTACCTCTGCTTTTTGATTCCGGAAAGGAAGTTCCGGGTCTTCGCCAAAAATATTTCACATTTTGGGCTCCTACAAGTTTTTTTAAAATATTTTTTTTGTTTAATTTATTTTTTTTAAACATTCGGTTAAGTAGAGTTGGTTTTTACGGTGTTAAACTTCACAGGAGGACTTATTTGAACGTCTTTTCAACGAAAAGGCAAAATTACAGGCTAACCAAAGCTATTATTTAACACTGTTAATGTAACAGTTATAGTTACGTCTCATAATTTTGGTATTTTTTTAAAACAATTATGAGTCATTACCACGTATTTCGTATTTCGAGAAAGTTAGCATCTTGATACAACTGTTAGCTACGGAAGCCTTTTGCGGACATGCATCGTTCAAAGCGTTTCGGTGTTTTTCCCATAGACAGTCTATGGTTTTTCCCTACATACTACAACTGCATTTTATTTAGATTTATAGATTTACACATTTTATTTTAGATTGATTTAGGAAATACACTAACCATGAACGCTTCTGTTAGGATAGGGAAACTATAACAGTATGAAACCGCAAAAAGGATGGCCATTCCTTTATCTTCTATTCATTAATAAAAATTATTTATTCTTTGAAGAGATAATTCTTAGACCCTCCACCTTCACGTTGGTGTTTGCTTAGAGGCCCCATGCAAGTGCTTAAACTTGCATTTAGGCCTATTACATTATGTGGCCTCAAGGGGGTGCTACCAGTTTTTCTATCAACATGTCAATTTAAGTTTGCAGACAACTGTAAACGTGTTAGTTCCATTGTTAGTCTGATTAGAAATAGAAGATAAAATGAGTGTTTGGTAAATATCTTAACGCTAAAAGACTAAAACCAGAATTTCTTTAGCTTTTTTTCCACTGATTAGGGGGTGTGGGAAAAACTGAAGTGAAAAGAAATTGTTGATTTTTGAAATTAGTCAAAAGTCTGAGAATAGGTCCTCATTTGCAATTAAATTTTGTACGAAAAATACATGTGAATTTTGATAGCCTTGTTATGCCCCGTGTCACTGAACTCTGACAGAGGCCACCCACATCGGCTCCAATGGTTACAATAAAAAAGATAAGGTGAGATAACAGAATAAAAACACATGTAGGGTGATCTCACTTTTACAGTTAGGGTAATAAAGTGAAATTATCGGACTCCTCATTCGTCAGGAATCCCCCCTCTGCTGCTCTCTGAACACAATATAGAAGTCTGTGAAATCCTTTATCACTTTACACAGCAATTAACCGCAAATGTCAATATTTGGCCGTGACAGAAATCATGAAGTAAATGAAAGTTGTTGGACCCCTTTTAAAAGATTAGAACTTTAATGTCAAAGCAGCAGTTTATCATATAATGCTACACTTACCTCCCTCTAAAGCAGTCATAGCAAAGGAAGCCCATTAATACTGATATAAAAGTTGATATACCAATGTGAACTCTGTCAGTTTGATGATTTAAAGTACATTTTTTTATCTTTACAAGTCAAACCTTTAGACCCAGTGTCACCATGTCATGTTATTACTCAGTGCCCCACACCCAGATATATGACCTGTGCTGCTGACCAAAAAAGCAACTGAGACTGAAAGTCAAACACTGAGATCTCACAGGAGATAACAGTGAAGAATTCAAAACGAGCAATGAAACACAGATGCTCTCTGCACGTATGGAAAGAAAAAAAATGATTTTATGAATAAAAAGAAGACAAATGTTTGATGTTTTGGTGTCAGTCCAAAGATGGAGGTGGTCAGTGACGTCAATGCAAAGTCTCTTTGTTTAAGTCAATGGCTCTCTTGAAACACTCTCACACGCAGACACACAAAGGCACACACAAACACACCCGCCTTTTTTCACACTATCATGACTGGAATCTTTCTGTTGAAATCAAACTGAAAGTCATGTGATGCTCAGAGGTTGTAGCGCTTGTTCCCGAGAAAAAAACATGATTTTTGGTGATTGGCCTTCACGCGAAAGGTTTGACGTATTATTATTATATTTTTTACGGCGTGTTGAACATCTATACTAATTAATATAATGGATAGATGGATGCTTATTAGAGTAAAAACCTTGAAAAAGCGGATTTATGTTGAAATCTCATCAGTTGTGCAAGTGAAACTCCTCAGAAGATTCCCATATGTTGTCTAACAATGACGTCACTCTTTGTATGGATCTGATTAATGCCTTTAAAGGGTGTGGTTTACTGCATATATGATTCAAAATCTTACTGCATTTCATCTAATTTTGTCAGGATTTGAACAGAAACTCAATTCTCTGCTCAGCATGTTGAGCAGAATGAAGAAATGGTCGGCAACTTAATCACACTTGTGTTCTGCTTGGGTGAAAGGTTAAGACGGTCTTGTATTAGATTGATTCTGTGATTACAGATAGAAATGTTGCTAAACTCTAATAGTTTATCAGGTCTTTCAATGAAAGATGCTACTTAAGCTCATGAGGGTTTAAGAGGATATTAAATATAGGTCTTAAAAATAACAGAAGGTTTATAAGCTGTACAGTGTGGATTACCTGGGCAAACACAACTGAACTTTGCTTTCTCGTTCTGTCTCCCTCCTTTTCCTCCCAATGAATCACTTTTGCATCAGTATTTCTAAGAAAAGGAGTCAATGTAATTTACTGCAGCAATCAACAATATTGATGTAAGACAGTGCCTCTCAATTTCCTGTCAGCCTGAGGGTAATGACACCATCCAGACTGATTTATTGCTCTTCCAAGTAAGTTTGACATAATTAATTCTGCTTCATTATTGCAAGTTAACACTATAACAAAGGAATCCAGGTTTGATTTCACTCTCTGACAGCTTTTAGTAAAAAAAAGCAAAACCACATAACTGACTTATGTTGTGCCAAAAAAAAGTGATTTGACTTCCTGCCAGCTGTCAAATGCAACTGATGCAACCAACCCTGACGTAATCTCAAACAATATCACTACTTCCCTGGAATTTTTCACTGTTAGGCAGTACTGCGTGCCAAACAGAAAACTTCCTTGTGAAGTCAAGACCAGATTAGCAGGAAAGTGATTTCACGACACGTGCAGCAGCTCACATCGCATCTCCTGTAATTGAGATAGTGAACTTTTGAAGAAGCAAGTTAGACAAGCATATCTCTTTGTTTTCTTCATGAGCATGACGCACTGAAACCGAATGCCATTGTCCTGGACCGTTAAAGTGTATTTCTCTTTTTTTTCTTATTTGCCTATGGATATGTTGATCTTCTCAGGAACATTTTGCAGCTCTGTGTCCTCTAGTTTTAGTAGACTGTCATTTACAGTCCAAATTGAAGAGTTGTGTTTTTCTGTATTTCTATAATTTTACACCAGATGTCTAAATGCCATGTTGTGAAGTAAATATAGTGGGACAAGTATGTGTGGCTGAAGCTTACAAGTGTTAAATAGGTGTTTTGGTTTGGTTTTGTGAGTTTGGTGATTCCAAACATTGACTGGAAAAAACACTTTTTAAGTAACAATCAAAATAGATAAAACCAGCATCATTTTTTTTTTAGGAAATATACCAGCTGTTATGAACAATGGTAAAATGATACGCATAAACCTTTTATTAATAAAGGGTAAAACTACACAAGGGAGAAGAAACCCCCTCTGTTTGAATAACATAAAATAAGGGATGCAAATAAAGAACTGGTTCCATACGAGAACCGGTGCCAACTAGTTTGAGCCATAGACCTCATTCACATGTGTTCATGCCACACCGTACCCTTATTGGTGTCTTTGACTCGGTTCCGCCTGCCTTGCAAATCGATGACGTTTGCGTCACGAGAGGCAGTCAGCGTGAAGGACAGTTCAATGAATTTCTTACTCTGAAAATAAAGGCAAGAGTGGTCCAGAACAGCTGTGGTGTAGTACATTATATTGTTGTGCTTGTATTATTAGTCCTAGAAATAAAATTCAATGTTCTGATATGCAGTAAAATCCACTCGCTTGGTTAGACAGGCGGTTTACTGGTGATTAAGTACATGTTTTTGTGACTTCTCAAAGATAAGATTAGTGTATTTTCAGACTGTCCAGGTCCAATCCCCTTAAAAAAAACAAAGTTAATGTGTGATGAATTATCTTTTAATTTAAGTGAAATAGTGTAATTTTTGTAGTTAGCTGACTCTGCTAGTCAGATGGGGCCACCTTTGTTTTGGGCTGTTGACCACTCAGAGACGTTAGCTGGCTTGTAAAGGTCCAGTGAGAAGTCAGGCCTCCCATCCCAAACAATGAAAGTAATAAATCGGTAACACTTTACAATATTCATAATCTATAAATGGTAAAAAGATAGTTTATTGATGTTTAATCGTCATTTAAAAACAGCATAAAGACCAATTATAAATGGCAAATAGATAGTTTATTAATGTAAGTTAATAGTTACTTTACCATTAACAAGCAATAAAATTATGATTTATAATTTTCATTCATTATTATTTATTATTTATTTAAAGTTTATATAGAGTTTAAATATTGGTTGTAAAACATCTAGATTAAAATGTGTGTCAGTAGCACTTTGTAAATGGTTAATATTTGGTTTATAAACCACCTATAAACATTACTTAGTTGGTTATTGTAAAGTTAGGGTTAGGGTTTTAAAATTGTAAAATTTACAATTTATTAATGGTCTATATGCTTTTTATAAATGATGATTAAACATTAATAAACTATCTGCTTACATTTATAAGTGGTCTATTTACCATTTATTAGTTATGGTTATTGTGAGGTGTTACCTTTAAGTCTTATAAGAAAAGGTTTTCGTTCGACAGAGAAAACCTGCACTTGTTTACTTTCAGTGGGCAGAATCAATACTGGCATTGGTATCAATTAAAGTCACACTCTTTCCCATCAAGAACATGATTAGTCGGATATATGTGGTACACAGGTAACTAAAAACGCACCTCCTTTCAGATTTTCTCAAAGTCCGGATTTTTTCAGTATTACTTCATTTTACTATAAAGCGATCATGAAGCAGACGGTCTTTTAAAGAAAAGGATTTCCTGTCACCGGTATGAATGTGCACATTAAAGGCTTGAGGTGCTTTAATTCTGGTCAGTGGTGTGTGGGTGTTTGCTGTGGGGTTCTCCCCCGCAGCAGAGATCACAAGAAGAGATACTGCTGAAAGGGGAGTGAGTGCACGGCAAAAGGAAAAAGAAAGTGGTTAAGACACAGAAAGCTCGGGAGACTGAGAGGTTTACTGTAAAAAGCAAGTGATGCTCTGAGAAAAGTTACGCGATTTTTGTCAATCAGCATTTTGTCTCAATCATAATCACGTGTTTGTTGGCATTACTGGGTTTCCCCATAAATGAAACTCAGTTTCAGTCAGTTCTGGTTTTGTCTGAGAAAAAAATGGTCTGGAGGCAGTTGTCCCTTACTTTAAAGATTTCTGTCCTCAGGGTTCCTCTTGGATGCTGTTTTCTGACTAAAAACTGACAAAGAAGAACCAAAACCCATGATACACAAAGCCTGGGGTGTTACATGTGAGCGTTTTTAATGACTGCACCCCTCCTGACTGTCAGACTTTAGTCCATCATGAAGGCTGCCCTTTTCTACATTTCGTCTGATGAGTTTCATTTCCTGTGTTTTCTAGGAAAAACTTAAAAAGTAAACCAGTGAGAAGCTGGTGACCTTCTTCATAATGTCAGACACTGTCCTGTTTGAGTAATTCTCCAAAAAACACACCCAAGTACAAGAAGTATGTAGAAACAATATCTTTAATGTGCTACATCGTGTAAATATAAAAGTATCATCAAAATAGTCTCTCACATATAAATTTTTAACATCTTATAACCTGTTTCCAAAAATAAACTACATGGACAAACATATGATACAAGAGTTAAGAAAACTACGACATGACAAAATAGGTACATTACTGGCTCAGTAGTTAAAAGCTGTTAAGAAATTTCTCTGTCTTTTCTTCAGTGCTAAGTGACGAAAATACCAACAGTGAAAGATAAAACGTGCTCTTGTGTTGCTAGTAGTTGTTGTTGTTGTCCGGCGCAGAATATGAGGTTCTGGTGTCTAAATTACAGTTTGGATGCAGCTCAAGTTCACAGACGTTAACATTAAAGCTTTGTATGATCTAGTAAAAAAAGAGTAAAACAGTAGAAGAGTGCAGTAGAGGAGAATGAAGCCCTTTCGTGGAGAATCTTGAACGTATCCTGCTGTAATACTAAATATGTGGTAAATCCTGCATGTCTTTCTTCTGGTGCGATGTGGTTTTATCCAGAACATATTTGATTCTGAGGTGTGAGAAAATGCTAAAAAGGGTAAGTAATGCTTTGTCCAGTGAAATAATGATCCGATATGGCAATACTGTACACGTTTCTGGTCTTTCAGTGTAATTTTGGCAATTGCTCATGAATACACAAGTTCAAGGTACCTTATTTTTTTCCCTTTATATCATAAATAAATAAAATAGATGCATAAAATTGAGGAGCGTGAAGAGGGTTTGCGCTTTTCATTCATTTCACGACCTCGTGGTACACATGCACACTCGAAAACATCACAAAGACTCGTCCGCAGGTTTACACCACATTATCATTCCTGAGTCCATTTTTTTTTTTATACCCCAAGAGATTCAATCTCCTTGGAAATGTCAACACGTAGGGAAAAACACTAGCGGAAAAACACAAACTATAATACAACTAAATAAATAAAGATGACTTGATTTGCCGAAAGGTAATAAGTTAAAGCACAAAAAAAGCAAACACTTCTCTACCTGAGTGAAAAGAGTTACAATACTTCACAGTTTAACAACATCCTCCCTCTTATTATTATTTGTCATCGGACTTTGGGAGGCGGTACAATCACTGAATACCCTCGCTCAGTCTTTGGATTGCTCTTATTTTGGTGCTGCGCTCGTTGGATTATGGAAGTTCATAGTTCCTCTGTGTCCTTCGTGGACAATAGAGGAAGCATTATTTGGCGATGTCTGCTCTTTCGGTCGATTTGACGACCTCTCACTGTCCTTCCGTCTTAACGGTTTGCCTTTTATGCAGATGGACGACACTGGCTCTCTCCTGATAGGCCGGTGAAGGGTTGTGATGTAATGCGGGTAGAGCTGATTGGGTCGTTGGCAGTGTCGGTGCGTTGATAGCGGCCGTCAGAGCTTTTAGCAGGATGGTGGCCTCCTTCTGGTCCTCCTTCCCCTCCCCTTCCAAAGTGCGAGCCAGCCAGCGCTCGACGGCCTCCTCCACCTGCATCGCCGATGCCGTCTCCGTGAGCGTGTCGGCCTCTTGACTGGCGTCGAACCGCTCCACCATCTCTTTCATGTGTACGTTAATGGGCGCGTTCGAGTTAGCCAGGCAGCAGCTGCACTGGTGAATGCGGAGGGAGAAGCGGTGGAAGAAGGTCTGGGAGCAGAGCTGGCAGCGGTAGGGGCGGTCACGGCTGCTGTGGAGGCGGCGGTGCAGTTTGAGGTGGATGTATTGAGTGAACTTGGTGCTGCACAGCTTGCACTGATACGGTTTCTCCCCGGAGTGAAGCCGCAGGTGTGTTTTCAGGTTGCTGGTACTGCTGAAGCGTTTGTGACACACCTGAAAAACATGAAAATGAAAGGTTACTAATCACATCACTATTTAGTAACACCTTAAGACAACTAAAAGGGATGGGTTTAGGATTCTTCTGGAAAAACTTGGCAGTGCAGTTTGATGTCATCTTGATGATTTTGACAGTATCAGGGTTGATCGTGTTATTCCAGTTGTCTGAAACGCTTTCATTAATCAGGGACTACCACCCTTTCTTTGTAAGACCAGTTCTGTCCTTACTCACAACACTCACGCCCACAAAGTCACACAAGCAAACAAAGCACAGGGATACCATTACATGACAAGGTGGGTTGTGGCTTGATGAAAATCAAACAGACTCTGCCTTACCAGAAAGGTAAGTGAGTCAGAGAGAGAAGGTGTATTGTGTATTGTGCATTTCTTTCTTTTGTTCCCTACTCTCGATTTTACACGTCACATCATCGAAATGACAACAGAGCTCATAGAAAACGGTGATTTCTAACATACCTGGCATTCATGCGGCTTCTCCCCCGTGTGGACCAAGTGATGTTTCTGGAGGTGGGCTAGCTGAGTGAAGCTCTTTTTGCATAGGTTACACTGGAACGGTCTCTCACCACTGTGCACTCGAAGGTGAACCTGTAATAATTCAGGAAAATCAGTCAGCTTTTGTGTTTGAGGATTGATATTAAACTGATGTCAAAGTACAAATTCGAGGATTTTAAGTTGTACCTTGAGGTTGGAGAGTTGTCCAAAAGTCTTGGAGCAGATGTTACATTCATACTGGATCTTGCCGTTCTGCTTCTTCAGTGGGTACGGCAGGGATTTGTGGCCCGGGCCGTTGCGTGGCGCTGTGTTGCTTTTGGTCGTAGCCAGGCTTAAATTCATGGCTTCCTCACAGCCAGAGGGCGACTGCTCGGGAGACTGACTGGGCTTGGGGACAGGAGAGAGCTCTGGGGTGGCTGGGGCGCCTCGTGGTGGTGACACATTGGGTGTAAGTTCTTTCAGACCCCCTTGGGGAGATGGAGGGTATGGAAGGGATACGGGAAGGAGGTTGGGCTGTCCGACTGGTGGATACGGGAGTCCATCTGTGCCCAGGTAGTTGCTGTATCGGAGGGATCCTCTTGAGGGTAGCATCCCTGGAAAGGGAGGGGAGTAGGAAGGGAGGAGGAGGCGAGGATAGTGTGAGCTGAAGGGAGGAAGGAGCTGGTAAGTAGGCTGGAGGGGTCTGGACTGAGGGTAAAGTGGGTACGATGAAACAAGTCCCTCCCTGTGCCCGTAGAGGCCATGGAGGTGAAGAGGAAGACTTCTGTGTGCAGATGGGATTGACGGATGGTGATCGGGTAAGTATGGGTGGTTTACGCCCAAACTTGGATCTCTGCGATCGGGCTGAGGGGAGGGAACGATGTCCCGATCTTCGGGTTCTCTGTCACACGGTTCCTCCTTTTCAACCTTCTTGCTGAAGTCCATAATTTGGTCGTCAGGTGTGTCTGGCGGAGTGTCTCGCTCTAACATCTCCACGTCAATCTTCTCCTCCCCATCTTCATCTCTTTCCTCTTTCACCTCTTCTTTTGTTCTGTCCTTGAGCCAGGTCTGCTGAGGTAGGTGCTGTTTTGTGTACTCTGGCTCGTAATCTTCATCGGAGCTCGTGTATTCTGCAACACAGGAAACCAAGAAATCGTCAGCGTTAGGGTTAGGTTTACCCGATGTGTGAATACTGGCATCGAATACAAAAACAACAACAAACCCACACATCCCATATCTATTTGTTTTATCGATCAGCTACAACATCTTAAACATGACACTGAACATCCACCCACACAAAGGCACTCCCTCTTATGGTAAATGATAGTAGTTTCAGTTTTGACGTGACTCAGAGATCAAACAGTGAGGGTTTCTGTTTGTCAATCACAGTGGAGGTTTTTTAGTGTGGGAGAACAGGTCGGTGGTTTGAACATGTGGGAGTCCATGTGTCACTGTCCGCCGTGCAGCAAGTTTCTAGGTTTCATTTGTGAAACCTTTTTCTTGGTATGGCTGTCTTACCGTACCGGCCACAAGAAAATGTGAAACATCTCTTCCTTTTTTTTTTTTCTCCTTCTCTTTCTCCTTTTGAGAAAGCCTTTCTTGCAAGGCTTTGTCACCATTACTGGATGTCAGCCTCTGTTTCATGTCACTGTACCCGGTTCGTCATGACAGTCAGTTTAAGTGCAAGTCCTCTTTCTATGCAATGTTCCTCCCTGCATAAACGTAATTATGAAGAATCACCTGGGTTTGTCGTATTGTCTTTATAAACAAAGACAAAAGCCCAAAACTATTCTGACTATTGTCCGTGTTCACACGCCCTACAGTGACCACTACCTGAGCTGCCTGCTTGTATGAAACAGCAGTTTTTCTGGACTTGGGTTGAAAGGACAGGTGAAATCCTATAAGATCCTCTATGTTAAGGAAACACTGTCTTAGCATTAGTCATCAATTTGAACGGCGACACTTCTGGTATATCCAGTTGGCATGAGTCACCAGACTTTGTGGCATCGTTCAGCATGATGAGGGTATGACTTGCTGTTCTACTAATAGCTGACAACAAATGACTCACAAAGGTACTTTGCCCAGCCATACTCCCTGCGCTCCTGAAAATCCTACGTCATTTTCCACATCTATTCAAACACTGAGATTTGTTTCGTCTACGTTTGTGCGAATCTCCCGTGATCTTACATAAATATTTTGTTGTGTTCAATGGACCAGACGGGGATAAACAGCATCACACAAGCTTTAAGAGTTGATAAAAGATGAAATCAAGTCACTGAAGCGAATAGTAAGTTTTTATTCGCTTTGAAATGAAGGAATTTTTCCGATGATATCCATCTCCTACTGACGCAAACTGTTGTAACATAACATAGTAAGAGCCAAAGATCTCAAAAAAATAAGAAAACTGAGCCGAGACAACCCCAAGAAAAATGAGTCTACTTTCACCCCATCACATAATGAAATAAATTAGCAAATCATTCAGCTCTTGGTGCACTCACTCTGTTTGACGTCTACTTGTTGGCTGCAGAGTCTTTGCGCAAACTCCTGGCTGTACCACACCAGCAGCTCCTGGTTGGGCTCCACCGGTCGGATGGTGTAGAAGTAGACGTCCCTGCCGTTCTGGCACGCCACCAGGTTCTGCTCGGCCACGGAGCGGGCCGGGTTGACGTATCGCATCCAGTTGCTCCTGTGCACATCGTAGCCATCAATGAAATGCTGGAGCTGGCCACCACTGTAAATCTGCAGAAGAAGAAAAAAAGAGATTTGAAGATATTAGCAGAAATTAAATATAAAAGAAACACAAGTATAAGCTGCATATTAGGTTAATTAAAACTGGTTTCACTACTCTAAATATGTAAAATTTAAAAATATGTCAAACATAATTAGTAGATAAAATGTTAGATATAAATAAAACAGTCTTAGATAAATGTTAAAATTACAAGTTAATCATAATATTCACCTCTGCCATGTACAGTGAAATATCCTTTATCTTCTGTAATGATAAGTTCAGGTTTGTTTGTCTGTTCTGATGTGTGTGTCCTGACGGTTTCACTCTTGTGTGTGTTGATGCCTGTGTTTCACTCTTTTGAAGTGTGGAGGCGTGGCTCTCAGTACTGCCCCCTTCACTCTCCCTTTTTCCTTCCTCTTCTCATTTCTCTTTCCTTTCTTCTCAGTGTTGTTATTGTTTCTAAGCGGCAGTGTACTTCTTTGAATACATGTCAGTGATTTTATTATAACCACGTCTTTCAAGAACAAGAAAATGAATAAAACTAAACATATTGGAGGGAAATTGAACCGACTTGACAGGTGCTGGCAGGCTGCCAAACACACAAACAGAGGCATGTAGCTGGCAGCACGTCCGCCTTCCTCCCGCACCGATGATAGCAGCATAATTACTCCAGAACAACGTCAGACTTTCACTATTGCGGCACGCCAGGAACACCCCCTTACACAGGTTTACAGGAAACAAAGCCGGAAGGAAAATACGTGGGACGACAGCGAAAAGCCCTTAAGGGAATTGACTCAGCAGAAATGAGAATTTCCTGAGTGACACAAGGGGCGATTTTTAGACGAGTCTGAACAAAAGAAGCAAGGATAAGAAGACTTCGAAAGGAGTGAAAGACAAGGATTGTGTGTGAGCTTTCTGAGTGTGTGTGTTGAACAATGGTTGCTTCCTTTGTGAATGTGACACATGTCACATACAGGACCTGAGTGCCGGTAAAGCGCTGATGACTGTGTAAGCATGAATCCATTGTTACGTGCTACAGGCAGCGACAACTTCCTCTAAAATTTTTCCTCTAAAATTTTGAGTACACCACTGAGATCTGTGTGAAAGCCATTCTTGTTTCCTTACTGACGTACAAACTCTGGGCTTGATGTGAAACTTCTGTACCCAAGCAACTTATAGAAAAGTAGAGGAAGGTGAAAATAAGCCTAACACCGCTCCTCATTTGAGACTTTCTCCTGCAATTCACCAGAGTCACAGTATTTATGTCTGCAAATACAAAACTTTCACGCTTGTGTTTGTTGTCCTTACCCTCCAGAAGTATTTCCTGTTGGCCTGTTTTGGGACGTTGTCTTTGGTGTAGATGTCTCCTTGCAGGGGGCCGAAGCGAGTGCCTTGAGGAATGTATTCTTTGCTGAAAACTCCTGTCACCTGCAAGACAGACCAAAGACTTCGTTACATTCAGTTTTCCCGCACAAAGAAGGCGATCTTTTAAGCCCAAGTCGAGGAATTACTCCTTGTTTCTAATCTTATATACAGTACGTCGCCTGTGTTTGTGTCGTCTAAAGTTGTTGTGGCGTTGTTGTCACGCTGACCCAGACAATCCTGAGCCATGCTAAAACCCACAAGGTGACACACTTTCGACACTAATGAGTTAAACGAATAAGGAGTATTACACTTTCTCTGACCTACTCTACTGATCTCTGACCTGCTGCCCGCATAAACACCGGAGAGAGGAAGCGGCGGTGTCACCTGTTTGCCCCAGGACCTTAATGAATACAGGACTCTGATGTTGAACGATTTAAAGAGTTTGAAGGACAAGACAAATCAGATTTAGTCAGATTTACAATCAAAGCCTCAATGACACAACCCATAGATGATGAAACCAGTGGGGCCTTCAAAAGCCTGTCCATACAAATAGTAGGAATTGCAAAATACGAGCGTGGGACTCACTATGAGCAGATTGCCTTAGGACGTACAAAGCCAGCCTTGTTTTGCAGGTTTTTGAGTCATTTCTGTCCTTGTAGGTTCAATTTTTATTTATTTTTTTAAAGGTTTTAGAATAAAAAGGTTTGGTTCTCACAAGAGTTATATCAGTTTAACCAACCAATGGGGTACACCGGTGCCCCTTTTGTTGTGTACAACAGCTTTAGGGTTCACACTTTCATAGAAAGTGCCGAGGCTTGGGGTCAAGCCTCCTCAACTCACACCCAAACACACACACGCCATCAGGCAACAGCATCTGTGCCATACGCACAGCCTCGGTGTCTTGAGGAGCTTTGTGTTCAATCCTTAAATACCCCCCCCACTCCCACCCACCCACCCATCACCCACTCTCCCCCCTTACATAAACACACTATTTATTCTGCCGTTAATGAGAAGTCGTTTAAAACTACCTGCAAAGAGATTTTTGAATCCCTGCGTTCACTTCAAACTTTAAAAATCAAGACGACGAACTCTTAAGACTTTGATTGACTACTCAGAAAGTTGGAGCTGGATCTAGTGAATGATGGTTAAGACCTTAATTAGAAGAACAACAGGTCACTGAGGGCAGCAGGAGCGTGTGTGTTAGTGTGTGTCGAGGCAACTGAGGTGATTCCCGGATGCGATGAACCAGTGTGACAGGGACATTGTGCTTTTCTGGTGTTGCGTGACTAACGAATCGCTGTGGCCGCCTCTGCTGCTTAACCGCTCAGTTTAGCCAGGTTGGGAGGAAGGGGGGGTCGAAGAACGGGAGAGCGAGAGAGAGAAGACCATGAGCGTTCTTGAATGAACCCACGCTATTACACTACTGAGCGCCCTCCTTTTTCTCCTGCCCTCCCCCCCACAATCCTCCTTGGTCTTTTCTCAAACCTCTCGGAATAGATCGTGCGCCCGCCAGGTCGGGGCCTGATGCCTGGCTGGCTGCCTGGCCGGCTGCCTGGCCTCAACGAAAGTTAATCATCTGGTTTTAACCTAAATCCCTCCCCACCACCACCCCACACACCCTCCTCCTTCTCCTTCTTCTCCATCTCCCCATATCCTGCGTTGAGAGCATCTTCTTCAGCTCTCTGGCACCCGTTACTCATCCCATCTGCCACGTGCCCCCAGTGCTCACCCTTGAGGCACCTGTACTTTTGAGCATGATGGTGTAAAAAAATCCACTAAGATTTCAAGATCAAGCCTGCCAAACATCCTTGTCAACAAGTGTGACCAAAACACTGACTCTATTCTCTGTTTCCATTCAGAGTCTCCAGATTTGACTCATCTTGTCAGCTGAGACAAGAATCTTGCACACTCACCTGTGTGAAAAATCCCCTTCCTTTGTGTTTCCTGATAACTGTTTTAGTTGTGCCTTAAGGTGACAAGTGTGTGTACCATCCCATGAAACCCACACAAAGGAGCGGCTGTCATTATGATCAGTGAAGGGAATAAGTTTCCCAGCTTAAGTCAAGGAGGAAAATTCATATGACAAGTCTTTAGGAAGGGAAACTCAAAGGGCCAGTCGAGGCAGAGCAGATTTACTGGCAAGCATGTGGATGTGTGCTTGTTTTCATGTCTCTTTTTCTTTTCTGACGTTTGGACTTTCAGGTCACGAACAAATTCATCAGCGCTCATGTGTCTGAGAATATGTGTCAGTTGTGATTAAGAGGTAAAACGAGATTAAAAAGACGTTTTTAGAAGTATGCGTTCATGTGGGAGTGAGCAGTCGTCAAAATCAAGTTTGGCTGCATAAAGTATATAGCGAGATGTGTTAGTCTGCCTGCAAACGGCACTGGGGCGCAAAATTAACCCGCAAAGAGATTTGTATCACCTCTTTTTGCATGCTTTTCTCATCCCGCAGCAGTAAAAGAGGAAGAGATGAGAGTATAAGAGCACAAGAAGAGGAAGAACAGCAGAAAGTGTCGCCTGGGTCCCTGACAAAAAGAGGAAGGGGGGAGTGCAAGTCGACCACAAGCAGCAGAGTGTTTAGTGTCAAATGCGACTACAAAAGACGTGTGACATCCCTCGCTTCATCTCTTCCTTTCGAGATGATGATTCTTTCGTTTGCTGCAGTTCAGGGTCTGTTTGAAACTTTGCTGGGAGGCACGATTGCAGCGCTCTGCTCTGGGTGACATGTTCAGGCGTGTACCTGATTTTACGACAGTCAGCTGACTGAAATAGCACAGAGATATTATGACTGACTCATACAAGCACGTAAGAGGTAAAGAGGACAGAAGGTTGTAAATAAAGGGAAAAAAGAGAGATGGAAACTCTTATGCAATTCGATCACATGAAGGAAAATGAACTGTTGTCCCACATCTGTATGTGTTTATATCTTCAGTATCTACCCCTATCATTACATGTGTGTGAGAGTTACACAAGGACTTCACTCCTTCTGTGACATAGTGGGAGATAAGTTGGCTGGAAGACCCTGTAAGGCCCCTGACCTCAAGCTGATAGTGGCCTCATCATGTCCACTGTCCCACATTCACACACACACACACACACACTCTCTGTGCACTCTACTGTATGTGTGAAGAACTCATTAGTCAGCAGATCTTTTGTTCCAAGGACCTAAACGCAGATGGCGCGACAGAACGTTATGTAATATCTCGAAATCTGAACACTTGCTCGATTTGGGCGACTCCAGAGTCCCCAAAATAGCATCAAGATTCCTAACCTACAGAAAAGATGAGGTTCTTTCTTCTTACCTCATTGTCTGCGCCGTATTCAAAGGTAAGGTTGCGGGGGATGGATGTCATCGCTTTGGGCAGGCTGAAACTCGGGTCCGACACCTGGTCCGGTACGATGTAGGTGCAGTTCAAGGCAAACTCCACCTCCCTCCATCCACTCATATCGCTCGATGTGCTATCCAGCTTCATCCTGATGATATCGTCAAGATGATGGTTTTTGGACCTTCGCTTGCTTTGGTTCAGTTTTTTGGTTTGGGTTGCTTTTTGGTTTTTAGAGTACTTTGGTTGGGTCGGGTCCGTCCCTTGTCTTAGGTACGCTGGTTAAAGCTCAAGATCTGGAGAAGAAAGAGATAAAAAAAAATGTTAGAGTCACTTTGAGGTAAAGGCATATTCCCAAAACTTCACTACGTTGGCTGTTTGAGTCAAGTAATCTCTCTTGTTATTCATTCATTATTCAGGCAGCTGGTTCCATTCATGGAGAACCAAAGTTCATTGACGCTCTTCTTGGCAGTCATCCCAGAACTCACCATTCAGTCCAAGCAGCCCTTTACTAATGAGGCCACTGGATCAGCTCGTCTTTTTCTGCTTATTCTAAATAATTCAACCACCTTGTGTTGTTCTAAAAAGAAATAATCAGAAGAAAAAAACTTACTTCCACACATTCAGTCAGCTGTAGGATCCTCATATCTTTGGCTATGTCATCCCTTGATCCTGCGTCCTCCTCTTTCTTTCTCACTCTCTCTTCTTCCTCCCCTTGTTTTTTTTTCTCTGGGGAGTCCTGTCCGTTAGATCCTTTGGGTATCCGCTCTCGCTGTGGCCACTCTGTCACCACAAACACCACAAACTCATGAGCCTGGATTGCGCCAAGCTTTTTTAGCTCAACGTGCCGGCCAATCGCTGGCCGCCGGGGTCATGTGATTAAGCCATCTGACACACAACTGTTGGCTTTGGACAACAACATCGGTGACGTTGTGCACTTGGCCAGCAGCAAGTGGCTGTTGTGGATGAATGCTCACACATGTACACACACGCACGCACACACACGTCCATGCGCACACAAAGAAGACATGTTAATGAATGAATAAAAGAAGAGCAGATGGCTGGCCTGTTGCCACTGAAAAACACACTCATGGACTTTTGCTTGGTTTGGCACTTAATGAGCAATCTGCTGCCACTGTATCTCCTTGACCTACATCTCACTGTAGGACATCTTTAAGACCCCAAAGACCTCTGCTTCTCAAATTCAACCTTTTTTAAGTCTCTTATTAATCCTCCTCTTTTAAAAAATTATTTTACACGATTGGAAAGGTTGAAAAAGTAAAACTCAAACTCTTCGTCCCTTCAGTATCTCACACAGACGTATACGTGACCTGTGCCGATTAGTGCCGATTCACAGGTACAGATGTAGGCCAGGTCATCGCGGCACGCAGGGATGAGACTTAGACACCTGTCTGCCGAGTGTCCCCTTTACTTTCAGACACACAATCTAGTTATATAGAGCGCTGGGTCACCTCACCTGCATGGTGCTCTGGGTAAAGATAGCCAGGACAGGAGAGAGCAGTTAACAGGACATATGGAGGGAAAAAAGAGAATGTGACTTCTCTATATATGGGAATCAGCCTGTACGGAAATAAAGATGTGTGGGATTTGGACGTATGAATAATTGGATATAAAGCTTGAGCAAAATAGATATGGAGTTGGGGTATACACTTGAAGTCAAACAAATGTTATAGTTATTCAATAACTGCTTGTGAACAACTGCAGGAAATGACTAATTCTGCCATTAAGATTGTATTAAATTGTGCTTTTAAGCATGTAAACATCTGGGGAGGAAAATGATGACTTACATCATGCATGCTGTACCCACCAACTGAGGAATAGACGGCTATTAGACGTCTAGTTTTTTTTAGACCTAATTTCAACCATCTAGATTCTGTATATTTTTAGATGGAATTTAGACGTTGCACTTTAACCCATTATTCGAGGACTATTCATTTCAAAAAGCAACTTTGAGTTACATAAATGATCTCCAAGTGCTTAACCAAAATAGTTTTGATAGCCATTGAGCAAAATACAGTGTAGTATAGATATAGCTCTGTTAGTCAGCTAGTCTAAATTTAAATTTAGACGTCTACAAAACTTTCATTTTAAGACCTGTGGTAGCCTGATTTTAGACCAGTCGTCTAGGCTACATTTAGACGTCTGTGAGACCTCTTTAAGACCAAAAAATGCTCAGTGGGCAACTACCTTGATATTTCACAGCCTAGATAAGTGTTAAAATGCAGATCAAATACTAATTTCCATGTTACTACAACAGTAAACCTCTGTTTTATTTTTCATATTAGGTGTAGGATTAAACTGAGTGATATTAGTCAGTTAAACTAATTCTAGTTCACGTATAGGAAACTATATTAGTGCTTCTTCATTATCATCCCTGTTTCTTTCTAAACTCGCCAAGCAAAATAGTAAATTGGCTGCCATATGGCAAGACTACTACTCCAAGAGTGCAGCTTTACTGCCCAGTGTGGCGTGGGGGTTAATGGTGGTGGTAGAATAAGTCCGTGTGTGTGTGTGTGTGTGTGTGTGTGTGTGTGTGTGTGTGTGTGTGTGTGTGTGAGAGTGTGTGTGTGTGTGTCGTAGATAGGGAGGGGAGCTGGGGATTTGGGCTCTTTCACTGGCCTGTGCCTGGCTGGGCTAATTTCTCTAATTTGCAGACAGTCTGGGCTCAGGCTCAGGGCTCAGAGGCTAAAGACTCGCCACTCCGGGACAGCAAGCGAGCCGACTCATCTCACTCCTGGGCACACATCACATCCGGGACATCGAATAGTTCCAGACACACTTTTCTCAGGGGAGGGAAATCTCATCTGCAGGGGCAGGGTAAAGGAGAACTGGGCCTCGCGCTTAGAGGGAGGGAGATAACGGCATCAGACCAGACAGAAAGGATAAGTGGAGGAAAGACCTGAAGTCGGCCCTAGAGCTGTCTGAGACGGAGAAAATCAGACAAAGTGATGTGACCTGAGACAAGTTAATACTACTGTGACATGTTTTGTAATAGTCTGTTCCATAAGGACACCTGTTGACATGCAGTTTATGTAGCGCTCTACTGTCGATGACTGTTCAGAGAAAGCTGCCACCTGCTCCACCACATGTTCATTTAACAAGTGAATTAAAGAGAGTAAACAGTGTTAAAAGGGTTAAAGTGACAGTAAAGAACGATTAGTTGTCCTCAGAGGATGAAAATACAACACTAACAACTGACGGGGTCAATGACTTTTGTAGTGACAATACATGGTAGACATTGAAATCATTAAATCATCAGCAAATTACAACAGGAAACTGATGGTAATTTCAGGATATGTGCACCTGTCTGACTGCACCGAAAAGAAAACAAATAGGGCAATTAGGATTATAACCTATATAATCCTATTGTTTACCCATCAGTAACCACTGATTCCCCCGACTTGTCTTTCCAATTACACGTGTAGCCCGACCATTTGGCATTCATGAAGGGGTTGTCGAGTAACTAAACCGATAAAGTCGTAGTTTTAGTTTACAGTGAGCAGCCTCTTGAAATTGCTTCTAATGTTTTGGCACCTCATCGCCATGTTGTTAGGACTCCAAAAAGACTGATATCCCCGTTCGAGCTTTTTCCATCAGAGCTCCTCGACTTTGGAACGACCTGCCAGAGGAGATGCAGAGACAGTCACTTCTTTTAGGTCAAATTTAAAAACTCACCTTTGTAGACCTGCTTTTATGTGATGCCGTCTTTTCTCTTTTATCTGTCATCTCTTATCTCTTTTACCTCTATCTTATTTTGGCTTAACTGTCTTTTTAGCTTTTGTTATACTTGAACTCTTTTCTTATTTAACCTTTTGGCCTTTCATTATTTTATCTCTTGCATGGTTCTTGTATCGTCTGGGTTCCTTATGACATGAAAATGGCCTTCAAATTCATTTTAACTGAGCTTTTTGTTTTTATCTGTCTTTTTCCATGTGCTATTTGACTATAAATAATAATAATAATAACAATAATAATAATAATAATAATAATAATAATACATTTTATTTGTGGGTGCCTTTCAGGGCACTCAACGACACCTTACAGGGCAATTAAAAGACACTATATGTCAAAGCTTTTTGTAAACTTCTGTTTTTAAAAGTGCTTTACAAATAAAGTTATTATTATTATTATTATTATCATTAATATTGTTATTATTATTACTCTAAACAGCATTATATATGGCTAACTGCTGACTAAGTAACAACTAGCATAACTTCAACTTTGTAAATCCAGTGAAAGAAAGACAGAACATTCATCCTTATTCAATGTTTGTACCTATACCTGTCCATCCATGCTCAAAGCATGCTGGGATACTTTATGAACCAGGCTAGCGGCCCCACTTTCAAACATATAAAATGGACACCATCTGCCTCCTCGCTGGGTAAAGCCACTCCGAGAACAGCACCCTCTGTTGACAGGCTGCAGTAAAGGTCATAAATCCCGCCTTTTTTCCCCCGCCCTGCTTGCGATGTTGACATGTAGTTATTGTAAGGCTGGTTTGTGCTCAAGTTCTCTTTTTTCTGAACAGCTCCATTTTTAAAAGTTGTTGGGGGTTTGTGTTTTCTATGATTGACACTTGATACAGCCTATGGTCGTACAAAGATTGTGTAGCTTACCCGGGGATACGCTGTTTGAGCTGAGCGTCATCACAGCGACTCTCCCGCTGAATGCGCACACCGCTGCTGCGCAAGTGGTGGAATGCGTACAATGCTACTGCGCAATGTTGGTTTGAGGAAATGGAGAGAAAACGCAGAATTATTGAGAGCTTTTTGGCTTCTAATTCATAAACTAGCGGAGGCGGAACCAAGTTGTCCATAGTATACACAGTCTATGGTCCTTACCATCTATTGTGCTCTGGTGAAATTCTGTTGAGTAATGCACAATCATCAGTGCATCTGAAAGAGCATCACACACAATGCAAGTCCCTTCAAAGCACAGACAGTTTACTGAGTTAAAACATATTTCGAAGAACTGGGAAAGGTGTCTAACTCTTCCCTTGTAATGTTTATGTTTCCTATGGAGTGGGTGTGTTGTATTACGTGATTCAGTGTCTGTTTTTCTCCTTCAGTCAGAATGAAAGTGGAAACAATCCAGGTGAATTGTGACAGCTCATGTTGTTTGTTTACAGCAGCTGGCTGGACAGGACGTCAGAATCACTCTCCTTCTGATATAACGCCACGCCCGAATGTATGAAATGAAGTGAGAGGTCATGAGAGTGTTTACATCACTCGTTCAATCTTTTTGAGTTCAAAGGTGCCCCAAATCCTTCTTATTCTGCTGCCCTCCCTCTGTGTTTTTATCCCGCTTCATAGCTGTAAACAGTCAACAGCTGAGCAGCAGATCCTAGGCAACAAAAAGAGGATTATTCTTCTGATAATGCATTGTTATGTAGCGCTGCAGTTGTTGCTAGGGGTAACTTCTTGAGGAAGTAGATGACCTAGAAGAAGTATAGAAAGACACATGAAAAAGGATGGTTGTTTACTCACTCTGGCCGGCTTAGTTTCCTTTAGATCTCTTTAACCAGGAGGATTATCCCCGCTGGTCGAATCTTAAATATGTGACATTGCATTATCGTATTTCTTTACAAACATACGTTGGCATTTGTTTTTCTGGGGGTATCTTTGTTTTGTTGGGCCTGGAAGCTCTTGAATGGTTGGACTTCTTTTGTCATGAGTAGGTGAGTTTTCCCCCTCTTGAAGTGTCATCCTTTCCGATCATTGTCCATGATGTTTCTCCGGTTTATTCACTTAATACAGTG